AAAAGAGTGAACTCAAAATGTTAATATTGTGATTTCTTGGCTCTGGTTATTGCCACACTCTTAAGTTAATGCCAATCGTCCAACAGTCAAACATAATACATCTATTAAATGGATAATGTTGGCCCTTAAAAACTCAATTTCCGGTGAAAGATGACTGCATTTCGAACACGCGATTTCAACGCCATTTGTAGCAAAATGCACGGATAATGGCATTAACTGGGCAATCAGTGATTAAAACGCAGAGTCGATCAAGAAAGGGTAGTAAATGTTACTCAAACGTTCTCTAAACAAGACAATGGCATGAATGGGATGAGCAATGCTCTAGAAATTAGCATGTTTGACAGCCTGATTTTAGCAGTAAATGTCCATTATATCCCTATTTATAAAACACATTTCCCTTTTCCGTGAGTGTCCGGACACCGCGTTTCTTTCAGGATAAGTTTGAGAGTTCACTCAGCTGTATTTGTGCATGAAAGCAATAAATGTCAATAAAATAATCTGCATCTTTGTCAGAACTTCTCACAAATGTACAATTTATACTTACAAATCATCATTTTTAAAAATACACTCCACACTAAGGAGTTCTAGTTACGTGGTTTTTATTGCATTTTGAATGACAAAATACATATTTTATTGCTAATATCTAAAGCAAGTATGTATAAAATAGTTCTGACTTATAGTATTTAGGAATATATAAATCATTTATTGTAAATTAAAGAAAACTCTTTCAAAACTATACCATCTATACATGTATCCTCTTCTCCAAGTAATATAAATCTGCAATGATGATTAAGATGCTGTTACGGGTTGCTAATGCTAAACGCTAATGAAGTTATACTTCAACCATTCTGTTGCAGCCATACTTTAACCATGTTGCGGCTATACTTAAACCATGTTGCGGCTATACTTTAACAGTGTTGCGACTATTCTTTTAACATGTTGCGGCTATACCTTAACTATGATGCGACTATACTTTAACCATGTTGCGGTCTGCTTTAATCATGTTGCGGCTATATTTTAACTACTAGCATGATGAGGCCATACTTTAACCATGTTGCGGCTATACTTTAACCATGTTGTTGCAGATATACTTTAACCATTATGTTGTCGGTATATTCTAACCATGCTGGTGTGGATATAATTTATATAGATTCTGTTGCGGATATATTTTATTTTACCGATATATTTTAACCATATAGAGTCAGATACACGAAAAACCGTGCTTTCAGATATTTAACTTCGCTGTTCTGGTTTACATGCTGTTGCTGTGTGGCTCTGCTTTACATTGTGAGTTCTGCAACAGAATTAATACTAGTAATTAAACATGTATACGTAAAAACACTTATCGTATATATAGAAATTGCATATAAAGAGTCTTAAAATTTGCCTGTTGGAACACCAAAGGGGATATCTATGTCCATAGATTTAAATAAAATGACATTTTTGTTGTATTTGCACGTACGGTTACCATGATGTCATCTCGCTTGAAATAGAAGAAAAGATTTAAAGAGTATTACACTTCCCATTTAAAATTGTCAAATATCTTGTACCAAATAAATATATGGTATAGTAAATATTTTTAATTTCCGAATGAGATGGGGAGTGCAGAAAGACCTATAGAGTTGGCTTCATTAAAATAACTGTAGGGAAATGGATCCAAGGAACGCGGAAATTCTCACTCCTTGTTTTCCCCCCAGCTAATATCCCCAATTAAACAAAACCAATTAAATTTTCAGGCAATCTACAATGCAGATTATGCCACACTCTTGAAGATGCCAAAATCGGAGCAGAAACAAGGGAGATAATTAATGAAAGAAAGAATCTGGGTTGAAGAAATTGGCACCAATTACTGGAGGACCGAGAAAAAGACACGTTAGAGGAAGACGACAATCCAGAAACTGTCAGCAGGGGTCAGTCAGAGTGACACATTACCTCAACCAATTACAGAGGCCTTCTACAATCTAATTGTCACCTCAATCCTGGAGAGAGAGAAGGGGGGGGGGTCCAGATTCTCTACTTCTTTTCCCTCACCAGACGGATACATTTGTTCATGTAGTTGTACGTAAATATTGTGCATATACCCTAAACAACAGGTTATCCTGTTGCTGTTCAATTACTCGAACAACTAAGAGATGTTAAAAATAGCTTGAAACCGCGTGAACTTGACAAGAAATGGAGACTGTCCGATGGATTCTTGAACGTGTTCAGCAGGTGAATCCAGGATTTGAATTTAGGGTGATGGAATGGTTAAGATAGGCAGGGAATATCATGGCCTCTTTAAGAACCCCATTGGGTCCATGGAAAAAGCCTTGGTGGGAGTCCAACCGGAATCTAGAAAAATAAAGCCCCTTAAGTAGACAATTTTAGTCACATCCTTGAATCCAAAATATTGGTCAAGGGTTATACTCTTGCCAAGTTTGGTTGAAAATAGCCAAGTAGTATAGAGAATGAGATGATATTGTCATTACAACGATGAAGACAGTCAAGAGAAAATTTCGATCAGAACAAAAACTTTCCGCTAAAGTGAGCAAATAATATGAATCGCATATATACATGAAGCATAAAAAGCAAATAAAGACACGACCAGATAGAGAAGCACTATCAATTGTTTAAAAAATTGTTGAATTATATTATGCATATTAAAAAATGATCAAACTTTTCCCATAGAACATGTAAAAATCATAGAAAATCGCATGAAATCGAACCAGTCCCGTGTACACCAGATTTCTGTGCTTTCCTCGTATTTTGATTAAAAAGAGTGAATACAGAGTAAAGTATATCATTGTTCATGGAAGAAAATAATATTTAATTTTATGATCTCAACCGCCTTTCTATAAACACCAGAATACGCAATCTTCGCAATTGATGATGGGTTTACGATACATGTATATAGAAAAATATCTATCAAATATTATATCACTCTAGATCAGCGTCTTTCAGTCTGTCATATGATGAATGGCTGGTCGTTATTTGGGTAGTTAGCTATACCATCTCTGGTCCGAAATCATGCAATTGTCCAGGCGACCAATATCTCTTGTGTCAACCTCTAGAGCTATTAAGACGAGAGTAAAAAATCACCAATACTCAAAACAACCTCCTATATGACAACAATTTATATATCTTCTTCATAACTGGTGGGAAACTTTCCATCTCTTATTATTAAATGTCACTCACTTGATGTAAAATCAGGGTCACCGATTACAGACGTGTTTGGGAGGAATCCTCCCAATAGTTATAAAATCCTAGCTTTTGATATGAATCGACTTTCTAGAGTCTTATATTCCAGAAAGTTTGTAGAGTAAAACATCACCCCTCCCAATTTATTAAAACTCCCCAATTTAACCTTTTAAAAGGAGAGGATGGCTACAAAATAATTTCCAGTGAGCAATATTTTAAAATAATTGCTTTCCCATCTCGTCTCAGAATCAATTAACAAAAATTAATAAGTACAGGTAGATATAGAAATATTTGTTTCCCGAAGACTAAAAAAAAAAAAAACTGAATCGAGCGGTTTCAGTTGGACGGTTGAAGGAGGGCAAACAAAGAATTTTTCAAAGATGGCCTCAGCAACCGCCGTCGCGCAAAGTTTGCCATAAATCATAATCAATAACTATTTTCCATATCTAATAATCGTAATGCTGGATGTCGTGTGCCCATATTTCTGGCGTTTTTCTCTTTGTCAGCTGATCGTGTAAATTGTGGGTAATAATGGCCACAGCTTTGTCTACGACTGACCATGATAAATATTGTCCAGAACAATCCACTGACCCCACTAAGGTCCCTCATTCATAGTTCTTTGTCTGGGCGTAAGATTAATCATTTTAATATAAAATGTCATCAAATTATTAGAAGCATGTGAGCTCTTACAAACGCCAGTGCGTCTGCAATTAGAACACGTGGTGATCAATGAATATGAAATATATCTTTCCAACAGTGGTATAATTTTACAAAATCATCGGAAGAAAAAGTCACTCCGAGCTCAATTCTAGATTCTGTGGAGTAAGAAGTATACACCCTAGCCTAACTAGTATATTTAATGAGTTGATGTATATTTGGTCAGGTGATATGATTAAGAAACCCAACATTCTCTTTTTCAGGAAAATTTTAAACATCTGTTAGAGTTCTGTACAGTAAAATTAAGGACATTTTCAACTTTGCAGAGACAATAATTTGCGATTGCTTAATGTTTCAGTTCATTTGTGTAGCAGCACTAACAGTTTTCATGTCAATGAATAGTTTTTGCCCTGTACGTCCTTCTATTCAGATTTTTTTCAGCAAAAAATTGAACCTAGAAAGTCATTTTGCAGATTTTATTTGAAAACTGAAACATATTTGAAAGGACACTTCACAACTTTCCATTTTTAAGCTTTGACTTTTGAGTCTGGCATAGTTTTGAAGAACTTAAACCTTTAAGGCTTAAATGGTCATAACCTTTGAAAAGTTGGTGCTAGGGGTTTCATATTTTACATAAAAAATCTTGTGACAAGTCTATCTGTTGGTTTTTAATAGTTCTTGACCTTAGAGGTTGACCTACTTTTGAAAAACTTTAACCTTTTCAACAACTATAGAATGACTGGTTCTAGGGCTTTTCTATTTGATATATGTTTTTCTTGTGAAAAAACCATCTCTTAGGACCATTAATTTTGACCATTTGACTAACTGAAAAAAAAAGTTACCATAATTTTTCAGCCCCAATAATTGGAGATTTATCAAAAGAGCACACAAGTGTGACTGGTGAACAGGGGATGCTATCCCCTTCATCACACCTGATCCCACCTGTTATTTTCAGAGGTCCACCTTTGTTCTGGTTCCTGCTTGTATAATGCTCCAATAGACTTTTGAAGTTGAATTCTGTCAATATCTTCAGATTTCCTAAAGGAACACGAGTGGAAATCTGAACTTAAAATCCGACAATCTTAAATAATAAAGACAGGTTTAAGCTAACAATATTTCTTTTTTTATTTAAAAAATATCACAGTCTTAATCTGAATACAAAGTAAACAAACAAATCATCTAAAAACATATTGATGTAAATGTCTAATGTAAATATTCTAAGTCATCTGTGTGCACATAAATAGATCAAGTCTAAAAAATCCGAAAATCATTCTCAGAACATCAAAATATATGCATATGACTTCCTCCATAAAACAAAACAAAACTTAAATTGCCATGTAAAGTCTTAAATATAAACATACAAGCAGATGTCCTTATAAATATATATGTAAATGTACAAAATGAAACAAATGTATCATTCAATAAATACAGTAATAAACAGATGTATATTCAAGGTCATGATATGTTATGCCATCAAATTTACTAAATAACCTGACAGCAATATTTTTATTTCAATAACAAAGAGAATAATAATGTTTATTTTACCTGTTTTTTCTTCTGTGATACAAAATGGTGAATAAACCAGCTATTTTCAAAAAGTCTCTACTATTAAGAAGTTTTTGTGCTTTTTTCCCTATGGTAAAATAGTTGTCAAACTATATTCACCAGCAGCCATAAGATTTCCCTCATGTTTTATCTCGGAAGTGTTCTGGTTTTATCCATGATATGAGGATATATCCAGTAGATGTAAAAATATATATAACACACATGAAAAAAGTGTTAATTATTTGATATAAATTGGCAGGAAACACCATTTTTATACAGTACATATAAAATATAAAACAATAATACTGATTTCCATGTATCACAGTAAATGCACAAAATAGTCGGAATGCTGTATTTCTCTCACTTAAACAATAAAAACATAAAACAATACAGAAAATCAGGGATATGTGTGACAAACTGCTGGAATGGATAATATGCTTCATTTTAGGCAGATAGTCACTATATGTGTGTCCATTATAAACAGGGTTTACTTTACAAGAAACATAAAGGTGTTGCCATTCCAATTTTTTTGTTGGCACATTTATTTACATATGCCCCATGCGCTAATGCCTTCATAAACATTTTACTGGCATCAACAATAGCTATGTACAGATAACTACCATAGCATTTTTTTTTTCTAATTTGTACACATTTACATAATAATTTATAAATTAGCACAGAAGTCTGTGTATTACATATAATACACAAGTCATATAGAGGACATCTTTTTTCTTTTTCGACTAGATAAAGAAAACACTGGATTTCATTCATCAACGATTGTAGCAAAGCATTAAATAATAACTTAAGAACATAGATATTCTTTGTCCATGACTTTGAGCAATGTGTCTCTAGTTTACATATCAGAAATCATCACTGCTGAAATGACGCGGCTAGGTCGGTGATCCTCGCTTTATGGACGCGGCTTGTTTGGCCTCCTCCGGCGTCACGACGACGACCTTCTTCTTCTCCTTCTCTGTCGTCGCTTCTTCTTCGCGGATCGCCTTCATCTGAGCGAGGTCCTCCGTCAGTTTCTGTTCCTTTTCTTTCCGTTCTTGCTCCCGTCTCTCACGACGAGATTCTATCACCAGTTTGGCGCAAACTTCTAGAGGTGCCTTCTCCACATATTCACTTCCTATTAAAAGATCAACAAAAGAGAATCAGTAACTGATGTTTTGTTAGCATTGTCCTCAGCTTAGACATCAACCTTCAGAGGCAAAGTACAGTTATCTCTCAATTATAGCTTTTCATGTCCATTCTCATTCTCAATGCCATTTTTTTCAGAAATGTTTTTTTTCTCCTATATAAAATTATCTTTTTAATGCCTCTTTTGCATATTGCCATCTGCCAATGTTTTGATTACAAATGTCCTTTTCAAAGGGTTTTTATCTCAATATACTGCAACATGTACATGGTTTCAATGAAGTGGCAAATTTGTTGTCACTACTGATAATCCAATAATTAAACCATGAAAATTAAGAATTAAATATGATAATTTTCTTACTATATGAAATTATATGATTTTAATTTTACTCTAAAAATGATTTTATTTTTGGGCATGCCATGACTTTGATAGATGCCTATCTCTGAAACCATCCAAAGTGCAATGAGGCAGAAACTTTCATTTTAAACTGGATTTTTAAAACAACAAACAAATATCAGAAGAACTTTTAACTGTCATTCCTTATTAATACTGTATAACTCCCATTTGGGCGAATTTAAAACGGGGCAAATTCAAAAAATACAGTATAAATTCTTAAACAAAACTATGACTGGGCGAATTTAAAACGGGGCAAAATTGTTTGCAAGTGTGAAAGGGCGAAAATAAGACGGGGCGAAAATAACCCTGTATACAGTAAATGGTAATGGTTTATCAAGAATTTCAGGAAACATAGAAATTTTTATAGAAAACAAAAAAGGATAAGAAAGATACTGCATGCAACACACTTAATCCATTAGAAGTAGATAGAAAAAGAGATATGATACACAGATTGAAGAGAATATAGAATACAGAGCACTATGGTCTACTGGTTATATAAACCAGCTATACGCATTCTGATATGAATAAGATTATTATCAGTCTGATAACTTACAGACAGACACAAGTTAGGTATAGTGCTAATTTATACATCCTAATCATAGCTTACTGAGATAACTCTTGCATCATTAAATATAAGGGAAGAAAAAATGTCTACCAGGAAAATGAGAATTCAAACAAAAGGCAGAAAATCATGCATTAGATGGATATATAATACAGATTCTACAATTTGACTATCTGAGGATTGGGATCTGATGCCTTACGCTTTTTTCCTTTCTTGTTAGATGCGTTGGCTGTAAGCATTCAATCAAACATTTCAGTGAATACATTTTTTTAAAATACACTAACCAAAAATAATAATTTAACCAACATAAAATTTGAAATTTTCAAAAATTTATAAATCTGCATTGGAATGACTGTTTTCTAAGTATTGTTCATCATTTTTTTATTCGCAAGAACCTTTTAAATTAAATTCACATAAGTATGCCAAACCATTTGCTTACAAAAGTTTCCTTCATGCATTTATTTGAATTGTTAAGGATTTTTAAAATGCAACAATGATCACAATTCTGGAAAATTTCGTCTCACTTATAAAAACCAAGTTGCTATCTTGCAAAAATTAGGTGTAGCAAACATATAGTGATCTCTAGTATAGCTCTGATACATTCTCCTTATACATATCTTTTATTTCTGAATCCACTTTTACGTGGATAAGTTCCACTGACCTATGAGTTTCCTGGCCTCCACTCCGTCAATGATGGGATTGAGCCATGTCGACTGTCGTACATTGGGTAGCCCTGTAGCCGACGGTGTATAAATATAGAACACCAGCTCCATCACTTCAGGCTTCAACAGGCCACGCTTAATCTGCTGACCTAAACATCAAAACAGACAAAATTGTTAAATTGTTTTTAAAGTTTAACTGATGTAACATTAAGTTATATTTGCATATCCACTGCTCTCTCCCACTATGAACATGCAGATTCCAACTGCGTTCACAGTGCTATAGACGCAATTGCTTCTGCTATGTGTAGAACAAACTCTACTACACTAGTTACAGGTGTTAAGAAGTATATATATGAAATATTTCATAAGAGGAATAAAAAAAAGTTTTTAATAATATTCTTTGAAAAAAAAGGAAATTCAGAATATTTAAAATTGCTGATTTATATCTTTAAAAATTCTATTTTGGTCAATGTATTTAATTGTATAAGAAAACTTTTTAAAAATTTTTAGAACTGCCATATTTTTATTTTTTCGTATCATACATATTTGTACAAAGAACGATAACTCTTTACACTTGGGTATAATAACATTCAGAAGGAGATTTCTTTTTAACTAGTATATCTACATGTATTTCAAGAATGATATCAGCTATTAAAAATAAATAGAAAACTAAAAAAAAATAATTATAGAAATGCATTCTGGCGTAATAATCATTATAAAAGCATTCTAATCTTTCATCATAGTGTAAAATTATTGATTTTTGTCAGAGGGTTTCAAACGTTGATCGATGACGTCACAACTGCATCAAAACAAAGATTAAGAGAATGTGATGACGGCACTGCTTGTATCCAGATAACTGTGTTTGAGAGGAAAATACTTAAGTTTATAAATTGTGTGTGATTTATTAGAGAAAAGGAGCATTGATCATGTGTACTGATTTTAAAGCCGTATATTTTTCTTTACTGAAGACAAGAAGCCGCGTCCTTATGTAAGTCAGGATTTCCTCGGATATTCTTTTAAAAAATCAAAAAATGCAAATATAAGTAATAAACAACGATTATTCAGTGAACATGGCATTATGAATAGCAACTGCTCTGCTGGCATATTTTCCATGATGCGCTAGCGCGCATCATGGAATATGCCAGCAGAGCAATTGCTATTCATAACGCCATGTTCGCTGAATAACGTTGTTTATTGCTTAAATAAAGATTTTTTCCTTAAAAAATCGTTTTTGCACATATTACAATTAAATTGCTATATGTGCAAAATTTGTGCAAATCAATTTCTGTTTATATTAAAGATTTGGAGATTAAATATTTTCAAGTTTGAAACAATTTCTTTCCGTAACTTCATACCATTGAACACGACATCAATGGCTTCATCAATCTCAGAGGCTGAGGGGTACATGTCACACTCCTTGAAGAAAGACTCCAAGTCTCCAATCTCCAACTCTGAACCAAAGGCTTTTTTATCAAACACACTCTCATACCCTACAAAACAATATAATTATATTCAAAAGGTTCAAAAGCTCTACTAAGCACAAATATTGTAAATTTGAATTTTTTCTATTAACTACTCGAAAGTTATTGTACATCTTTCCAACATTAAATAATAAAATTCATTCACAGCTCATAAGATTTTTTTGCTGAGACAATCTTCAAGGAAAATTTCAATCTGAAAGTTTTTAAAATAAGAAACCACAAAGGAAAGACAATACTACTTCTACAGACAGATCTTACGTCTTCTCATGTCGAGGTACTCGTTCAATTCACTGAGACTGAAGGGTGTCTTTGGTCGGTCCACTCCGTGCCTAAGCTGACATTTCCTGAGCATGCTTTTGTATTCCTTCACCATCTTAGGATAAGCTGACCCAAGCCACACACACTGAAAGGAGAGAGGAATAGCAAGTGAGTCTGCAAGTCTTCAAGAAGTCACAGATCAGTCAAGTCTTCACTAAGTGAAGTCACAGATCAGTCAAGCCTTCACTTAGTGAAGTCACAGATCAGTCAAGTCCTCACTTAGTGAAGTCACAGATCAGTCAAGTCTTCACTAAGTGAAGTCACAGATCAGTCAAGTCTTCATTTAGTGAAGTCACATATCAGTCAAGTCTTCACTTAGTGAAGTCACAGATCAGTCAAGTCTTCATTTAGTGAAGTCACAGATCAGTCAAGTCCTCACTAAGTGAAGTCACAGATCAGTCAAGTCTTCACTTAGTGAAGTCACAGATCAGTCAAGTCTTCACTTAGTGAAGTCACAGATCAGTCAAGTCTTCACTTAGTGAAGTCACAGATCAGTCAAGTCTTCACTTAGTGAAGTCACAGATCAGTCAAGTCTTCACTCAGTGAAGTCACAGATCAGTCAAGTCTTCACTTAGTGAAGTCACAGATCAGTCAAGTCTTCACTCAGTGAAGTCACAGATCAGTCAAGTCTTCACTCAGTGAAGTCACAGATCAGTCAAGTCTTCACTTAGTGAAGTCACAGATCAGTCAAGTCTTCACTCAGTGAAGTCACAGATCAGTCAAGTCTTCACTTAGTGAAGTCACAGATCAGTCAAGTCTTCACTCAGTGAAGTCACAGATCAGTCAAGTCTTCACTAAGTCAAAGGTATGGCTCAAGTCTTCAAGAAATCACATGTATGTCTGCAAGTCTTCAACAAGTCAAAGGTATCTCTGTACGTCTTTCACAAGTCAAAAGTATGTCTGTAAGTCTGTATGGCTCAAGTCTTCAAGAAATCACATGTACCTGGTATGTCTTCAAATCTTTAGCCAGTCTCAAGTATGTGTGCAGATAAGTCTGCAGGTCTTCATCATGTCACATTCAAGTCTGCAAGACTTCAAGAAGTCATCATTATGTGCATAAGTCTTCTTCATTAAATACTGTGACATCACAAATTTTCCTGGGAGTTTAATTTTCATCGTTTTTTAGGTATGGAGAGACCACCACGGAACATAAGCCTGATATGCATTACTACTGAAATTTTCCAACCACAAAATCAAATCTCCACAAACCATTTTTTTTTTCCTCAAACCTTGAAAATTTGACCCAATGAAAATATGTGATATTACAGTATGTAGCATCAATTGTAGAACTTGGTACTGTACTACAGCTAATACAGAACATTTATTAAAGGATATGAAAAATATGAATACACTCAGCTTACTCATTATACCAGATAATAAAAGATAGGGGTAAAAGTGCTTTTTTATTATTACATAATAGTCTGGCAGAGTGGAGAAAATCTCGTAATGTTAATCATAAATGAACAATTCCTATAGAATGCTGGGACATTGTGACAGAGATCATTATTATAAATTCCTCACAGAGAACTAATTACTGGCCCACTGGGAATTACAGTTATTTCCTACGACCTTGTAACAAACAAATGATCAGAAATCATTATCCAATTTGCCAAAAAACTTGAATATTACTATAAATGTCATCAGCACATAAAATGTTGTTTTCTTTTACCATCTGTCTAATTGCAAATAAAAGAAAGAGACACTAACGATTGAAAGCAGCTCTCTCTCTTTATATTTTACGCAATAAATTACTGATTGACATCAACGTTTTACTGGACGTGTCAAAATGTCATGACGTCCTTTGTCACAATAGTGGAACCAATTTACCAAGAAACAACATAAAATATGTCTTCTTTACTATTTGTAAATAAGAACCAGACCAGTTAATTAGAGCTAAACATAAGACACTATATAACAGGACAACAACATAAAATAAAAGTTTGTTATGTATATACAGAGGAATGTAGAAATACTATTTATTGACAATTTGTTTCTGAACAAGAGGAAAAAAAAAATTATTTTTTGGGGAGAGTTGGGGATTTCCTTATGAGTATAAATAAGAATTCAATGCTCAGGTCCCTTTTTTTAAATGAAAGATTCATCAATTCTCCAAGTAAAGTCCAGTGAAGTTTAACTGACATTAAAAGATACTCACCTTCCTGCGGAGTCTTTCAAACCTCTTCCTGACCAGGAATCCTCTTATATATCTCTGAATATGAGTGGCGGCATTAAACATGTCGCGTTTTGTAGGACCAGTCTGCTTCGGATGATAAATTCTGAAAACCATCATAGAGGAGAATCTTAATTTACAAAATATTCAGAATGTTATTTCACGAGCGAAATTCAGACAAAATTTGATGTGGAATAGATTTTCAATGACATAGACCAAAGAAGGATAACTCTGGAGACTTACTGATAAATGTCGACATGGGGTCCAATGGAGGAGATTTTGGAGGCACTTCTCTGATAATTGAGCGTGTTACTGTCAATCAAGCAGAAAGTCAAGTCAAGCATTAACACCACCGCCCATGAGTATTACATATACATATCAAAGGAAAGCATTAATACACAAACAAAGTCAAAATTAAGCTAAACTAAAAATGTTATAATGTTTCAATGTCAAGATAAGAAAAAAAATGCCAACCCAAAACATCTAGTTCATAATTTTTAAAAAAATGAAAACTGCAGTTATTGTTCAAGCTTTATTAAATATTTATAATACCAAAAGAAAAATACATGTATAGATATTATAAGAATGTTAATCCATAACAAAACTGTATGCCATTTACAATTAGTTAATGAAAGAGTTATTAAAACTGATTAATTTGAGGGAAAAAAAATCTATTTTCCGATTGATTTTATCTGCCTTAGTTGCTTGCTCAATTATAACTACTTTTTCCTGTCAATAAAGAAACATTGAAAATTAATTTAATTATTTGCTCTGACAATTTTTTTAATGTTCGTACATGACACAGTTTTTTGACACGTAGCAGTGTTCTTACTTTTCGACCAGCGCCTCCATCTTTCTCTGCCTCCTATCGCTGTTCTCGTTCTGAATTCGTTTAAAGTTTGCTGCCCACTCTAAGTGCTCCTTCTTCAGTCCTGTTTGTTTGTAGATCTGAGATTTCCTGATCATGTGACCTCTATATCGCCTGTTAAAAAATGAACATGTGTTCAAGTTGTCTCCCTTCAAAGCAATTCATTGCTCTTTCAACGTAATATTACTGCTTTTTTTTTTACAACGCATACAGGAGCACTTTCAGGAATTTTCCTTGAAAAAGTTGTCTTTGATCATTAAGCTGATTAAACTGACACATTGAAATGGCCAGCAAATATAAAATGCTCAAACCCATTCCTGACTGAAGTCCACCACGATTCCTTACCTCTGAATTTCTACTGCTGCCTTTTGTTCATCTTCAAGTCTCTCTCTTTCTTCTCTCATTAGTTTTTTGTAAACATTTCTTGCAACATAACCCCGGAAAATTCTGCAATTATGAAAAAAAATCAAAAATTCAAACAATTCCTATAGCCTAATTATTCAAAACTTACGAGGGCTGTTCGGAAATTATTGAGACAATTACATTAACTCCATAAATGACGGAGATAATTTCATGAAAATTCATCCACATTTTATTTAGAACGAATAAAACACTTATGCAAAATTTCTTATTCCTATGATAATTAGATAAGTTTCGGTGAAATGATAAACATACATATGTCTATTGACCCGGAGCAGCATCGCAACGTCATTTTACAGTCACGTCAGTCGGAGATGTTTTCGTATGTAAAGTGATCGGGAAGTGTTTAATACTCTTCTTTCTTTGTTATTACACATAAAGTTACAAAAATCAAACAGTATCTTTTCTTAAATTATTCTTTAAAGATGTATGCTGTTGCTACCCCAGTAAACAGTTTTATTTTTTGGGAAATGATGACTTAGGATCGTGCAGTGCCGAATTATGCAGTGCGGGTTTAATAACGTAACATTTATATCGTACGTAATAACTCATGGTCGAAAAGGGCTTTCAAATTTACTCTGGTTGAATTCATTGTGAAATAAAATTATACCAATGAAATAACAAACTATAACACATTATTTTATTCTCCATGTTATTGGTTTTGTAGGTCGTTCAGTCTGGTAAAGGGGTCTACATTGCGCTACACAAAATTTTAGGTATACCGGCTGCTCCCCATAGACGTCAAAATGAACATTGTCGTTGTTTGCAGATTTCTCTACCACATTAATTTTTTTTCTGTATTTCTGATCAAAATTCTATCAAAGTTGCACAACATGAATTTGAAATAAAGCTGAAATATTATACACCTAAACTGATTTATTTTCGCTCTTATTATGGATCCACGAAGGGTAAGAATGTTGGTGTTACTTATTTTCAATATCTGATTTCCTGACTGCTCCGGATACCCCTACTATTAACGCATTTGTATACCATTGTAGAGAAAATATTTAATATTTCTAAAATATTTCTTGCTTTTATTAATTATTAGTGTTTGTCAAACGTATATGCAAAATTTCACCGAAAGACGTTCATTAGAAAGCAATATATACACAATGTCTCAATAATTTTCGAACAGCCCTTGTATGTATATATCTAAAACAATTGCACTGGTTGCATTATACAAAAGTAATGTTAAAATATTTCCATTTCTAATTTTTTTTCTCGGTGATAACTCTTTGAAAGTTAGGGGAGTTTATTTCTTGATAATTCTGCCGGAATGTAAATTAGGCAGGTCGATAGGTCAGGAGCTAAGGAGGCCTAATATGCATGCAAATCCTGTCTCTGTGTCTGATGCTAAGGAGGCCAAATATGCATGTAAATATCGTGCGGCTGCCTTTGTGTTTGACGTCAGTGGACCAGGACTATTGAAATTGGCATGGAACTCCTCGTGTAATTTAAATCTATATATTTACATTCAGTGTAATTTTCTTTATTGAATCCATTAGAAATCCACGACGTTCAAATTTCTGTAACACACGCGAAACCTTGTCACAGCGCGGTAGAATACACAGTAGGAACTACACGCATTTTCAATATTTAGGAATACCAAAAGGTATATTGTTTTGACTCAATTTCATTTTTAAAAACTACCCTTTTAAGATTAATATAAATAAAAATACAGCAAATGTGCATTAAAAACTTATTTTTCATTTTATTTCCTATTCTTGTAATGTTTATTTGCGTTATTTAACTTTCCAACGTCACAAACGGCTTTCCAACATCACGACAACTATTACGTTTATTAAGCACACCAATACCAAAGGGCGCTAAATTCACATTAAACATGAAGGAAATAAACAATTATGATAAAGGAAAATTAGAAAATGTAAATATAAGCATTGAATTCATATTTTGGGATGTCTTCGGTCGTACAACACACCTGGCCGTGCCGACAAATTATCATACCGTGCTAACGCGTGGTATTCAATTTGTCAGCACGGCCAGGTGTGTTATACGACCGAAGACATCCCAAAATATGAATTCAGTGCTTAAATGTCTACATTTTTAAAGTCTAAATCTACAATTTTATTTCACAATGAAATGGAAATATAAGGAATCACTGTCTAGTTAGTATAGTATGCCAGGGACATCAACGATATAGAGAAACATGGAATAATTTATGCGTAAGAGGCTTCGCCCGTTATGCAAATTATCCCATGTTTCCCACTATCGTTGATGCCCTGGCATACTACACTAACTAAGACAGTGATTCCTCAGTATATTAATTAGCTCTCCAGTAAAAGGAGGAAGAATTATACAGACCTCTGGATATCAACTGCTGCCTTGGCCTCAAACTGTGTCCGGGCTGCAGCGGCCTCTTCATCCTATTACAGATCATAAAAAAGTCCTCTATATGTTAGTACAGTATGATAAACTTGAAAGTAAGACAATTTTGTTCTTTGTTAATATGCTTTGCATAAATTCATTGGCAAAGATAAAAAATTTACAATGAAATGTTATAGTATCTTTCTTCAAGTAAAGCATTTAGTTTCTTTTGCAGATAGCTGTGTGTCAGGCAGATGTTTTTTTTTTTTTAAATGAATATTATATATTTACAGACTTTGTTTTGAATCTAATGTCCCCCTCATGCCGTCTCTTACCGGGTCTGGTATCCGTGACACCTGAGCAATGGGTCGACCGATGTGAGCTATGGATTGCAGTGAGGAGCTGGAATACTTGGAGGTGGTAGAGATTAGACTCTTCTTCTCCTCCATGGATGGCTCATGTTCATCTAGAAAAGCCACCTTCTTAGTCTCATTTCCATCTTGTTCTTCACTTGCCTTCTCTACAAATTTTGGACAGGTAAATCAGACTTCATGAATTTGAGAGCTTAACATGAATGCTGACCTTTATTCAGGATATATTTAATATCACTTTTTACTCTAGAAGGGGGTAATTTACCCTCTAATCCCTCTATAAGGCTCCCTCTGGTGGACAGTCGACACACCTGGAGGGAATCCATTAGACTGTCTTCTCTGTTGAAATGGGATCCAGGGGGAGCGGACACAGTGTCCTTCCTTAGATCCACCACTGCAGGGAAGAAATAGTACAATTCATACAGACATCATATTTAAATCAGAGAAAGAAAGAAATTAAGGGTAAAATTGGTAAATAAAAAAAAAAAAATTGTACTTCTACCAGGATAAATCAACTACAATTCACAATTAACTATTTATGAAGTTTAAAAATAAAATTTTACAATTTAAATTTGAACAATTTTAAATTCCTAAGACATAAAATATGATTATTTTGAGAATCTACAAATGGGAGACCAACTTAAAAATTTTGGCATATTTAAGGTAAACAAATCTTGATTTGACTACCAGATAGCAACTGTGTATACTATATAGAAACCAGAAGTCTCTGTCGAGACTGTAGCTCTACTGGTTTATACTTAATAAAACAAAGGAAGAGAAAAGTAGCAGTTGGGACTTGAAACTTTAAAACAGCAATAAATACAAAAATGATCCTTGCCGCTCATCAAAATAAAAACCGATGCACAGAATTAAGTATCTCAGTATAGTCTACTTGTGTGCCAAGTTATATTGAAATCGGACTGAAACTGTAGAAGGAGTAGCATTTTGAAAGATTTTCACAAAAATTGCTATTTTTAGTAACCACAGCAACACTGTTCATCGAAATCAAAAACTGATATACAGAATAATTATATATCTTAGTGTAGTCTACTTGTGTGCCAAGTTATATTGAAATCGGACCAAAGCTGTAGGAGGAGAAGCATTTTGAAACAATTTCACAGAAATTTCTATTTTTAGTAACCATGGCAACACCGTTCATCGAAATCAAAAACCAATGCACAGAATTAAGTATCTTAGTATAACTTGTGTGCCAAGTTATATTGAAATCGGACTAAAACTGTAGAAGGAGTAGCATTTTGAAAGATTTTCACAAAAATTTCTATTTTTAGTAACCACGGCAACACCGTTCATCGAAATGAAAAACCGATATATACAGAATAATTATATATCTTAGTGTAGTCTACTTGTGTGCCAAGTTGTAAGTTATATTGAAATCGGACCAAAGCTGTAGGAGGAGTAGCATTTTGAAAGAATTTCACAGAAATTTCTATTTTTAGTAACCATGGCAACACTGTTCATCGAAATCAAAAACCGATGCACAGAATTATGTATCTTAGTGTAGTCTACTTGTGTGCCAAGTTATGTTGAAATCGGACTAAAACTGTAAGAGGAGTAGCATTTTGAAAGAATTTCACGGAAATTTCTATTTTTAGTAACTACAGCAACACCGTTCATCGAAATCAAAAACCGATGCAGAGAATTATGTATCTTAGTGTAGTCTACTTGTGTGTCAAGTTATACTGAAATCGGACTGAAACTGTAGAAGGAGTAGCATTTTGAAAGATTTTCACAAAAATTGCTATTTTTAGTAACCACAGCAACACTGTTCATCGAAATCAAAAACCGATGCACAGAATTATGTATCTTAGTGTAGTCTACTTGTGTGCCAAGTTATGTTGAAATCGGACTAAAACTGTAAGAGGATAGCATTGAAAGAATTTCAGATTTTTGTAGCAACATATGACAAAAACCTGCAGAGAATTTTATATGATATATATGTGTCAAGTTTCTGAAATACATGTAATACATTTTGTCACAGAAACTATTTTTACAAATCAAAACTGAGAACACAAAAAAGCTACCTTCATTAGCAAACACATGTAATTCTAACACATCCCCATTACCTAAAACTATACAAGCTATTACAAGTCTACTTGTGTGCCAAGTTATATTGAAATCCGACCAAAACTGTAGGAGGAGTAGCATGAAAAATTGTTTGTACGGACGTATATCGCCATTTGTACAATATAATTGTTGTAATATAATTTTATATGATATATAAATGTAATACATGTAATTCAAAACTGAGAACACAAAAAAGCTCCATTAGGTTTAAACATTCCCCATTACCTTATACAAGCTTTTTTAAAAATTCACATTTGTGCAATATAATTTTTATAAATTTAAAGTTCAGTGCATTTTATTTTTTAAAAATATATTTGTATCAATTTAATATCTAAGATTGCTTTCTTTTACATTGCACCTGCATTCATAAGAGCAAAATATAACTGTTCATGGTTAAAAAACTACACCTGCTATCAACAATTGATTGAAACACATTTACTAAAACATACACAGAACTATTTCCATAATGATAAACCGGTATCAAACATACATGGAGAAAATGATTTTCTCTAGGTAGGCCCGCCCCTCTATCAAACATTTAATTATCGTTTCCCATCAGCGTCCTTAATAAAACAATATGAACCACTTCTTTTTAACTTTTAATGGCTTTTAAAAATCAACAGACAAATTGTTCATGCCAAGGTTTCTATTGACATAAGCTGCACGAAGCTAACACAAATAAAATTAAACAGCGTGCACTTCTGCATAGACAAATTTTGAAGTGAAAACTGCTCTGTCATTACAAAGAAGCTCTGAATCTACTCAAATCTGCTACTTTATTAAAGGGAAAGTAACTATCTTTTCATTTTCTTCTAGTAATTTTGATACCAGTTTTTTAAAGTTAATTTATCACACAAATTACCCGTTACAAATTCAGCGATATTGGAACCTTCAAATATTACAAAACAAACAAGAACTTTGAGTGTATATCCACAATTCTATTTACTTTTCCATAATTATATGTGTCTCATTAAACTGGGGTCATCATACTTTGAAATTTTGATTTAAACCAAATCACGACTCTAAATAATGATAAATTACAATCTTACCATGCTCCATGAAGTGTCGTGGACTTTTGACTCTCCTCGCGTGGTGTTCAAGTCCTGAGTTGTAGGTTTCTCCGTGTCTCGGTGACACCCCGGGCTGATGGTAGGGACTAGGGATAGAGGGAGGGGTTCTGACAGGAGGGGCTCTCCTAAAATAATCGTTCTGTTTACGGGCCATTCGTAGCACCTGGGCAGACACACTTTGTGGACGCCCGGGCATCCTGCCCGCAGTCCTGCCCACCTTAGTGGACATACTGTTGGGGAGACACTCAAAGCAATAGTTCTCTGGTTTCACAATTGTCTTATACCAAACCTCCCCCTTCTGGAAGAGGCCTGTTGTTTTTGGCGCCTTATGGTCGGGAATGTACTTCTCAGAATCCACCTCCTGTAGCTCTACGTCAGGGGTAAAATTCCAGGTTTCCGATCGGCTGAGGACCTGTAGGGGGCGCTGTCTGAACTCCTGTGGTGTGGGTGCCCGGCCGGCAGACGGCACTGACGTGACCTCTATGTGGACCTGTCCATTATGTAAATCCTCCGTGTGGAACCGAATTGGCTGTCGTGGTGCTATCTGGTCTTCCTCGAGTGTTGTGGTGGTTGTCACGGAAACATTGTCATCCTCCTTGATAATACCGATTATTCGCCCCTGATCGTCAATACTGACCGTTCCCACTCCAGGAACATCCCCCAAGTCTTGCTTTCCCTCGAGATCCTCCTCCTGAAAATATACATCACAACTCTTACATTTAAAGGGAAAATATTTAGATTTCAAATCTACATTCAAGGAATAAAAAACAAAATAAATTCCCTTCTTTATACTCTAAAATATTATTTTGGTGCACTTACATCAAATTTAAATTTAATCATGTACTTATTAAAGATTTAAAAGATAGATATTTTCTTATTTCAGAAATGCTTATTTTCAATATGGTGCTAAACATGCCAACCGTAAATATGTACCTGTAAATCTGGTGTTTGAAAATGAACAGTTGGTTGCTGATCTTGGTCTGGTTCTGGTTGGTTTCCGTGGAGACGGTGGTCCTCAGAAACTAGTTCTCCTTTGACTGGTTCTTGATCCTCACATATTGGCTGGTCCTCTAATATTCTACAGAATAAGAATTAACTGTAGCGATTCTGACTACACAAAGTCACAGAACAGCCGACTTTTGGCTACAGATAAATAAATATTAGAGAACACATCCTTGTCAGACATTTAAAGTGACAGTATTTTATTCGAGACTTCCTTTAGCTTTAGTAAGATTTAAATGTGATAAACATTAGAAAATCTAACGTGAATATATCCTGTTTAGGGAAAATCGGACAAAACATTAGAAATAAAATCATCAACAAACTCGGAGCCAAGAACTTTGGTTTTTACTGTGCTATTTGTATGCAGGTTATCAGTGATCGGAAGTTCTATGACTATTTACCTGTAATCAATTAAACATAACCTTACAACAAACCAATTTTATCACCTGAGGTTGTGATAAATTAAGCATTTAAATACAGGAGTCCAGCTCCTATTCCTATTTTCTGGTGCTCTGTAATGTTAATCTGCTCCCAGAAATACTTGGTTTGAATTCTGGTGCTTGCCGTTAGGTGTTAGATTGAGGTAAAGTGCACGCTGGATTAGCAGGGCTTACACTGGGCAAAAGCCAGACAACTAAACTGTAGAGCTGACACCTCAAACTGTGGCAAGGGGCACACAGAGATATATTTATTGTATCTAATCAAAGATTGAAATGTTATGCTTTGAATTTTTGAAGGTTTGTATGAACACCTTTATTTAAAGTAATAAATAAGTATATATACACTGTATGTTTAAAAATGAAACTGCATTTATTTAATTAAATTTCTTGAATTAATATATTAATTTTGTTCTTTGGCCTAGCTTGTCTGTTCTATGCAGAATATTTATTTATTGCAGTAAGTTACATCATGTAACAAGACATTATTATTAATAAAACAAAACATATTCTGTAACCTGTTTGATCCATATAAAAATACCTTCTAGTCATTCAAAACAGCTTTACATGTACTGAACTTTAACGAATCATATTTAATCTGTGAAAAATTAAGCCTTAATTACTCATATTAGCCCACTTCTCATTGACAATTCTTAAACTTAAAATATAAGTATGACCCAAAGTAGAAATTCCTGATCTTCAACACATTATTTCTTTACAATTACACTGGGGACTAGAAATCCCGCACATTTAAATGATATTTGTGATCCTCTGTTAATTCTGAGTGTTTACATCAAATCATCCCAGTTTTACTTATTGTTCATCTTTAACCAATACATTAACAATTAAAAATTTGTTATAAAAGAAAAAATAAATAAGTGGCAATGAAAGAATGTCTTCTTTTAATTGACTGAATAAGAAAATAGAACTTAATCATTTTGAAAAATTAAATAAAATTGAAAAAAGCAATAGCCAAATCTAAAATTATTGATTTAGGAGCAAATTAAGGAAATAAATACATCAATACAGGAATAATTTGTGTCTGTAAAATTAAAACTGCAAGTAATAAAAGATATAAAATGTTGTGACTTACTCGTCAACTCGACTCTCGGCCCTGGTTTCTGATCGGGATCGTGTCTGGCGACTTTGGGCTCGACTACCTGGGTAAAAATAAAACAATCAGAATCTGGTATACAAACATTGTGTCCTTACACAGAGCTCTCATCTCTCCGTGGCCAGTTCTAGCGCCCGCGTTTATCTGCCGTGTAAATTATAATGATGTCCTCAGACCGTCTCTAATCCACTTCAATGACATGATATACAAGTTTTCTGTTATTTTCAATTGTTATGTACACAATGTTATACATGTGTTCTTTACAGAGATAAGAAACAGCAAACGGTTCTCTTTGACAGTCACCAAAGAAATTCACTTCCTTCGCATTTATAAAGATTTTGTTTATGAAAATTAAAAACAGCCATCACCTAGTTTTAATGATTAGTAAGAAATGGACCACAAATAAAGATTACTTTGACATTTAACATTTCAGAACATCTTGACTGTTAACAGATCAACTCTCACATCGTTAAACAGTCATGTAATACGTACCTGCTCAATTTATAAAGAAAATTAAAAAATTTTCGATAACCAATACCTTGTTAACTTTCCTGAACTACTTATTAAACATGGTCTCTAAATATAAAAGTCAATATTCTGAAATTTAGTGTCCAAACAAAGTAAACTCAGGAGAGACATGGGTACACATCTAGAGTGTTTGGGAACCACATCTCTTAGTATATGTGTATTTACTATCTGACATTTGTAAAATAGATTTACCTTCACTTAAAGTTTTGGGAATTTTGAACAATAAAAAAATCACCTTGTTTCAGTTAACAGAATCTAAATTCAATTTTGTCAATTTATAGCTTTTAAGTCTTGTTTATGCCAGCTCATTATTTGTAAAACTTCAGGATATAAATGTAAACAACAGTGTCATCTTTGGCCAGATATTTAAGTTCCTGTCATCAAGGTTGTCTAGGAGATCATCCTTTTACGACTGTTTAATAAATTGAATCCTCTTAATAATTTCTGCATTGTTCGCACTCTGTGAACATTGAATTCAAGCTCAATAATGCTAAAATAAGGAAAATATCCTTATGATTTTGCATGAAATGAATGAAACCTGAAAATGCATTTCAGAAAAAAAAAGTTTTGCAAAATCTGTTACAGGGTATTTAATATACATTTTCTTTTAGTGTGAGATCAAAGGACTTTTTTGATGATTGTCATATTTCTGCTGAAACGAAAGGAACTTAAAATGCATGTTAGATAAAAGTTTTGCAAAATCTGTTACAGGGTATTTAAAATACAATTTCTTTGAGTGTGAGATTAAAGGACTTTTTTTTTCATGCATATTTCTGCTGATTTTTAAAAAAAATAATTTTAATCAGCTTTGCCAAAAATAAATTTTCCAGATAATTAAAATATTAAAAATAGTGATTATGTATGTATAACAAAGGCTCACAAGTTGGATAAACATCATATACTTAATGTGCAAGTTCTACTAAAAATACAATAAAACTTCATTATCTCAATGGGATAAAAAACTAAGAAATCAGAGGCTTTGAAATAGCTACTGCAAGGGTGGTATATTACATTAAGAAAATGCTTGAACTGTCAACTCACTTGGACATATCTATCTTATTAATACAATATCAAAGGTTGAGATAACAAAGTTCCACTGTATCTATAAAGGTGATACTGGATGAAAAAAAAACACATATTGGATAAAAATCCAATCCAACACAATCTATGTATAGCAGATCCTATGTAGTCTTTAAAGAAGGGTCCATATATTGCTCCTTACAGCACAGTCTGTTGATTATTTTAATCAAAAGTTTAGAATTCACGATTTTCTATAGTTCAGAAAGTTGTGCTTCTTTTTAGATATGTTATAAAGTCCAACCACATCATCTGGTACTCAAGACCTTTAAGACATGCAAGGATTTGAGAAATCAAGGTTTACATGTAAATACTTAGAGATAAGTTAGGAATTCCACTTTATATTTTTTAAGGTTTCAGTGTATATTTGATACAGAAGTTCAACTGTATGTAGAAAATTTGACTGTAATTATTTTTTTGTTGAGCTTGAGTACTGTTCATTAGCTCCATATATTTCAAAATTCTGAAATTTGACAAAAAAGAGTTTGGGGAAAACGTAAATTGTATTTTCAAAAATGAAAACTGGCAGAAAGCTTATTGTAATCCACCACCAGAAAAGTAAAACTTTAAAGCAATCACACTTATAAGCAACATCTTAAGAAGAACAAATAATTATTACAATAAAAAATAAATTCAGATCGTGTTACTATCATCAATCCTTCAATTCAAATACATGGTTATTACGATCGCTGACATATAAAATGGACACCCACAATGTTGGTCATAATACTACATCTTATAAAGCAAAAATTAGAAAAAATCATCCTGTATATAGCCAAACTAATATCATTTTAACCTACCTTTTCCAAAGCGAATATGTTTTTTATTCACTGAAAAATCACAGCATTGTCATGAAACAATAACATCACTTCTGGATTTAGTAAAATTTTACAATTTCTTTTGATGAGTTTTAAATAATTTTGACTGTGAGTCGGTATTTTAATGACACCTGTAAACACGGATTTCAAATGTCATGTTGCCTCTTACATTCCACTTAATTTCTGTCCAACTCTGACCCACAATAAATAGTGGGTGTTACAGAATATTATCATTAAAAAGAAAATCAGATACGTTTACAGCCTACCTGTCTTATTTTAAATAGGTTTCCAGGAGGACAAATATTAACCAGCCCTAGCTGATAAAGTCAGCGGAATATTAAAGAGATTAAGAGTTAGTGATAATCCCCTGGATTATTAAAGGCCAGAGTAATTCCAATCAGCGGATACACAGTACTATACCCGCCAGAGAGTCAAGTATTTAGAGCACCTTGCGATATATTGAGTTCATATAGACCTAATTCTATTGCTATATATATTCTGTATACTTGGTTATTTGTTCCAAGTTTTGATACAAATGATTTCAAGTTACAGTTGTGAGATAGGAGGGCATTGGTCATCTTATTAATGTTTCCTTTAATCAAGTTCAAAGAGAAACATTGATTTGTAAAAGTAAGAATCTAAATTTATAAAGACGAATCTGTAAAAAAGAATTAACATCATAGAATTTAATGTATGATGACCATGTTCTGATATGAAGCAGTGACCTTGACACAGATACAAGATATGTGACCCATGTAACCAAGCTTACAGCTGCAGACCAAAAAAAAAAAAAAAAATGCCCCCCCCTCCCTTAAATGTTTTATGGATAGGCGAGGAGTGAGGACCAAAATGTTGATATGAAATTGCTTACTTACAAAGCTAGAAAGAGTAATTTAAATCTGAGACATTTTCAAAACCTCCCTTCTTTTGGTTTCAACATACTTACTATAATGAGTCAAATATCCAACTCACAAACTAAACCAAATTTTATAACAAGTTCTTCTGTGTTCATAAGTTATGGAGAAATATCAAAAATTGTCAAGTCATTGGGAAAAAAAATAACAAAATGGGCAAATATTTATCTCATTTTAAAGTTTCATTGATAATCCTTGAGAATCACCTTGGATGTCTTCTTTCACTAGACGGGGGGATATTACGGGATATTTGGGGGTCCAGTACTGATAATGGGCTTAATGTAATTCAACCCAACTTTACAAAGTTACAATCAAATAAAGCAATGTTCCAAAGTCCAATTACCCCCAAAACACTGCCAAAAAACATTCAAGGTTCTCAGCAAATTGAGAAAACTTTCCAATTTCCAGGCAGCATGCTTAAATCTTAGGAAGTAAAGTGAGGTAGTTTTTCTTATGAAGATAAGAGGCCCTCATAGACGTATAATATTTTGTTACGTCATTAGCTGTAAGTGGGTATACATACCAGGAAAGTTTAATTCATCTGGCACCCAAATTCTTACAGGTAAATAGAAATAAATATGCTTTAATATGACTGTTTGCTTAATTCATATAAGTAATGTTATCCTCTAGGATTTTGTTGCTTGGTGGGGCAAATATTTCCATAAACCTTTCCTATCAAGAAATTGTGTTTTTATTAAATGATGTGTATATTTTACTATTCAAAACTAAGAACTAGCTGACACAGCTAAATTTTGTACGATCATGGAATGAAGTGAGAAATATAATATTTAAATTTCAGTCCGTCTGTATTTCTGTCTGTCTGTAACACTTTTGTTTCTGCGCAATATCTCAAAAAGCTTTTGAAGTGAAATTTTACACAACTCCTTAAGCCTACGGAATACCCCTACTGATTTTAATGTATAGACACAGCCTTTGCATATTACCAGGTAGTTTTACCTGCTATAATTTTTGCTGAGACCTTGTTTGTGAGGACAATCATAATTATAAACTTAAGATTTTGAGACTAACAATATCTAAAGATCCAATACAATTTTGCTCTAGTACTGTTAATTTCAAAAAAATCGTAAAGTAATAACCCCCTCCCCCCTTTTTTACAAAGTAAGTTTACAGGAAAACAACATATTCATTGAAAGAAGTATTTCTTTCTTATACATATTTCAGATGCATATCAATATTAGTAGAAAATATTTCACAATTTTCTAATTAAAAGGGTAGTACATGTATTTCTAAGCAATAGCATTTTTTGCTCCAGGCAAATAAAATACCCATCTTACCATGCAGTGGTGGAGTCACTCACAAAACTGGTGTACATCTGATATTACTAGTGTCTTATAAGGCGAACACACAAAGAATAGGGACATACTCCATGGGTACAGGGGTGGTGGTGTTTATAGCCTTACCTGCCAGGGAGCGCGGTGCTGAGGACACAATAGGGACATACTCCATGGGTACAGGGGTAGTGGTGTCCGTGGTGGGGTGACCAGTATGCCTGCTACCACTCAGAGAACGCAGAAAATCCTACAGGAAAAACGGGCATCAACAAAAGTGTTAGCTGGTACAAATAAAACAATGAATGAACAGTTTTAAAAAAATTGTTATGATTCAAAGTGATGGCTTACCTCATCCAGTAATATAGAACTCATAGACCCCATCCTGGGAAAGAAAGACAGCAATTATTTGAACTGCAAACATATTCTGTTATTTATTAAAACTCTCTTTAAATATCCTTTTAAGAATAATACCCTGTATTCCAGTTCTCGATGGGTTGTACTCTCATCAGTGAGTCCATGGCTTTAGGGTCCACCTCGGTCATGGTGTTAGTCGCTGCCTGAGACTCCACTCGTGTGTTAGAGTCGCTGTCCTGTAATAAACTCTCAGATTTAGTCTCAGACTTATCTCCTTATCTCATTAAATGCTAAATTACACTGGTAGAGTTAATGTTCTTGGTCAGCTACCACTAGTAGAGTTAATGTTCTTGGTCAGTTACCACTGGTAGAGTTAATGTTCTTGGTCAGTTACACTTTTTACTTGTCTAAATATTTGTTACACTTTTTTTACTTGTCTAAATATTTGTTTTTTACTCTAAAGATGCCAGATTTTTATTTTTTCAGCATAATGTATTCCTGTTATGTTGACAAGGTGATGTAGACTTACCTTCTCTATTTTCCAGCGTTCATGAACAGACACAGGAGCTGTTTTTGGCCTTTTACCAGCATGTGTGGCACCAACTGGACGCTTCCCCTTCATTTTCTTGACATACGTATGGTCTCCAAACTTTGACTTCTGCCACCTGAAAGAAAAAAAATTCTTTGAATTACATACTTCTAATGACCTGAAATATGATTTAAACAAAAAAGAGTAAACTGAATGATTTTTGGGAGTTGAACTATGTTCAATCTCCCATGGTCATCAGGCATTTAACATGCGCAGTAATTTTTGTGTTGATTATATAGAGCCGAAAGTGAGGCTACTGTGTCGACCAATTTACTCCAATGATATTCAACAGAAAACATGCATAAACATCCGCCACAAATAGCTCATGTCATTTTCTCCTGAATTGATCTTATTTTCATAATTTGAAATGTAAGTAAATGTAATGATAAAGTAATCTGATTTTGAATATTAGATATCGTTCAAAATAAAACTAAATTATAAAGAACCTCAAAAGTTTTTCGTAATGGAATTCACTTTTAGTGTAGCGTCATACACTGAAAGAGATACGAACGACAACTCTACATACTGACGGCAAGCGGTAAATCTAGTCTTCCCGACGCCCGACTGTCCCGTATTTTTAGCAATTTCTTTTTTACCAGTGCACAGAATTTATTCAAACTTTTCATGAACATTTTCTTTGTTTAAATGAATTCATTAATGCATAAAAACTTTAGGAAACATGCATATTTATTACTAAATCAGCAGCATCACCTGCCAAAAGCGGTAAATCTAGTACTCTGTTATAAATGTTAAAACCAAAAACGGACACCGATGTTTTCGTAAAATCGCGATTAAAAACAACAAAATGAAGTCTATTTTTTAATAAAAGGAAAACCTCATTTACATTCCAGATACTTTGTATGCACACAAACTCTCACATATACCACTGTTTTTATGTTTGGTCATTAAATATTTGTTTTTAACTTGGTATTGCTTTTTTCTTCACAATATTAAAAAAGATTAAGTTCTGATGTACTCCATGTATAATGTTCGTGTAATTGAAATAGATTTATATTCACAGAGAAGTTTTATATAACAAACCTGTTAGCTCTTAAAAGGATGCTTTGTGAAAATCCACATTTTATCAACATTGATATTATTCCTGCCAAACTGAAATTTTCATAACACATGGGTAAAGGTGCCAAGGAAAAATATATAACAAATTTGAAGACTGTGAGCAGTGAATTATATAAATGATCAACCACCTCTAATATGAATATAATGACAGTGTCCATGTTTTGCAATGCGAAACCCAAAATATGTGTAGGATGAAAAAGTAATAGAAGGCGCACAACGGCAATATGTAATAAAGATTCTATGAAAATTTCGTTCAGTGGTGTAAGAGGAGTTGCGGATAAGAGATGGGTATACCTAAAGCGTAACAAACAGATGGACGGAAATCCTGATTAATAAATACCCTCCCGCTTTTCAAGCAGGGGGTATAAAAAAAGGACTAATGTAGGCAGGCAAGCATTATGGCCCATGCATTTTTTGCTATTCAATGTCTCTGAATGTCTTTCTCAAGATTGTTGCAACACAAAAAATCTGAAACAGTTGTCTGTATTTGAAATAGTAATATTGTTCACTCACTTAACCTCCCGATCAAAGATTTTATTTTACACCATGTTCAACTCCCATGAGTGCTTTCAGTACTTTAAGTTATATACCGGTAATTAAACATTTGAAGGATTCCAAGTCACTTATGGAATAATGTCTTAACGAAAGTTCTTTTTGACTAATGAATGTTCATTATACACAAAAAGAGATCAATAACTTATCTTTAACATCAATTCATATTACATATTTCTACATACTTAGCCCGTTCTGTGTCTGGAATAATCTTCCCTCTCCAGTCTATGGCCTCGGCAGTCCTACTGGGTGTGCCTGACCTTGCAGATTTTGGGGGGTGGGGCTCAAGAAATTCAACACCATGGGGAGAGAAAGATGTATGTGGTCTTGGTCTGTCAGTTCTAAATTGACAAAGGAAATTGAAAAATAAAACAAAATTTTCAAATGAGTAGTCTCATTAATTGAAAAAAAGCTAGTGAAATAGATATTGATGCATTGACCAGTAACTGTTTCAAAGAACATTAAAATAATCCCTAGACTTACGCTATTTCTGGTGAATTAGATCTTTGTATTGGGCTAGGTGACCTATGACCTGTAGCTGTTGCTGGGCGTGACAGCGGTCGTCTGGATACCGTGTTACTGGCGGGTTGTCTGAATCCCGGACTAGGTGCTGGAGCAAGCTAAGGGAGGTAATACAGAAAATTACCCTAACACGAGACACCGAAAATAAAGTGTTTCTGTATTTTTAGTACTCATACTTTAGTACTTGTTCATATATAAATCAATGTTTCTATCACCCTTCACAGGTCAAGGCCAAGGTATATATAGCATCCAATCAACATCTAGTAGAAAATATAACATCTGTTCTTTCTTTATCAGCTTTGAGATTTAGGAAGCACATTTCAAATTTGATGTTGATATCCAGACTGTGTGAGAGCTTACCCTTTCTTTGAAGTAGGTCATGTTTTCCGACACGTCGTCCACTAACTGTACCACTGTGTCCAGCTTGACTGATGACGTCGGTTCAGGGGGAGGTTTGTTTTCCTTTTCACGGAGCTCAGCTTCACTGTCAGAAACAAATTCATATTTTTTGTGAAGTGGATCCTGCCCTCTTTAAAAATTATTCCCCCCCCCCCCCAAAAAATAAGGTGAAAAATCCCATTGGCAAGGAAATTGAATTTTCTGTGATTTTTATTGACATTTAAAATTACTGTCAGTCTCTTTGAGGTATGAAGAGACTCATAAATCCATGTCCAGCACAAAATGTTAAAATTCATAAATACATAACTACTTGTATATACTAACAACAATCTTTTTATCTTTGAAATTAAATCCCAGAAACCCATATTTTCCTCAAGTCATGATAATTTGTTCCTTCAAAAATAAGTGATTTTACAGAAAAGAAAATGTAAGCCTATAAAATTCAATTGCACATGTATTTTCTTACATTAAAATATTTCAGCAATATTTTTACCTTTTTTATTACATTTATTTCTAATGTAAAATTCCCAACTAAAAGTTATAAACATGGTCATATATCAAAATCCCTGTAAACACTCACGCAGCATCTATGAGCTGTTTCCCGAGGGGCTGGAATTTGGGTTTTTCTGTGGTCCTTGGCGTTTTGTCTGGGGTTTCTGACATGCGAGTGGATGCGGCCGATTTCGGCTTTGAGTACACGGGTCTGCGATATTTTGGTAGTCTGGGATAAAGGTTGTCAGCCATAACATAAAACTCCTCCAGTGAATTCTGTGTATACAGCTCCTGGACTTCCACAGGTCGCGGGGTCAAAACTAACCAATCATAAACAGCCATATTAAAATCCTCATATATACAGACATGTTTTAATTACAGTATGTACATGGTAATATTTAACAATTAGGAGATAAATACTATATCATGCATCATGCATACACATTGAATTTTTGTTAATTAAAAGTTTTGCTCTAACATCAGTTACTGTGATATATATATATAAAGGATTACAAGATACATGCAATTTCTACAAACAGAAATAAACTTTTATGAAGCCAGTGAAAAGTCAAAAGGAAAAAATCAGCTGTTAGAAGTAAAAATTGATTTTTTAGAAAGAAAATGTTATATTAAAATTCTACACAAATGATTAAATTGTCTGTAAAGCAATATACTTGTTTGACAAAAAATAATAAGCATAGAAATCAGCAGAATCAGACACAAATGTGTCTTAGATTGTGCTAACAATATGCAGTGATTTTGCACAAAATAGACTTCAGTTTTCTAATTACCAGGTATTTTAATTTTTCAGTCCCTTGTAAAACTTTTATCTTTTTCTGTATAGTGATAAAATATGCAGTAAATCTGCACAAAATAGACTTCAGTTTTCTAATTATCTTAATTTTTCAGTCTCTTGTTAAACTTTATCTTTTTCAGTTTATTGGTAAAATAAAATTGTTTTTGTAAATGTTCCTCATGCAGAAAGTCAGATAAGATAATTGCAATGAATAGCAATGAATATAAAAGTTGTGTTGTATCATGCAAATCTAATGTTTCCTGCAAAGTGCCAATAAAGATTATAAATATTTAACTGTTGGTGGGACAATATCTTGGAAAGGGAAAATATAGCATGTGCAATAATCATCAGCTGTAAATGTGATATTTATAAATATCTACCCTTGGCCATTGGTACCGACTTTGAATTCTGAGAAAAGAATGCAACGACATGTTTTGTCATCTCCTCCGGCATTTCTCCGAAGTCGTGGGCAGTGTAACGTACATCCATGGCCGTACCACTGCGACCAACGAAACTCAAGTCTCCTTTGAGGTTAGAAACAAATGCAAGCAAACAATGGTTATAAGGTTGGCATTCATGCAAATTAAAAAGAAAAGAGACATTAAAAATCAAACTAGTGATATGCAGAAATGAAAAGATGATCCTGAAATGATTGATATACAGATGAAAAATTGACAGATGCAACTAGATTTATGTCAAGATAACTAACTGACTGTTGAAGCTTAAGCTAGTCTAAAACAATAAACTATTGCTGAAAATTTAATTAATAATACTAAAAGAATCTGACAGTACATGATTATACATTAAAGTATATTTTTTAATATCAATAAAATATCAATTAAGTCTCATCTAACTATTCAGTATTATAATTGCATACATGTATTTTTAAAGACAAAATTTTGATTCCTTTTTAAACCTGAAATTTCCGTAGTATAATTTGAATATACCACGTCACTTGTCAGGCTTGATATCAGTTTTGGATGAAGATGATTTTGGATGAGGGGTAAGTGGTGACAAAATCAAACATAAACACAAAACGTGACTCATCAGATGGTTTTACCAGTAGGGGGAGCAGTTAAATTCAGTGACAGGGGTAGATTATATCCTCCTGGGATAGGATAAAACAAGTTATTTATAGACACCCTGTTACCTTGGTAACGTTTAGACCCCCTCCGGACAATTCTAGGTGATCGCCCTGTTTTTATCATTATGTCAATTTATTCATTCTTCTTTAAATTTTATTTGATAAAGAGCAAACATATTTCTTTTTTCTTTTTTAGATATTTAATTATCTTGATCTCTGGATAGCTTACTTAGTATTTCCTGTCCGTATGACCGGTCCTTGGTGTAGGTATTCCATTGGTTCATACTGTCGGGGCGGGAGGGGACCGCTGTCATTGGTCTGTAGGTTGTAGAGGTATGAGGTGTGGACGAAGACTTGGGAACAGCTACAAAAAGTTAATGCTTATATTATCCTTGTTAAAGCTTAGTCCATCAAATAATCACAATGCATAAATTAACTGTACTGAGTGAGTGGGCTCACAAAATTTATACTTATTAATATTCCGGAATACTGAACAAATGATCTTTAATCAAATGTGTTAGGTATAAAGGCAGACCTGTGAGGTATCCGTCCGCTGCGCCAGTTTATACATATTAAATACCTGAGGCAGACCTGCTGAGTATTTGCTGTGACAGACACCTGTGTATTACATACCTGAGGCTGACCTGCTGAGTATTCACTGTGATAGTTTATACACATTACATACCTGAGGCTGACCTGCTGAGTATTCGCTGTGACAGACACCTGAGTATTACATACCTGAGGCTGACCTGCTGAGTATTTGCTGTGACAGACACCTGTGTATTACATACCTGAGGCTGACCTGCTGAGTATTCGCTGTGACAGACACCTGTGCATTAAATACCTGAGGCTGACCTGCTGAGTATTTGCTGTGACAGACACCTGTGTATTACATACCTGAGGCTGACCTGCTGAGTATTTGCTGTGACAGACACCTGTGTATTACATACCTGAGGCTGACCTGCTGAGTATTTGCTGTGACAGACATCTGTGTATTACATACCTGAGGCTGACCTGCTGGGTATTCGCTGGGATAGTTTATACACATTACATACCTGAGGCAGACCTGCTGAGTATTTGCTGTGACAGACATCTGTGTATTACATACCTGAGGCAGACCTGCTGAGTATTCACTGTGATAGTTTATACACATTACATACCTGAGGCAGACCTGCTGAGTATTTGCTGTGACAGACACCTGTGCATTACATACCTGAGGCAGACCTGCTGAGTATTCGCTGTGACAGACACCTGTGTATTACATACCTGAGGCAGACCTGCTGAGTATTTGCTGTGACAGACACCTGTGCATTACATACCTGAGGCAGACCTGCTGAGTATTCGCTGTGACAGACACCTGTGCATTACATACCTGAGGCTGACCTGCTGAGTATTCGCTGTGACAGATACCTGTGTATTACATACCTGAGGCTGACCTGCTGAGTATTCGCTGTGACAGACACCTGTGTATTACATACCTGAGGCAGACCTGCTGAGTATTCGCTGTGACAGACACCTGTGCATTACATACCTGAGGCTGACCTGCTGAGTATTCGCTGTGACAGACACCTGTGTATTACATACCTGAGGCTGACCTGCTGAGTATTCGCTGTGACAGACACCTGTGTATTACATACCTGAGGCAGACCTGCTGAGTATTCACTGTGATAGTTTATACACATTACATACCTGAGGCTGACCTGCTGAGTATTTGCTGTGACAGACAATTGTGTATTACATACCTGTGGCAGACCTGCTGAGTATTCACTGTGATAGTTTATACACATTACATACCCGAGGCTGACCTGCTGAGTATTCGCTGTGACAGATACCTGAGTATTACATACCTGAGGCAGACCTGCTGAGTATTCGCTGTGACAGACACCTGTGTATTACATACCTGAGGCTGACCTGCTGAGTATTCGCTGTGACAGACACCTGAGTATTACATACCTGAGGCAGACCTGCTGAGTATTCACTGTGATAGTTTATACACATTACATATCTGAGGCTGACCTGCTGAGTATTCGCTGTGACAGACACCTGAGTATTACATACCTGAGGCAGACCTGCTGAGTATTTGCTGTGACAGACATCTGTGTATTACATACCTGAGGCTGACCTGCTGAGTATTCGCTGTGACAGACACCTGTGTATTACATACCTGAGGCAGACCTACTGAGTATTCGCTGTGACAGACACCTGTGTATTACATACCTGAGGCAGACCTGCTGAGTATTCACTGTGATAGTTTATACACATTACATACCTGAGGCTGACCTGCTGAGTATTCGCTGTGACAGACATCTGTGTATTACATACCTGAGGCAGACCTGCTGAGTATTCGCTGTGACAGACACCTGTGCATTACATACCTGAGGCAGACCTGCTGAGTATTTGCTGTGACAGACATCTGTGTATTACATACCTGAGGCAGACCTGCTGAGTATTCGCTGTGATAGTTTATACACATTACATACCTGAAGCTGACCTGCTGAGTATTCACTGTGATAGTTTATACACATTACATACCTGAGGCTGACCTGCTGAGTATTCGCTGTGACAGACACCTGTGTATTACATACCTGAGGCTGACCTGCTGAGTATTCGCTGTGACAGACACCTGTGTATTACATACCTGAGGCAGACCTGCTGAGTATTCGCTGTGACAGACACCTGTGCATTACATACCTGAGGCTGACCTGCTGAGTATTTGCTGTGACAGACATCTGTGTATTACATACCTGAGGCAGACCTGCTGAGTATTCGCTGTGTCAGACACCTGTGCATTACATACCTGAGGCAGACCTGCTGAGTATTCGCTGTGACAGACATCTGTGCATTACATACCTGAGGCTGACCTGCTGAGTATTTGCTGTGACAGACACCTGTGTATTACATACCTGAGGCAGACCTGCTGAGTATTCGCTGGGATAGACCAGTGTTTTCTCTCGAGGCATGGTATTCCTCTTCTGCACGCCTGGCCTCCATTGCTGCCAGCTGAGCATGAGGATTCACTAGACTCGCAATAGGGTGAACCATCTTCTTGGGGATGTATGTCGATAAATTGGAAAACTAAAAATTAAAGAACATGTTGAAGTCAAACTTTGTATTTCCTACTGCTATTGCAAATGTCGAAGTATCATCTCTACTTTAGTCTCCTATCTATCCTAAAATAATATACATTTCCTACAAGTATGTTTATAAATATGAAAAGGTTTTAAAGAAAATGTTTGAGAAAAATATTTGCTATAATAATACTGGATACTGTGGAATCATTTTTATTCGTTGGGGTCAATGTTCGTGGGTAGCCATAAATTTTCTGGTTCGTGGGGACGTAATTTCGTTGGTAACAAGTTCCATTTCGTTTTTTTTCCCCTCCAACATTAAAACAAAGAAGGATAACCCCGTCAATAATGCTTATTTAAGTTATCTCTCTTGTGAAAACAAAAATGTACCGGCGGCTTGCACCGACAAATTACAACCGAATGATAGGAATGATAATTAGTAATATTAATTAATTAATTAATTAGAATTCACCCTGTGACATGAGAACTACGACAAAAATGCCAAAATTGACTTAAAAACCTTTACCCTGAAACCAAATCATGCTAATTGGCTAATTAGCACCCACTCCAAAATTGCAATAAAAATTGACCCCATCGAAAGGGCATTTGAGAGTGTTGGGACTACAATGTAAACACTACTTAAATTTAACAATTGTATTTATCATTAAGGTCTTCCGTCTCCAACGGAAGACCTTATTGTTTTCGTTCGGTTTCTTTTTCCCTATTATTATTATTATTCTTTTTTTTTCTTACCGATTTTGTGCACGCGAGTTCTCGGAAACGGCTCGGTCGATTTTCACGAAACTTTCAGATCTGATAGATATTGGTCTGAACCTTATTGGAAATTTTTTATATGTACGTCGTCACTTCCGGTCGTGAGATATGGACCATTTACTGATTTTCAGAGGGTCAGCTTGTCCTGGCAATCACTAAAATACGAATGAAGATATTGACTTGAGATTTTCAGTGAAGGTAGAGGAAGGATATCTGAATTGCTTTTTTGAGTCTATATTTTTCTAGCGCAAAAGGCGTTGAAGCTCTCTTGAGCTCATTATTATTATTATTTTTCTAACCATCTAATTTCGTGCACGCGATTTCTCGAAGACAACTGGATGGATTTTCATGAAATTTGCAGGAACAATGTATTGTTATCTGAAGTTATTTTATCCAAGAGATTATTTTGAAATTCCTTTCTGGTGCCAAGTTACGGACAATTTTCTGATTTTAAAATGACATTTTGTTCGTGGATAATCTCAAGAACAGTAAAAGATATCACTGTGAAACTTTCAGGGATTATAGATCGTGATAAGTGCTATCCAAGACGCGATCATTTGTACGTCGTCTCTACTTCCTGTCGTAACGGCAAGCAAATTCAAAAAGTCGAATTTTTCAACTTTTTTTGTTTTTCAATATTTTCAAATTGTATCAGTATGGTTGATAGAAACATATCTCGTTAGACTGAATATATAATTTGTTTGTAAATTGATAAATTCAAACTCGAGATATTAACATTCAAAAATATGAAGCGGGATCAAAATGGCGGCGGTCTTTGTCAATTCCGACATTTCGCAATAGGGGTTTACAGAGGCAGCCGAGCATTTGCTTGAACGAAAGTAACATAAGGAACAATGAAATGTGTAGGGATACTTGGATTGTCACGTCGTAGGTTCGTTGCAATTCTGCGTTAAACTTCATTTATAATCCAAGGTCTCCTTACAAGTCTTCTTTAATTGGTTTTGGTTGGTTCTCAAAGTAGAAATAGAAAAGAATTAATGTTCAAATTGAGTACAATATCTACTATCTTCTGTTTTGCATCACGGAAACACATAACTTAAATCGTATTTATAATTAATATTCTCTCAAGAAACAATATATATAGTAAGTACAAAACCTGACCACTGTTTTCAAATGCACACTTGTGTCATATTTGAAGCTCGGCTGGGCTCGAAAAATAGACTCACAAATATCTCGCAAAATTTGACACGCTTTCTTTGATATCTTTGTACTTGTAAATTTGGTTAAAAGATATATAATAAAAGTTGTTCAGAATAACAAGTTCTTTTATTTAATAAAAAGAAAAATGGTCTGACCCCTCAAATAAGGGACCTAGAGGGACAATAACGTTTTAATTTATAACTCTTTAACTATCAAGATTCTGTTATATATTTCTACAAGCAAAAATGTTTATCTTAAAAATATACAACAATACATTGATGAAGTATGATCATACGTAATGTAAAAAAGGGTCATAAGGAGCCAAGATGCTAAATCTTTGCTTCTTTTTATCTCCAATGAGAGAAATATTTTGATAAGGAGTATTGAATAAGATATCTTTAGAATCGTATTATAAACAATATACAACCATTCAATTTTTGCAAAATGGACCCATTAAGGACTTGAAGGGGTGGCCTCTATATATTTCTATTCTGCGTAGCTCAAAAACGAAAAGAAATTTCTGAATAGTTGTTGAACAAAAATCGTTAAAGTTACAAGCCGTATCATTTGAAATGAAGAAAAAGGAGCTGACCCCTAAAATAAAGGGCCCAGAGGGGCCAAAAGAATTTCATCTATAACTCATTGATGATATAATCTAAATCAAAAGGATTTGATCAAAAGAGAGAAAGCATGATATCATTATGTTTTAACAAAGATCATATCAAAATCATATCTCATCGAAAATTTGGACGGAAGACCTACTCGTTGCTCGCAACGAGATCGTTTCTAGTTTTATTACTTATTGTATATAGTTCTCAATGTCTTTGATACTTAATATTTTTTTTTATTTTGGTTTCGCGTCAATAATTAACAACATGCAGATCGTCTTCTTTATGCGCGATCACTCGAACGCAAGGGTAACACTTATTTTACGATATAAATAACTTTTAACAAATGATAAAACAAATGTTTGTATATACGTTCGTGGGGATGTAAATTTGTGGGTCAGGGTTACCCACGAAAGCCACGAACATTGGTCCCCCACGAACAATGATGATTCCACAGTATATTAAAAAAATTATCAAAAACCTTTTTAGACAAGCTCTATTGGTTTATTCTTATTACAAAGGAAAAGAAGAACTATATAAATAAGACTTGAAACTATGCAACTTACAGCAATGATCCTCATTCAAGTCTCTTTTTGTGTCAAAATGTTTTGCAATCAACTTTAAAATGTAGAACAAGTAGCCTTTTGAATGAATTTTACAAAAAAATCTTGGTTTGGAACCATGGCAATATTCTCCAAACCAGCCTTTCACAGACTACTAAGATTAAAGAGGAAATCTAACCTGATCCTCGTGTGTAGGAGCAGACACAGCTGCCCTAAAACTGGCCGACATGGTCTGCTCTCGTGACAACTTCCTACGCATCTCTGGCAGTTCCATGTCAATATCTGCGGGCCCGGAATCGTCCACTTCAAACACGTCTTCTTCGTCCTGGTATTGGCTGTCGACAGTGACGCTCTCGATGTATCGCTGACTGTCTAATGAATCGTGGTCCTCCTCCTCCTGATTATGGGGAGGTAACTCTGGGGGAACATCATCAAGGTCACCAAGGGAACTAGCCAGCTGCTGGAGCTGAAAATAGTGAAACTAACATAATGAATCAGAAAAATGTCACCAATACCTGGGATTGGCAAGACATCGCCTGGGTAGAGATAACTCAAAATGCTTAACCATGAAAAATTCGATAGATTAATAATTCTGTGTATCAATCACTTCAGGTACAAAAAATATAAATCACTTTCAGTACATGATGCATAAACTTTCATAAAAAAATACAGATAGCAGAATTGATCTCCAATACTTTAACAAATGGTTACTCTATTAAACATTCCCTGCCCACATAAAATAAATCCCAAGTAAATATCATCCTTAAAATATGCCATTATCAGAGTGATAGCAGCAACACATTAAATATTGCAGCATTATTGAATCAATCAGATTTATTGAATGTTTTCAAAAAATATGTTTGATGATTTATTCATGGCTAAAAGATAAAATGTAGCATTGAGTCTCTTTATAAAAGGCAGTCAATTTTTAGGGAGAGAGTGTCAATTGTAATGGACAGTAGCTCCTGTAAACAATGTTTCGATTCATTGTAAAAAAAAATTACACATGAAATAAAAGCATATTTAGATTTAAAGAAAAAGCTTATCAATCACAATAACAACGTAAGTGTAAAAATTGTCAATGTGACTTTACTTAATGTGATCATAACTGGTATTTTTCTAGGAAATTATAAAAATATGAATTTCATATTTTTTAACAAATGACCTTGAACTTGCTGGAGTTATCTAGTCAAGGTCATGACCAAGTATAAGCTTCCAATGAGTCTCAATTGCAAATTAACAACCAGGACTTTTTAAAATACTTTTTAGCAAGTAATCTTGAACATGCTGGAATGACCTCAGGTCAAGGCCATGACAAACTGAAGGACATAAGCAATCTTTGTACCAAGTATGAGCTTCTACTTAATCTCCATTACAAATTTTTAGCATAGATGGATGGAAAAACAGCTAGATTGACTGACAAGCAGACAGGGAGATTCCTTATATACATGTACCCCAATAAACTTTGTTTGCATGGGTCTAAAAAGTTCTTCTTGAAAAACTGTAGGAGGAGTTATCCAGAAAATTGGGATACACAATATACAGTATTTTGCAAAAATAAATAAAGTTCAAATGCATGTATTTTTCTCGTAATAATAAAAAAAGAATTAAAATCAAAGCAATAAACAGATCTTTGATCTGAAAAATAAAAAAGTTCCTATCTTGAAAACCCTATGAGGGGTTATCAAGAAAAAAAAGGGGTACCCTTTTGGTAGCAATCCGCCTGTCATTTTGCCTTTTTGAAAAAGCAGATTTTTCCCTACGGAAAAACCCACTTAAAAATTCTGCATATGCAATCCCAAGATATTTCAAAATTCAAAAAATAAATATATAAAACCTGGGAGTAAAACCAGTTTGACATTACAAACTACAAAAGTAGGGAAAAAAAACTATTATTTGTAACAGATTGGTATGTCAAATCTTTATAGTTTGTCATGAAATGAAAAACATTTGAAACTGTGTTCAATTTCTACTACATAAATTCTTAATTATTTCAACTGGGGACATTGTTTTTAAGGGGGCGGGGTGCATAACCAATTTCCAATTTTAATAAAAATTATCATTTTACTTACCTAAAAACCATCTAATTTCTGATAAGTAACCCAAAATTCTTCTATTAAGGAGATTTACAAAAAGAATCAGTAGCTAAGATGTTCAGGACAAATAGTTCACTTAAATAGCTACAAATATGTCCTCAGAGTAATCCAATAAGATACAGCAAACAGTCCATGCCATTAAATGTTTGATATTCACTTTCCTAACAATTCCTTGCTACTTACAGTAAGTAAATAAATAGTATTGACAAAATGTTCTGAAATTTTTGCTACACCAATCAAGACAAACTCCCCATTGGCCAATGCTTTACAATTTCTTTTATAATCAAGGCCTTCCACATTGTCTGTATGTTCATTTGGAGAAAAATAAATGTGTTTAAATAAGGCATTATCAGCCGCAGTTTAAATTTCTTCCATTTGTAAAGCTGTACATTAGCAATTCTGTGTGCACTCCACTAAAATCTTCAGTCTGCACAACCCAATCAATGCTGAACAATGGGGCAGATTAAAGTCTGATTTAGTCACTGTTTGCTTAAATGCAGCACACACAATCCCATAATCCACCGGACTAAATAAGACGAAGCCATCACCTGTCCCTACTTAACACTAGTCACCCAGCGGTTAGACAGAGAAATCCCCACCTGGGAGTCCAATATAGACTCCAAATACACAAATCAGATCCGATGATAAAATGAACCATTGTCTTAATATTACAATGCACATAGCACTTTTAAAATTTTCTAACCCATTTCACTTTATGAATATTAACACTTAGGAAAAATGATCTGTCTGAAAACCCAATTCATTTATTGAACAGTTCATTGCTTGCCAAGAAGTTTACTTTTCTGAATTAAATGTTACATTGTGAACCAGTCACTTCAACAATAAGTATTGATCACCTTAAATCTACCCACTCGGGGATTTAAAAAACTGCCGAATGGGAAACTAGAGTTACTCCCCTTGTAACAATGAAATTTTCATAAATATCACATATCTTGCTTTTATATGGACTAAGGAGATATATCTATTGTTCATGCCATTCTAGCAATTAAAAAAAGAAATGCTTAAGCTATCAAATTACTAAAACAGAAAGTTCTACCCTACTACTCCACTTTTCAGACTAAATCATCATCATTTCCATTTTTTTAATCCGATGTAAAATTTTGATTGGAACTGACCTCGAGGTCTGGGCCATCGTACAGACTAGGACTGTTGATAAACCTCTCCATGGCCGTCGTTCTGTCAGAGGGCACCTGGTCGTTCATGTAGGCCCGGTGTGAGGGAGTCTCCAGGGTGGAGGGCCGACCTATCCCAGAAATCTCCCCTGCCTGGAAAAACCGACTGGTCAGGTATTCATTGACATAATCCTTATTAGATGGAAGGTCAAAGTTGAAGAAATTTTTGGGTGTTTCTGGGTCATTAGGCTGGGTAGAAGGTGTCACACTCTGAAAGAATTTCCTCATTCCCTCCGCAGACTCCAGGCGAGTGATGGGCTTCGGATCCTCCTCTTCCTTTGCCATCTCCGTAGTGACGACCTTGCTCTTCCTGGATGAAGATTGCTGTGTCGACCCCTTGGCTTTCTTGACAACCTCTGAAGCTTCTTTCAACTGGTAGGACTTCCCAAAATGCTGTCAAGAAATAAAACAGAATATCATAATCTGGATACACCATGTAACTTAAAGGTCCTATATAAAGTGAATTTGTGCTGTGTGAACTTACCGGCCCAGTGTGAAGTGTGTGTTTGTTGGCCTTGAACCATGTAAAGACCTTCATTAGCGAGTCCTTCTGTTGCCCTGTCCTTAGTCTGAAACAGAGAACAATCATATCAAGTTATAATAAGATGAATGGATTTCTCATGTAATATATGCAGGGCTATATTGTGATATACTAGGGGAGAAGTGATACTGATGAGATCAAAAGTGAGCTCGTCTAAGTTTTATGGCCCCCAAGCCAGGTTTATCCATTTAGCTATTAGAATATAATTAACAAGAGGCCCATGGGCCACATCGCTCACCTGAGCACTAAGGGTAGAAAAAAGTAGAAAATGGCTTTTTATTGTAAAGTTTAAATCCAAAAGTAGTCCCATGATCAATCGTGGACTTGCTATTTTTTAGAAAATGATTTTTAAAGAATTTTTCTATATATATCTTTAAAAACTTTGGTAGGCCATTTTGGCCCCGCCCTATCCCCGGGGGTCTTGATTTGAACAAACTTGAATCTACACTACCTGAGCATGCTTCCATATAAATATCATGAATTATGGCTTTGTCATTCTTGAGAAGAAGATTTTTAAAGAATTTTCCTATTTATTTCTATGTAAAACTTTGGTCGGCCATTTTGGCCCCGCCCTACCCCAGGGGGTCTTGATTTGAACAAACTTGAATCTACACTACCTGAGCATGCTTCCATATAAATATCATGAATTATGGCTTTGTCATTCTTGCGAAGAAGATTTTTAAAGAATTTTCCTATTTATTTCTATGTAAAACTTTGGTCGGCCATTTTGGCCCCGCCCTACCCCAGGGGGTCTTGATTTGAACAAACTTGAATCTACACTACCTGAGCATGCTTCCATATAAATATCATGAATTATGGCTTTGTCATTCTTGAGAAGAAGATTTTTAAAGAATTTTCCTATATATTTCTATGTAAAACTTTGGTCGGCCATTTTGGCCCCGCCCTACCCCCGGGGGTCATGATTTGAACAAACTTGAATCTACACTACCTAAGCATGCTTCCATATAAATATCATGAATTATGGCTTTGTCATTCTTGAGAAGAAGATTTTTAAAGAATTTTCCTATATATTTCTATGTAAAACTTTGGTCGGCCATTTTGGCCCCGCCCTACCCCCGGGGGTCATGATTTGAACAAACTTGAATCTACACTACCTGAGGATGTTTCCCCATAAGTTTCATCTTTCCTGGCACAGTTGTCCTTGAGAAGAAGATTTTTTAAATATGCCAGCAAATTTTCATTAATTCCCAATTATCTCCCCTTGAATGAGGGCGTGGCCCTTCATTTGAACAATCCTGAATCTCCTTCACCCAAGGATACTTTGTGGCAAGTTTGGTTGAAATTGGCCCAGCGGTTCTTGAGAAGAAGTCGAAAATGTGAAAAGTTTACAGACAGACGGACAGACAGACAGACAGACAGACAGACAGACGGACGCCGGACAAAATGTGATCAGAAAAGCTCACTTGAGCTTTCAGCTCAGGTGAGCTAAAAACACTGGAAGGCAAAATTTTATTTTTGACATTTGACCTCTCTACTTAGAGATTTGACCTTTGTACTTACAATTTGACCTCATTCATCATCTTCAGCAGAATCTGGTAAAACTTTGTGTCTTGTTCAGCTTGGACCCTAGAAAGATTCATATACATGTATTACAATATACAATTATGGACTGTTTAGAAGGGAGACATCACCAATTATCAGGTCTGAGTAGGGTTGTCACCCGAGGGCCCTTGCGCCCGAGGGTGACAACCCTACTCAGTCCTGATAATTGGTGATGTCTCCCTTCTAAACAGTCCATAATAGTTTTATTATACTGAAGAATATACAATTATCAATTAGATAGAGTAGAAAATAGTAATCAAACCTCTTGTTTTCTTCTACTCTGCTTCGATTCCAAACTTTCAAAATATGTCAACAGACAACTTTGACGTCATCGTTAGAATTTATTGTTTACCGATTCCGCATATTTAGCCATTGTACTTATAAATAGGAGTTATTTCGCTTAAACCTCAGTAGTTTTATTCAAAGGGCGACAACACAGTTGTAACCCTGCATGCTCGCTTACGCTATTTCATTGTCATCTGAAGGGAGATAACAGTTGTCACCCTGCGTGTGAGGGAGACATCACGAGTTGTCTCCCTGCACGTGACCTTCTCTAAACCAATCAGAATGACTGTATAATTCTGAAGGATAATAATACCAAATACAGCAAATAAAGAGAAATAACCTGACAGGATCTCTTTATCTCATTTCTTGGTGCAATCTGAACATAAGCCAAATGGCTTCATCCAAGTGATATCATACCGTGAACCACTGAATTTAAAAGTAAGATATTCTATATTCAATGACTTGAACAGTGAGTTATTCTCACTACATCTCATTGACTTGAGAAGTGAGATATTTTATTATAGTTCATTGTCTTGACTAGTGAGATATTCTTACTAGTATATTAACTCATTGACTTTAACTGTAAGATATTCTTACTATAACTCATTGACTTGACTATTGAGATATTTTTACTATAACTCATTGACTTGACTAATGAGATATTTTTACTATAACTCATTGACTTGACTATTGAGATATTTTTACTATAACTCATTGACTTGACTATTGAGATATTTTTACTATAACTCATTGACTTGACTATTGAGATATTTTTACTATAACTCATTGACTTGACTGGTGATATACTCCAACTATAATCATTGACTCGACTTGTAGATATTCTTACTATATCTCACTGACTTGACCAATGAGATATTCTAACTATAACTCACTGGCCTGACCAGTGAGTTATTCTTATTATAACTCATTGACTTAACCAGTGAGATATCCTCACTATTAATCAGGGACTTGATCAATGTTTCTGTAAACTCTTGACTTTGCCAGTGAGATGTACGTGAGATATTACTATAAACTATAGCTTTGACCAGTGAGACATTGCTGCTGGAAATCATTGACTCAATCTGGAAGAGTATCTTCTGTAAACAGTCTGATGTTCTTCTATAAATGCCTCTGTTGACAATTCATATATTCTGTCAGAATGGTATTAAACTCCTGGTTTGATCAATTAGTACTTACTGTAAATCCTTGGCCTGACCGGTTAGATGGGCTAGCTTTAGATTTCTGTGGTGCTTCTCTATGGCCATATACATATCCTTGTACTCCTGTATACCCATCAACTGAAAAAACAGCAAGGAATGTGGAAATTAGGTACGGCATTTCATGATCACTAGATTTTATATATGTTTTCCTACATACTATTTTACTAGTATAGTAATTAAAACATGCTTATAAGGAAGACCCAGGGATGAGCAATTTTGCTTTGTTATATAACAGTGACAAGCATAGTTCGATATGTCTGTTAGCTTCAAAACATATGTTTAAACCCTAGCTCGAGAAGAAAAATCACCACTATATGTGACAATTGAATTAAAGCATGTTTGCTAAAAGCATGTTTTACTGTATTTACTTTATGAGCAGTACATGACATTATCTGAATAAGGAGCAATTATCTTATATTGTTAAGGTGACCTTCACTGAATTGGTAGCTGAGATGCATGTACTTCAAACATTAGTGTGGACCCCAGCCACCCGGTCACACTGTGTAGGTGTGTAGATATGAATGGTATCGCCTTACTGCAGGTTGACAGCAGTAATAAATGGAGGTATTGTTATTTGTCAGGACAAGATGAACATGGCCTCATGGCTCAACATGGTACATTTAAATCATGTTCAAAGCTTAGGTTGTTCAACAATAAAAGGTTTCTTTCGCAAGTTTTGTGTTTAAAAAAATCCTGACTTGAGTACAAAGATTTTTATAGATAATTGTAATCACAAGATCAGAGCCAAATAAAACCAAACGTTGATAATGCATTTCAAAAAATTACTTGAATTGTAGTGTGAACAAAAAAAAAAATCTACAATTCAGAATATCACAGATTTTTTTGGAGAGATAATTGACTTAATTGTGAGAAAACACAATGACCAGTTTTCAATGTAGATTGCAATGAATAAAGAAATACATATGCAACCAATTATAAATACCTAGGCATTAATTTTCGTCAAATTTAATACACAGTAAATGAAAATCAATCAATATATATGCTCTTTCAAATCATAGAAAGGGCATTTAGATATCAAACAGGCCTATGATTTTGAACCAATTCCCTTTACCTACTAATTTACATGAAGTGTCTATCTCCAATAGCAATATGTATTGAGATACCAATAAGAATACCCCACCCCAAAAATGTCATTAGTTTAATAGGTTTGAATAGAAGTACATATATATGCTATTTTTCAATCAGTTGTGAATTTTTTTCGAATAAAAATTCACTACTGTTTGATTTTTTGTCCGCTGCTTGAAAAGTGGGGGATATTACTTTGGGTTTGTCCGTCCGTCCGTCTTTCTGTCTGTCTGTAATGCTTTCGTTTCCACACGATATCTCGAGAACCCTTTGAGCTTTTGCAATGAAATTTAGCATAGCAAATCCCTATGGACTAAAGAAGAACCCTATTGATTTTGAGGTCAAAAGGTCAAAGGTCAAGGTCATAAATAAGCAAATTCTGTCTGTTATAATACTTTCATTTCCACATGATATCTCTAGAACCATTTGAGCTATTGCAATGAAATTTTACATAACAACTCCCTGTGGCCTAATAAAGACCCCTATTGATTTTGAGGTCAAAAGGTCAAAGTTCAAGGTCGTAAATTTACACATTCTGTCTGTGTGTAACACTATCATTTCCGGGCGATATATCAAGAAGATTTTGAGCTTATTCAATGTAATTTTATACCAAAACTCCCTAGGACCTCTCTCACCCCTCTCAAAGTGCCCCGCCCCGTTTGTTTTATTAGTATTTATAGTATTACATGTCGCTATTTTTAGCACTGAGGCATGAGGAGAGTTATTGCATATAAAACAGGTTCTCGGCTGACTTTATGTTCTTATTACATCTATTAGAACTGTTTAATAAAGGCTAAATAATCAAACACCATGGATTGTGTAAACTTTTGACAATACCGAACATGAATATACTCATGTATGTGACTTCACTTCTGCATATACTTGACTCCATGTAAAGCGATTCCGTGGTCTAGTGGTATGTTTCTCACTTCCAATGTGACAGGTCCTGAGTTCAAGTCCCGGACGGACAGCTTTTTTTTTGAAATACTTTTTTTTTTAACTAAATAATAGTATTCAGCACACGAAATGAAAAATTTACGAGGTCTGGCTTGTACAAACTCATAAAATCATCATTACAGTATGATAAATATTCCATATAAAAAGAATTTTCTATACACATAATAAAGAATAAGCAATTAAATCTTCATATCCATAATGGTATATTTTATTTGCTTCAGTATACATGCATGTACATGTATACATTTAATAATTCTACAAATTCAGTGAGGGGGATCCAACTCTCCCCCCGAACCGCGCATGTTTTACTTTTTCCTTAAGCGGGGGACACAAATTCTCTGAATTAGCTTGTTTTCCCCTTCAAATGCTATTAACTCCAGGTGTTAATGTTAAATGTTCTGATGTGTACTTGTATGGTTTAAATGTGCAGTGTTTATCCTTATGTTCAGTACCCTTTGTAACACTGCAATCCTTAGCTGACTGCATAAGAACTCGGTAAGCCCCTCAAAATAGGAACAACTATTAAGTAACCTGCGCTAAAAATCACATTGTTAAGCCGCTTACAAACTGAACCTAAGTTCTAACTCTGAACAAATCCCCAAGATTTGAAAATCATGGCACATGATTATACTTAATATTAAGAATAATAAATAAAGGAGAACTTAATTTTATTGCCCAGAATAAACTATTCTTTTCCCTTTAAAAAAAAAATTACTACAGCTACACAATTTTTGTGCTGTTTTATGGTGGCATATTTCTGCCCCTTGTGTGCAAGTTGTTTTTCTATCAAATATGTCGACATGCAAGATAGCTATGTTAACATGCAACATAACTATGTCAACATGCAACATAAATATGTTGACATGCAAGAAAATAGCAATAAAATAAAAATTATAAAAGATCTTCAAAAATCTCAAATATTGCCCACATGTGACATCCAACATGCTAAATGCAACTTATTTATGTTGACATGCAACTTATTCTTAGTTATGTTGACATGCAAGATAAATATGTTGACATGCAACTTATTTATGTTGACATGCAACTTAATTATGTCGACATGCAACTTATTTATGTCGACATGCAACTTGGTTATGTTGACATGCGAGATAAATATGTTGACATGCAACTTGTAAGTTGCATGTCGGCATAACTAAGTTGCATGTTTACATAAATAAGTTGCATGTCAACATATTCATCTTGCATGTCAACATAACTAAGTTGCATGTCAACATAACTAAGTTGCGTGTCAACATAACTAAGTTGCATGTCAACATAAATAAGTTGCATGTCAACATATTTATCTTGCATGTCAACATAACTAAGTTGCATGTCAGCATAAATAAGTTGCATGTCAACATAAATAAGTTGCATGTCAACATATTTATCTTGCACGTTAGCATAAATAAGTAGCATCTAGCATGTTGGATGTCACATGTGGGCAATATTTGAGATTTTTGAAGATTTTTTATAATATTTATTTGATTGCAATTTTCTTGCATGTCAACATATTTATGTTGCATGTTGACATAACTATCTTGCATGTCAACATATTTATCTTGCATGTCGACATATTTGACAGAAAAATAACTTGCACACAAGGGGCAGAAATATGCCACCATACTGTTTAGTTTGTTTGCTTGATTTCAGTCCCCTTTGAGAACTTTTCCATCATGCTGTGATGCCATCAAGCACTGATAGAGCTATTTTTGTGCCAGCAACTTCTGCAACACAGTAGTGCAACTTTACTTCATTTTATATGGACATATTTGTTTCACGGTTTCCAAATCCAGCATCCTCACAATGCCAGGGGTCCTGAGTCACCATGTTACCACAAGACCCCCAGCTGGCAAATACTGGTATTCTTGTTGAGCTTGCTTCTAGCTCTCAGTAAGAGGCACCAATCAAATTAGGGCTTTTATAAATAATTTTAAATGTACAGGTAAACAGAAAGAATTTCAGTTGACTCTGTTACAGATTGCTTATCATAGAATGGCTTAATGTGACTGGTTGAGAGTTCCCTACAGTCAGCCCATGATATTTTTCCAGTGGTCCACGGTATTGTGAGGATGCAAGTTCTGTAGTAGAATTTGAACCAGTAACTTCATGATCAACTTCTTTCTCCACTCCTCCAGAGGAGACCTTTTTGAATCACTGTGTCACCAGGTGACCAAACATGTAGTATTTCGTGATATCAGAAATGTTCAAGAAACCTAAAGGTTGTCAAACACCCTAAATAAGATGTAAACATTAATCATTTAACTCAAAACAATCCTATACACTAAACCTTTTATATTAAAAGGCATGTGTTAAGAAAGAAATCTATTGTGGTCCCTATTTGATGTTTTTCACAAAACCTTCTCACAAATTAAATTTCCCCTGGGTGACACAAAATCAATTAAAAAGTTAAATCACCTTTTTCAATTCAAATAATGCCATAATATCTACCTTCCATTTGCTTAAAAAAGAAAAACTTTATACAGGAGGAATATTTTATCTTGATCAGGCCAAAAACTTCTCCACCACAGATAAATTTCTCAAACAAAGGAATATAAATTTCATAGATATCATAAAAGAATATAAAACTCGACTGAATTCCTTGATAAAAAGCTCTTGCCTTTGATAGCGATTGGTTTTAAAACTTTGGGAGACATTAGTAGACCTGTATTTCATGCCCACTAATCTTATGGAGAGTGTATTGATATTTCTATTTGTTTTTGACCCCAGTCTAAATCCCATATCTCTGACAGTTATTCAACATTTGCATGTACAGCCAATATTCATACCTTATTTTACATTTGCACAGATCAAAGTATTTCAAAGTAAAAGTTTGTTTATGTTTGTTTGTACTTCTTAATATTTCACAGGATTTAACATTTGAATTTTTTATTTTTAGCTTACCCGTGACCTTTTCAGGTCTTTCAGCCCCGTTTCCAAGCTCCCGAGTTCGTTTCTTAGTACCAGCGTACCCATACCTGAAGGTCTCAAACAAGGTACCCTAAAAATAAAATCAATCGGTCAACAAATGCTATCAAAAATCTAATTGGTAAAATAAATATTAATTTAAATGTAATGGTCCTCTGCTGTAAATTTCTACCTGGCACCTATCATGCCTATAGCTATAGATTATTTCTTCTCCTCAGTTCTTCCTAAACTGGAATTGGAGCATCATAACTTTACCATTCAATTTACAATATTCCCTCCTCCCAACACTATAATTGTAACTGATAGACTTAGTGGTCTGAGTAGGTGAAATGATTGGCAATTGGAAATGATTCTCAAATCTCAAATCATTTCAGTTTAGTAATAAGCGATTAAAGGCCCTGAAAAACCACTGGAAATGAAGACCCATATGCCGGGGGTTATATATTTTTAGCTTACTCTAGGTATGGATTATCAAATCAAAGATCAAAATTCCCCCCACATCCTGAAAATTACTACAAAATGACCAAACTTTTCAGCTTTTTTTTCAATTTCTATTAATCACTTTTCATTTGTGAGAACTTTATTTTTGCTTAATTATGCAACTCTGCCTCCTCGCAAAAATTTTATTCTTGAGTATATTTATATTAAACAGAAAACATATAACTCCTGAACATTATATCTCGCTAATACTAATACCAAAAAGCTATGATATATCTCACATAAAAAAGTATGGGGAAAATATAGTGATTTACAGTATTTCATTTAAAGGGTAACCTTTGATTTAAATTGTAAATTAATATTATTAATGATTTCGTAGTTGAAGACGACAAAACATGTTGTTTTTTTTATGAAGGGGTGAATTCCTACTTTGAGTTTTTGCAAAATGTACTCGAATAAGATAAAAATACAAACCATAAAAATACTTAATTTCTACATAAAGCTATAATGGATCATCGATAGGCATAGTGGGACAGAGAGAGAGACAGAAGAATGGCGCAGGGATTATAGAATTTGTATTTATGGAAGCAAGAGCATGTAAAAGTAAGCATTAACTGTTAGATTTTTTAGCTTCATGATGATGATCATGCAAGCAATTAAACACACTAAACTATTTGGCCATCGCTAACTGAATCTATCTGAGAGTCACTTTCCTTCCTCCTTGAAGGAATTCGGCCCTCAAGGTCACCAAACCAGGCCCTGGCAGGTCTTCCACCTGTCACTTCCAGGGTCATCCTCGGAAACCCATGGGTGATCTCGTCTTTACTTATCAAGTAAAGACGAGATCACCCGTGGGTTTCCGACGATGTTCCAGGGCATATGGCATAGCACCAAATGTAAAGGGAGAGGAGAAAAATGTGGCGGTCAATTGCCAGTGACCAGATAGCACAGTTAGTAGAGCACCTGACTGGAGATTCACTCAGGCCCTGAGTCAGGGGGGCCTGGGTTTGAATCCATGTCTGGTACGTCTGCTACATTTTTCTCCTCTCCAGGTTACAGTTGGAATCAAGCCCAGAGGTTTAGTTTTTTCACTTAATATTATTAGTTACTTTTGGAATAAACCTAGATTGATGTAAATGTAATCAGGGTGGTAGATACAGCCATAAGTTTATGAATTCACTCATCACCGGCTCAACTGAGCTCATTGACAATTGTTTTGAGTCAGGCAACCTGGATCCACATTCATATATTGGATCATGCCAAGTCCATACGTATGCCTGACACTACCAAATTAATTTAAAAGTTTTCACTTTTTAAAAGTTTTCATATGTGATATGACGGGCGATTCATGTTTTGGTCAAAACAGCCCATGCAGGTGCGCGCGGCACACAAGTTTACAAAACTAACTAAACTTACCTTTATAAGTTATATCTTCTATTGTATTCAGTGAGGAGTTTTTCCTCAATCCATAATCAATACTGAAATATTAATTCTGTTATGATGATCCATAATGAACCAAGTGAACATGTGCTATATGGTACGAACTTGACAACTGTAAAGCTTTATCACGTGACAAGCTTGACGGGTATGGGAACGCATTTCGGTTTTCAACGTAAAGAGCGCGAAATATTTAAATCATATGCGCTTGGTTTCAGAATGGTGTATTTTGTGTATTATGAGTTTTTCTACGTGACAGTATGTCTGAATACATTCATTAAAATAAAAAGAAAAAGAATTCAGTGAGCTTTTTAAAAATATCATATACCAGGTAACTGCATGTAACCACAGGAGTTCGCGTACCTATCAATTATACCGAAATTTTCATTAAATAAAAAATACGTAATATTATTATAGGTATTACGTATCTTTTTTATTTACCGAAAATTTCGGCAAAATTGATAGGTACGCGAAATCCTGTGATGTAACCTACATAAAGACAATTCTTTTATATATTTAAATACATTAAAATTCATTTTTTTAAAATGTGCAATTAAAAAAAAACAAACAATTTAACTGATTAAGAAATATTTTCAGCAGAGACATAATGTTTACAGAGGCGTAGTCACAAACTTAAAAGGGGGGGGGGGGGGCTCAATCAAGAAATTCTTTGACAAGCGCAAATCCTACGAAGCAATGTTCAATGTCTATACTAAGCATAACTATATATCTGGAAAAAAAGGGGGGCTAAGCCCCACCTAGCCCCCCGGTTCCAAGGCCGTAACTACCATTGAGGCAAGTGAGGCAAATGCCTCACTAAATTTTTAGAGTTTTTTGAAAAGTGAAAAGTTCTACATTGTTTATGTGTGTCTTCGTGCTAAATTAATATTTTCAACTTTTATTTCCATTTCTTTAAATCGTCCATCTCACCAGGTACCTCATTTTCATTTAGAACGCATGTAAAATTTAATTCAAAATGTTTATTTAGTAAATTGTTTGATTATTCAACACCCCTTCTAAGAATTTCTCATTCATATTGAAAAACTTGCCGATGGAGGGCTGCAAGTTTTAAATCTGTACTGGGCTTTCAGGATCACTGAGGATGACTGAACAGCGAGAGGTCTTGTTAGGATTCGGTTTTTACGGTCTCATCCGAAGGACTAGTCTCTACATCCCGCAGTGGGATTCGAACCCGTGATGTAAGGATCAACTCCTTAGTCTGCGACTCTAGAGCATACGCTCTAACCACTGCGTCATGCGGGTGAAAATTCAAAACGTTAAAACTTTTTAAGATTAAATCTTTTATTTTCTAAAACCCAGGTTTCGGGACCTCCCTCCCCTTGGAAACCTCAATCACTGGTCATGAGGTACTATCCTTGCCCCGTCTGAGACTAGGAATGCCCAGCACCCTTGCCTCACTAAAAATTTGAGCCTAGTTACGGCCTTGCGGTTCCGACGCCTATGATCAAAATTTTATAATTAAAAATCCGGAGGTTTAATTTAACAAAGCGTACTTTGTGACTATGTGTGAAACAAGAAATGGGATTTAGCAAATAAATAATGACTTTCAGATTTCAGCACACGGGACAGCTTGTGATTCTCATTTAATTTTGTTAGATAACAGATGCTGAGTGAAACAAAAAACGTCTAAGGCCAAAGTTATTTTATCTTTAGGTTTACGGATTTTTTCAACCAAAATGTCCATTGGGTGGTGACAAAATAAAAATAAAAATAATTTGAAACTTTTTTCAAACGGAACATCGCTGATTTAAAAAAAACGACACAACCCTTCTTTTGAATTGTTAAAAATTAGAATCATTTCCTGAAATTTGAAAAAAATTATTTGTAGTAAATTGAGAATCAAATAAAAGGAACTACAAATGATTTTACTGAAGGTTTACTTCAGATCTTATTTGAAATCTTTAAAAAAAAATCTCTTTTTAAAAATCAAAGATGTTGATCATAGAAGATTGGGAACATGATATATTCATTTTTTTATTTTTTTTTTACAAAAAAAACCCAACTAATTTACTTTGATTTAGATTCATAATCTCGTAAACTATATTAAATTAATTATCACGATGAATTCAAGTCACAGATTATCTTTACTTTATTAGTGAAACCCTACACTGTTGCCTATTTCCTTTTATCAGTTTTATTAGAGTGACCTTTTAGCTACATGTACCAATGGTGGTCAAAGCAAAATGTCAACAACAAGGCATGTATCTGGGACCTATAACCATGAAAACGATCTATTTATCTGGTTATATTGATTTTTTCATTGTTTCATACACTTATCACAAAATTTAGCATGTCTGGATTTGGGAAATAAAATTCAAGTTAAAAAAACGTTCATAGTCTTTGTGTGCAATATCCACAATTTCTGTTCAGTTTCAACATATTAATTCCTTACTTTCGAATTGGAAGAAAAATATTACCAATGGGAAAAAATAGCGAAGTTATGTCATTGAAACAGCTGATGTTTGGTGGTTATTTTTATTTCCATAAAAATCATACAAGATTACGTTTTTAACAGGACTCTTTGGGGAGAAGAAATATTGCATCTCTCCTATAGTTTGCTCTTCTTTCATTCTCTGTGAAAAGTTTCTGGACAGCGTGTTATCTCCAAGACATTTTAACCGCACTTTAAATATACGAGGGGTGTTAGAAAAGTTCGCGGACAAGTTCTATTGTGAGCGCGCTATTTCAACGAAACCGGTCAAACTTTCCAGATAAAATCTTTACCTTTTTTCCAATAAATATACAAGAATTTGGTGCTCTTCGGTGATTATTGAAAAATATATAGCTTTTATATTTTGATAAAACTTGCTTCACGGAGCATGCTACATTTTGGCACGTTTACATCACAAAGACTCTTTATCAAAATTAAAAAATTCACAATTGTAGTGCAAAGAGATTTATGATATTTTACCTGCCGCTAAAGTATTCATGAAACGTCACTGGGAGAAATTTTGAACTAAATTGGAGGGTATATGACTGTTTTATAGCCGTTTATAAATGATCAACGCATAAAAACACAGCCAAAAATCGGAACGTCATTGAGCGTCATGGAGCACTGCACTACGTAAAAATTGTGTATGCAGACTGGAAAATGTCTTAAAAAGGAATAAAATGTTCAAGATGATGCCGGGAATTTCTACACCTACAAAGGACAAGTTTTCAAATGGTTGTAGCTTCAAAAGAATGGAAGGATTAACATTTTGAATGATTAACTCCATCGATACTTCAATACCACCGTATCGCATGGACGTTTTGTTGCGCCTATGGTATTGCATAGTTTCGATACCTGATCGATTAACTGCATAGACTTTTTTTTAAAGATCTCAATAAAATCCGAATCAGTTACAAAAGACATTATAGAAGAAAAGTAACATGTCTTGATATAGATATTTAATTTTACAGTAGAAAAAAGATAAGAAATATCTGAAGAAATGAAAGATTTATAGAACTGCGACAAAGCTTAACGGGTTAAAATCTGGTTGTCACGTCGCCTTACGTCAAGTGATTGCTCCGTGAATCCCATGACCTCATAGTAAAAATCGTTGTAAATTTTCAAGATTTTATAATATGGACCTGATTTTTTACATACCAATAAACAAAATGTAGGAATTTATTCAGACATAGGTCATACTTCACAGTACACAACAGATTTTCCGTAATTCAATGTGTCCGCGAACTTTTATAACGACCCTCGTAGACATGCTTGCCGCCATGTTTATACGTTTCTGTTTATAGTCACTGAAACGTTTGAAAGAATGATACGTTTTATTACATGTTTGGGACTCAGACGCATTATAAATATTAAAACCCTGATGATCAGGCATGAATTTTCCGGAAAATTATCGAAAGTGGTGATAAAATCCATTAGGCCTAAAAAAAAAAATTGTGTGTTTAGGGTAACACTGATGAAAAAATTAGGGTAGGTAGGTAGGGATTTTTTTTTATTTTTTTAATTTTTTTTATTTCTACGAACACTGAAAACAGATTTTAAAAATCATGATAGTATTATTTTATGTTATATTAAACCCCAACATGTTTAAAAAACATCAAACCTGAACAAAATTTTACAGTTTCATATAATTTTAATTGTTCATTTTCTTGTCATTTCAGCTACAGTGCATGTATTTCACAAAACCTTTAATAAAGAAATATCCGTGTCAGAATTACCAGTATAAATTTCACCATATTCTATCATTACTAAGAAGATGTCAGACTTTATATCACACAGATGGGAACATTTCAAAAGAGAATTATTTAAAGATTAAACAGTTGAAACAGACAAAATACCATGAAATCATTCTTTGATATCAATCAAACATCAATTTCAAACTTTTGCTTTTCACATTTATATAAATATCTGAATCTGCCAAGATTTATGAAAACATGTATTAATATAAACTTGTTGATGTTTTACATACATTTGTTTCAAATATTAATCAATAAAAAATATTATGTCGGATACACATTTATTATAAATTTTGCAACTATTTTGTGATGAAAATGAGAAATTTACAATTAAGATAGAAAAAAAAATCAGTTATAACACAAAGTATTTAACGGCAAACAGCAGGATTCGAACTCGGTCTTGATCTCAGAGCGGAAGAGGCACCTAAAAAAATTATTTAATAGGTTCACTTTTTGGATTTTTTGCCATATGGTCGCAGAGTAACAACTTGTTGGCCCATGTCCTTGCAGGTTTGACAAAGTGGTAAGACTGTTTTGAATTCTTTCTTTAGTTCATTGTCTGTCTCTGCATTAGCAGCCCCACAATAATAACAAAGGTCCTTCCTGCCAATTGAAGAGCTAAAGTATGCAACCTCGATAGGGCTTCCACAGTTGATGTTCATTCTTGTTAAGAGCTTACCATGCAAGGAGTGCTCTGGTGGTGTCACTGGGCTTCCACAAGTGAACTCAAATTCTGACAACAAAAGAGCAAGCTGTACTTTTTGTCTTTCGGTCAATTTACTTTTGCCATAAATCAATCTTGGTTTTTCACACTCTGTACATGTTGTTGTATATCTGGCATTCTGCGCTGTAAATACACTAGCTTCACCTTGTAACGCTGGATCATCTGGTATAAGGTTAGTAATTGGATCAGTTCTTGTCTCTTTCTTCTGTTCCTTCTTTTTGCTGTTTTTTGGCTCACCTTCATTAGTTTTTTTCATCAATGTAGGTCTATCTTCTTCTGTTGTCTCTGTTCCATAGACACTGTCAAAGCCCTTGTAGTGATTTTTATCTACATCCAGAACTGGATCAGGAAGCCAATTCCGATTTGACAGAGATGGTGAACAGCACTCAATGTCATTGCACTTTCTGACCTGAAAACTGTACTGCCTAAGTCTACAGTGAATCTCTACCCACTTCTGGTATTCTTCTACTTTACTTGTATGACTCTTGACTAGTTTGGTCTTGTCCATATTTGGAAACATAATATCGATATGTCTAGACAAATAATCAATTTCATTGTCTTGCATTGGACTCAATATCTGAAAGGGTTCATCCTTCAAAGCAAGTTTTCTGAATCTATTTTCCATTGTCCTACGCACTGACTCCAATGAAGTTTCCCATTCTTCTCTGATTTCTTCCCCTTTGGATCTAATGTTATCCAACGATGTGCATTTGGACAGTGTTTGTTCAAATTTTTCTGACCCCTTCTCTCGAGATAAAGCACAGTTTTGAAGTCCTATATTTAATATAGACATAATTCTCTCAGCTGGATTTATCCAGGACTGGCCTGGAGCACATCTGGCTGCGACATATAAATCTAAATCCAGTTCTTTGAAAAGACAGATAGCTGCTAGCTTCACATGCTCAAGATTGGTTCTATGGTCTGTCCCACCATCACTAAACTTCAAAACAACCTTTGGTTTCTCTTGCAAATTCTGGATTTGTTTCAGCAGAGCTGTTGCATGCCTCATTGGATTTGATGACTGAAACACTGAGTCATTCACAACCACAGTAACTTTTCCTCTGTAGAAAGGTTTGTCAATGCTGTCTGGTACATCACATTGCATATACACTGATGGTGTTAAGCTGCCTTTGTGGTGCAAATCATGGTCAGTTGCAGCAAGAGTTGTGCTTGTTAATGCTAGCACTTTCTTTCCCCTAACCCCTGTAGACAAAGGAACATCAGGTTCTCCTATCTGTACTTTGGCCTTGTCATCGCAAAAAAAAAAGGCACAGTCTTTTCCCAGCTCTACAGCTAATGTTCTTTCATATTTAAACAAAGCATTGCAGTAATGGTCATCAGGGTGAGCAATCCTTAACTGTCGTCTTTGGATCTTGTATTGAACCTTAATTTTTGATGTGAAGTTCATTGCAGCATGGGAGTAAGGATTTCTCGGGCAAAATTGTAATCGTACGAGAGCAGCAGAAGGGATCGGCGTATCCACTGGGCACCTTTCTTTTGTCTGGTTAATCAAATCTTTTAAGGACAGAATCTCTGACATGTGTGCAATATTGTGTCTTCTGTCATCCGCTGCTGTGTACTCCTCAATCAAGTCTGTAAGGTTTTCAAAGAAAATGTCATACTCCCCTGATGGCCTGCCTTGGTTCAGATGTCTAAGATCAGGTAACAGTCCAGTTTCACCCATAAAAATCATCCTAATTCTTTGCTGGGTAACAGGGTGTGCATCTTGGGATGCATCAAGTGCAAGTTCTTTGTATATAGTATCTAACAAACCAGGCTGGACATGAGCAACATTGCTGACCTTCAACTTGAAACTTCTTTTCATTTCTCTTGTGTGGTATTCAGGAAATTTTGGCTTAATTTTCAGCAGATTTGATGCAATTTGTGAGCATTTGTCAATCTCAGCTCTGTTATCTTGAACTTTTATTAAACAGTATACTGTTACAATGCTTCCACCAGGACTGTACTTGTACATGTCAACATTCACAGAAAGCTGAAAGTTTTCAAAAAACCTGTGTCTTTGCATGGGGTTTTGAAAAGGTTTTGATAAATGTTCTTTTTCATCAAAAAAAACTGGCTCATTAAAGTCAGCTAAAGCAATAATTTTGTCAATATGCTTATACTCATCACGGATTCCAATCCAGTTTCTTTGAATACACCTGACACTAACATCTTCTGACACCTGGCGAACTGGATGGTCTAGATTTTGATTGAACTGTATTTTCTCATTCTGATTTTTCAAATATGTGCTATAAGATGAAAAAGATTCGGCTAAATTTTTCATGTCTTGATAAGCCTGTTCCCATGCAGGTGTGCTTCTCATATAAGGCTTACTACATAAGCTTAATAAAATGTCTGAGTGTGTCTTCATCTGTGTAGCATCTAGGGTTCCACACTTCTGTTTTTTTTTCTTATGATCATTATAGCTTTTAAACTTGTCAAACTCTGGTGGGATTCCCAATACTTCTTTCTCCCTCCTGCCTCTCTCATTTATTGTGTTGTGGTGGTTTGTTACATACCATAGAGCATTTGTCAGGACCTGAAAAAATTATTTTAGACTTTACTTTCTTGTGTCTGGTAAAACATGTAACAGGTTATAGAAAAAAATATAAATACACTGGTTTAAAAAATAGTATAAATGAAAACATGTTTCAAGCACCGTAGTTAATCGTATAATGCCAGACATATTTTAGACAGACACCGAGTTTTAAGTATTTTAATATAAAAATATTATAAATGAAACGCAAACATTATATTTTCATAAAGACTATATATAGTCTTCATTCCTCCAACTCAATGTAAAACATTAGACCACACATACACATGACTACCAATTCAGCATTAGTGAGTAGAGTATTATTAAATAGTACAATAATTGAATGCCATACATAGTGCCAGATTTTAAATAAAAAGTATAAGCAGACCACTCCCACATAGATATCAGAGAAAGGGTTATACTAAAAGTTATACTGTATTAAAAGGTGAAAAGAAAGAGTGTGTTTTGAGAAGTAAAGCAGCAGACTAGAGTTTCACAAAGCTTTATATATATATGGATTAATCCCAGCACCATTTTATACGTTACAATTTAACTGTACCTGACTTGTCTGACCATGACACTGAAAAAATCAACAATAACAAATTCATAATGTCTTCCATAATAATTTGTTTATTGAATAAAAAATAGTTTAATACTGCATACACAAATGATTTACCTGTGCAAAATATTTTCCTTCATTGTCTGCATTGAAAAAAGTTAAACTCTTTTCCTCCATCCACGTGATTATATCATTAAATAGCTCATCCTTGTCAGACAGGCCATCTGGAACACCAGCACTAAATATTTTGGAAAATACATATGCTTCAATATTATAATTAAATCTGACAGCTATCTTCAATATAGCAAACAAATTACAATGCCAAGGATAAACGTCACTGTCAAACATATTAATTTAAAATGTTTTAATTTTCTTACAATAACTAATATTATATGACTATTATAATATCGGCTAATTTTATGCATATACCTGGAACGTTTTTTGCTGGGTACGCGAGGTTTGGTCGACATTCCCGCATTTGACATCAATATTTGAAATGCATTTGGGGGTGGGGTTGTAGCTACTGGCTGTGATTCTTCAACTTGATTCTCAATACACTCAAGCTTCATGTATTTTGTGTCAGGAAATGTCCCGAATACAACACCCATAGGGGCCTGATATAAATCGGATAAGAGGTCGTCGTCGATGGCCGCCCATGGACCTTTTTCTGAAGTGCTTAGGTATATATTGAGGAAAGAATTAGGACACTTGAATCTCGCCTCGAACATATCAAAAGTTTCCTTGTGTTTTACAACACTTATAAGTCGTTCTTCCGCTCTGTGAGAACATTTTTTGCACCAAATATTTACGACAGAGCACATGCTGTCTGGTTCTTCGTATTAAAAAAACGCTTGCATGTTGTTTTATAGATCATGTACACTTAAGCGTTTTAACGACGTTCCTTATAAACGAGAAAAAAAATATTCTGATAAAAACGGATTTTACATAGAAACAAGAGGATTTTTAATCGGATAAAAACGGACATCGGAAAAAAATGTAGGATCGGCGCATTTTTCTAGGCTAGGTCGGGTTACCCGAAACACAGAATTTTTTTTTTTAGGCCTTATTTTTATTTTCTAGTCCCTGAAAAAATCGGGTCGGCGGATCCGTAAACCGAAAGATATAAAAACTGTGGCCTAATCTAAAATTTATGACCCGCACTCCCTATCCCAAACTGGGGAACACAAGAGGTCTTGACAGATTTAATTATAATACTATATTACATTTTGTACATTACTATATTATGCAACTATATATTACTATTATTATCTGACAACCAGCTAGCCCTGCAACAAAAACTTGATATGTTATACAAATATTGTAAAGAATGGTGTTTGGAAATCAATGTTAACAAAACAAAAGTAATTATTTTCAACAGAAGTGGGCATTTATTAAAAGAAACATTTTCAATTAATGGTATTAATATAGAATGTGTAAAAACGTATAAATACCTAGGTATAATACTCTCAAATTCTGGTTCTTTCAAAGAAGCAAGGTGTAATTTATATAACAAAGCTTTAAAGTCATCATTTAAAATATACAAAGATATAAAATCAACAGATCCACCCATTAAAACTTTACTTCATCTATTTGATCACATGATCAAGCCAATAGCTACCTATGGATCCGAAATATGGGGTGTATTGTCATCATCAATGCAAAGAAAAGAAAAATGTTTATTTGATATATTTAAAGATTGGGAGATTGAAAATCTTCATATGAAATTTTGCAAATTTATCATAGGGTCTGGGAAAAGAAGTACCAATATTGCAGTTCTCTCTGAACTGGGTAGACAACCAATATTTTATTCTATTATTATAGCAATTATATCTTACTGGCACAGACTGGAAAACATGCCTGAAAACTCTTTGTTATACAGTGCATACAAAGAAAGCATTATCTTGGACAGTTGTAATGTAAATAGTTGGTTTTCAAATGTAACATATTTCTGTAACAGAATGGGCATAGATTTGTCAAGATGTAAATCAATGAAACTAATAACTTTAAAGAAACATCTGAAAAAAATTATTAGAGAAGATTTCCTTCAATATTGGTTTAAACAAAGAGATGATGGTTGTCTATCGGGTAAACTTACAACATATTTCTATATAAAAAGAAGTTTTGAAATTGAAAAGTATTTATTATTAAAAAATTTTGAACAAAGAAAAATTATATGCAAATTTAGAGTGAGTTCACATAACCTCAGAATAGAAAGTGGAAGGTACGAAAAAAAACTAAACTCTGCTGGAGAGCAAACCACCCTTGCAAGAAATGAAAGAATTTGTAGAATGTGCGACATGAACTGTGTGGAAGATGAGATACACTCACTGATTGAATGTCCATTATATAAGCATGATAGAGATGACTTTTTTAATATTATTGCTAAAAGTAATAAAAATTTCTATACTTTAACAAATAAAGAAAAATTTTTATGGATTATGTCTAATGAAGATGACATGTTGCTTATCAAGCTGGGTAATTTTTTAATCAATATCTTTAAAATAAGAAATAGCAAATTATGCAATGTTAAACAAAGAAACAAATAAATACAAAAGAGTAATATATAGAAATACTTTAAACAAACTTTTATTTACAGTATATTGATTATGTATGTTGTAATCCCCAACTGCTGTAACATCATTTATCTTTTGTTAAATACTGCTATCAATTTTGAATTTCTGCTTGTATGTTTTTTTTTTCCTTATTACTTGTATGCCTTGATGGGCCCCAAATTGGTATTAATAAATCTTATCTTATCTTATCTTATCTTATTACTTCAAGAGAAATGCTTACTCATGCAGTTGTTGTTGAAAATAAAATACATTTGCCATAAAATGAGGTTTAATTTTAATTCAACCTAGCTGTGATTTTGTTCTACATTAAGTGGGGGGGGGGGGGAGCTCAGACATACTCTTGCCCCCCCCCCCCCCCCGATCTGAAAGTGGGGGGGGGGTAGTGCCCCCGCTGCCCCCCCCCTTTGACTACGCCTATGTGTTATTTACCTACAAAATAAATAATACACAAAATACGGCACCGTGAAACCAAGTGCATATGCAATTATTTAAGGTGGTTCATTACATTGTCAGATGTTCCTTCTCATTCTTAAAACATTAAAGAGCTTTATCTATTGAAATTTATGAACTCTAAGATATGAGACAGGCACGTGGCATCGATTTCGAAAGGGGGGGGGGGCAGCCACAGAAATTTTTTTTTACTTACCTGAAAAAGTTGACAAGCAAAAAAAAAAAAGGAAAATTGCCCAGAGTCGAAAATCCTATTTCGTGGGGGGGGGGGGGGGGGGGTGTGGGTACAGTCAAACTTTTTTCACTTCCAATTCCTTTCAATATCCATTTTTAAAGCTTATAATACTATATTTCCTTCATATTACTTTACTTTAGTATAAAGTGGGGGGGGGGGGGGGGGCAACCACCCTTTCAGTACACATTTTAAATAGTAAAAAATTTTTTGGCAAAAAAGGGGGGGGGGGCAGTACCCCCCCCCCTGTTGCTACGTCCCTGTGAGATACCTTCGAATAAATTTTTATTTGTAAGGGGAATTCATTGTCCAGTGCATTTTAAATGTTTAAAGGAAAGGGATTAAATCTTTTATCCGTATACTTCCGCAAATGTTATGACCGTCGCCAAGTCTGCAGACCATTGAAGTTATAAAGACAAGAGGTGAGAATCAGTCTTTTTGAAATCAATGTATTTACGTACTAATGGTGAACTGCTTTAATTTGTATAAGGTGTGTGTACGAGGCCTGAAAAGGGAGGGGGGGGGGGTAAATGCAGAAAGCCTTTTCTTATTATCAGTATTGAATATGAGATAGATTTAAAATCAAATGATTCATTCTTGTCAAGCAACAGTATCCCATTATTAATTTACCAAATCATTTGGCATTGATATCAGTCATATTTATCAGGAGGAATGGGGTTGAAACCCCACACCCAAACCCCTCCTTTCACTACCCCTTTCACATTTTTATGCCCCCTTCGAAGACCGGAGGGCATATTGCTTTGCTGCTGTCATATCAGTTTCCGTTCATTTTCTTTGCAGAGGTTGCACATCTTTAATGAAATTTAATATACAGATTTATCATAAGAATATCTAGGTCAAGTTCTGTTTTGGGTACAATCTGGCCATTTTAGAGTTATGCCCGTTGGGCTTAGAAAAATTCCAATAATTTGCAGTTTCTGTTCACTTTCTTTGCAGAGGTTGCACATATTGAAATGATATTTGGTACACAGAATTATCAGAAGAATATCTAGGTCAAGATTTGCTACTGGTACAATTGGGCCATCTTTGACAGAGTTATGCCCCTTAAACTTACAAAAAATTCTAATAATTTGCAGTTTACGTCTATTTTCTTCACAGAGGTTGCACATACTGAAATGAAATTTGGTATACAGATTTATCATAAGAATATCTAGGTCAAGTTCTGTTTTGGATACAATCAAGCCATTTTTGATACAGAGTTATGTCCTTTTGACTTAGAAAAATTCCAATTATTTGGGGGAGGGGAGCATAAGTGTTTTACAAACATCTGTTTTTCTGATTATTAATGTTTAGTGATAAAATAATAATTATTATATTCTTTTGATAAACAACAGCATATCTTCTCAAACTGACAAAAACTTTTAGTGCCCAGGACTCTTAACATATTGATTTGAAAAGGAATTTTCATATAAAGTTTTTTTTATTTCTTCCCCTTATAATTACAGGCTTTGAGATGGCAGCCCCACTATCCTTGGCACAAGATGTGATCACTTGTGATCTTTGTGACAATGCTACCCAGCAGTATTGTAACAACTGCCAAGTCAACCTGTGTGTCGATTGTGTCAGTAAACACGTAGACATTCTGAAATCCTCTACGCACGACATAGTACCCTTTGCCAAACGAAAGATTCAGCTTGTTTTCCCAGAGTGCACCTCTCATCCTCACCAGAGATGCGAGGGGCATTGTGATCAGTGTGACGTCCCAGTCTGCTTCAAATGTCTCACCGGTCCTCACAATAAACATGATGTCACCGACATGGCTGACATTGTGGCCATGACAAAAGAGGAAATCAAGAAAGACATGGAAGAAATTGAAGACGTTCTTCTTCCCAAGTATGGACCAGATGATAAAGATTCAGATAAAAAGATACAAAAATGTAGAACCAAGTTTGTGAAGATGGAGGAAGATGCAGAGAAGACAAGGGCACTCTGGCATCAGGCAGTGGATGATATATTTAACAAAATCAAGTCCACTCTGAAGTTAAAGAAGGAAAGCTGTGAACTGGCTCTGAAGACAAACCAATCCAAAATGAAGAAGGCCTTGCCAAATTTGAATGAAACAGTCAAACAAAACAAATATATTCTAAAATCTAACAAAGTATCAGAAATCACAAAGTACAAATCCAAACTGGCAGAATACAGGGAAATTTTCACCGACATTGATTTACTTTTGCCAGAATGGGAGTCCATTACTGTCCCAGGGGTTAAATTAAGCATACAATTAGGAGAGCACAAGGCTACACTGACACAGACATCCATATCCAATGCAAGAGAGGAAACGCCTTCTCCATCTCTGAATGAGTTTTTAGATAAACCCCAAGTTATTGCTGATCTCCCGACTGGAATCACCCCCCTGTACTCCGTGTCCTGTGAGGGAAGCAGTGAAGTCTGGCTGTGTAGTAATGATCAAATCATAAGGCGGGTAGATCTACACAAGACAATAAAGGATGTGGTCACCACCACCTGTATAGAATGCCCCGGAGACATAGCCATGTCTGTAAAGGGGGAGCTCATCTACAGTGACTTTGACAATAAAACAGTAAACATCATCAGGAGTGGGAAGTCTGAGAGACTGATCACGGCACCACAGGACTGGCTGCCACTAGGTCTCTGCTGTACCAGATCAGGTGACATCTTAGTCAACATGGCAACCAAAAATAGGGAGCAACACAAGATTGTCCGATATCAGGGACAGTGGGAGAAACAAGAAATAATGAAGGATGAATATGGCATTCCAATCTTCAAAGGGGGTTCAAGTCCCTTGTATTTGGCCGAGAACAACAGTGGAGACATCTGTGCCTCTGACTGTAATGCTATGGTCGTGGTTGTTGTCAACAAGACGGGAAAAGTCCGATTTAAATATAAGGGAGAATCTGCCAAGAGGAGGAATTCCTTTGGTCCAGTTCAGATTGTGACTGATTCATCAAGTCAAATCATTGTATCAGACGTATTCAATGACTGTCTACATATTCTGGATCAGAATGGATATTTCCTCAGGTGTATTGATGACTGTAGACTTGTGGCCCCTGGAGGGCTGAGCTTGGACTCTGAGGGAAGGGTGTGGGTGGGGTTAGAATCAGGCAATATGAGAGTGATTCAGTACTTAAAATAAACAGAAATACCACACCTGTTACATCAGTCTTCATAGAATAGATTTTTCACAGTGACTGAAAAGCTCTTTTAAAATGTATACATTAAAAAAAAAAAAAACTCAGTTATTGTAAATTTTCTTCAATGCTTTTTTGACACCCCATTTACAGTGTTTGCAATAACCATTACCATGTAAATGTGTTGGAAGGGAATATGTTGGGATGTTTCTTTTTTGCAGATTGAAAAACTGTGTTCTACAGCTATGAAGACTACTGGAACAAATATACAGACAGAATCTCCCTGTAAAAAATTTTATTCACAAAATTCATGCCAGGCATGCTTAGATTTATTCAACAAGCTCTTTTCACTCATTCAATAAATAAATAAAATACTTGTATTAAATCTACATATACATCCAAGCATACATTTTCACAGGATTTTAAGTTATAATAGTGTCATTATCTATACATGTATGTATTTTTAAGTGTGTATTCTATCAGTAACTTCCACAGTTTGGTGTTGGATCTATACACATTTCTACTATCACACTCTCATTCTTAAGCCATATGACTAAACATGTCCATTCTTTTCTCAGAGTTTTATCTGAGTCTATAATATCTCACTACTCAGGTTCTGCAATATTCTTCTTTCTCCCTCTCATCCTTCCTTTCTTCTAGTTTTATCAGAGTCTATGATTATCTCACTACTCAGGCTCTGTAGTTTTCTTTTTTCTCCCTCTCCCCCTTCCTTTCTTGGGGCTGTTTTTTCTTCTGTTCTTCATTGTAAATGTTATACACTGAAATACAGACATCATTATTCTCAATCAATATAGTCTCAAAGATAGTGTTACATAATTAATATGTGTGAAACATTGTTATTCCTGGCTATTGAAAGACAACATTATTTTCAATGAATACAGTTCAGAAGTCTCAGATTTTGACACATAATGATGTTTTATCCTAAATTACTTATTAAAATGTGTTAAACATTGTTATATCTGATTATTGCAGTATTTGACATTGATGCCTTTGCCATCTGTTGTTTGTAAGCAATTTCCATGAGGATCAAAAGTAATGTTGGGAAACCAACCGATGAAATAAAAGTATAAATTTACTGGTATCCGTTTATTCACCATTATTCCCAGGACTGCTTTATTTCACTTGTGAAATGCTGCAAATTTCTTGCTTAAAATGTTACAACATTATGTATTTCTATCTGTTACAATATAATTATGTAAGACCTTTTCATCCAGGTAATTCAGTAGTTTTTCCATGGAGCATTTGATTCCAGCTTCAGTTATCTCCCTTTTCAATACATCAATCTCCAATGGCTGTAAGGAAATTTTCTTTTGTAAGTTTAACATGTGATTCACTTGACGCTGTTTAAAATACCTCTTAAATTTAATGTGGTATTGAAATTGTACATTTCTGGTTGATGTCCAGAAAAACCAACATTTAAGAATAGAAGTATCATAAGTGTACTATGAGAATTGTTATTACATACAAAGTGTTTAATATATTCAAGAAAAACAAAAATTAAAATACTGCAGCTCATTTAATCATTCCACACTTCCTATTCTGAACACAAATATTGTTGCCCACATCACCACAGCATCTCATAGTACAGGAGTGTGTGCATATATAAACCTATCTTTATTATATTCCACTGTGTTATATCACATGACCTACCTCGTACATCAGTACTCTCGTGTACAGATCTGGTGTATCCAGAATAAACTGGGAAATTCTTTGAGTCAAATCTGATGACGACGATCCCTGTAAAATATATATCTGCAGAGTTTTGAATGTATCAAGTTCACAGATTTATGATTTATTAAATGTATCAACTTCAGAGATTTATGAGATCAAAATTCCCACAATCTCTTATTTTTGTTTAGACTCTGAAATATTTAATTAGTCTTTGAGTATTCTAAAAATTAATAATCAGATCATAAATCAACAAGAACTCACAGCCTGGGATGGAGTTATCTCCTCTTCTTCTATCATACTCTCCTCCAGTACAACGCTAACAAGGGAAGATCCAGCATTAAAGTTTAGTAACAATGAAACATTTATTTTCATCTGATTTCTTTAATTTAGTTTTTACATATTACATGTCCAATTCTTTGATTCCATTCTAGTGAATATTTAAAGCGTATAAATTACCAGTACAGAAAGAGGGTATTCTTAGTTTATAATAGACAGTGGGTATGATGTTCCCTAATCTGTGATTGGCTGTAATATTAGTAATATATCTAGTCAGTGTTTGGCTGTGATAATTTTATAATATCTAAATATTGATTAGTTATTATAATTCTATATCTGGTAATGGGCACAGGTATTTGTGGACAGGATGGAGATTGGCTGTTATAATTGACATTGATTAGCTGTACTGACTGTTACCTTCTGTCCGATTCCTGGCTGCTGCTGATTTCTTCCTCCTCCTCATCAGAGACTGAGATCGGTCCCCCCTGCTTACTCTGTTCTACTGTTGTCTCGTCCACAGATAACTCAAACTCGCTGTCTGTCTCATCTGTAAAAACAATCTCAGGTATTAAAACCTGACATCTTTTTTGGGGGGAATTTTGAAAACATTCATAGATCTTCCAAAAACAGTTTTATTACACAAGTACACAAAATTTTGTATTTAAACATTTCAAGATTATAAAACTTAATTATGAAAAAGCTTATTTTATCGTTAAGTCGGTTTATGCTAAAAAAAAAAAAGCTTTTTTAAAAGCCCAAATACTTTTTAAATGAATAAAACATGAAGATCTTTATTGCACATACATTGATGGGTTTGATGGTAGATGTCCTTTAACAGAAGAACCATTCTCTTCTTGCCAACTGGTTTTACCCCTATCTTCTGAACTTCTCTCTGAAAGTTAATATAATAAAATGATAACATAAAAAATAAGCATGGAGTTACAATTAAAATTTATAATGGAATTAGTCCAAAGAAAAAAAATTCTAAACTTTTGCAATAACATTATAGAATATAAACATAGGTAATCAGAGATTACAGAGCTCACCTCAACGAATGTTGTCTTTAAGTAAGGCAAAGTCACAAAATAACCCAACAAAAAGTGTACATCCAAAAATGCAAAATTTATGAAATTTTGATCTAAAACTTTGGAATAGACCTATATAAAAACTTCAAACTAGTTCTTCATCACGAAAATGTGATCAAAATCCAGCATCTGAAGCAAGCTAGTTTAAGAGTTTTCATCCCTTGATGCATCATTTGGGCAAGTTTGGTTTATCTAAGCCTTATAGTTTCTTGGTGATAGACCTGCACCCATAACTTTTACATGGTCCATTATCTAGAAACGTATGTCGAATTCAGCAAGTCCATTAGTATGCATCCTAAGATGTATCATCCATGCGAGTTTGCACAACATATGGCTAATAGTTACTTAGAAATGAAATCTGCATAAAAATTAAACCTTTTCACTCATCCAAAAAAAAAGTAGGTTAGATTGAGCATCTGAAACCAGCCTTGTAGAATGCATGCAACCTTAGATGTATCATCCATGCAAGTTTGGTCATTAAAGAGCTCATAGTTACTTGGAAATGAATCCTGCATCAAAAACTTTAACCTGTTCACTCATCCAGAAAATGTAGGTCAGATTCAGCATCCGAAGCAAGTCTGGTAGTATGCATCCTAAGATGTACCATCCATGCAAGTTTGGTCAACATAGGGCTTATAGTTACCTGAAAATGAAACCTGCACCAAAAACATTAACCTGTTCACTCAACCAGAAAATGTATCAGATTCAGCAAAGCAAGCCTGGTATTGTGCATCCTTAGTTTTACCATCCATGCAAGTTTGGTCATTATAGGGCTCATTGTATCTTGGAAATGAACACTGCTCCAAAAGCTTTAACCTGTTCACTCAACCGGAAAATGTAGGTCAGATTCAGCATCCGAAGCAAGCCTGGTAATGTGCATCCTTAGATGCATCATCCATGCAAGTTTGGTCAACATAGGGCTTATAGTTACTTGGAAATGAGGCCTGCACCAAACACTTTAACCTGTTCACTTAACCGGAAAATGTAGGTCACATTCAGCATCTGAAGCAAGTCTGGTAGTGTACATCCTTAGATGTATCATCCATGCAAGTTTGGTCAACATAGGGCTTATAGTTACTTGGAAAACAAGACCTGCACCAAAAACATTAACCTGTTCACTCAACTGGAAAATGTAGGTCAGATTCAGCATCCGAAGCAAGCCTGGTAATGTGCATCCTTAGATGTACCATCTATGCAAGTTTGGTCTACATAGGGCTGATAGTTCCTTGGAAATGAGACCTACACGAAAAACTGCACCAAAAATGTTAACCTGCTCCAAAAACATTAACCTGGTCATTCCTTTGGTGAAATTGCAGCATCTGAAACTTTGACTGGTACAATGAAACACATTAGAAGCATCTTCCATGCATGTCTAAAAATTAGGACAAAGAAGTACTTGAAAAGAAAACTGCTCCAAAAAACTTAACCTGAAAAACCTGGGACGCCGAAACATTTGACACCGATAAGGGTATTATAGAGCTCCCCCAACTTCGTTGAGGTGAGCTAAAAATCATTTTCCTGACCAATGAACTCAATAAATTAATGAAACTTTAATCCAACAATTAATATTTTGTTACTTTTGAAAACTTTTCCTCAGATTTGACAGGATCATGATAGTATTTATTTGGAATAAAACTTACACATCAGTGACATTATTTTATTCTATGTACCTTGAGTTGTGGAGTGGCCATACTGTCGTAGCTTGGCATGGGGGTAAAGGGTGAAGGAGGAACCCAGTCTTTCTTGGATCTTTTGGGTCGTCTGCACTCATTTGGAGTCTTGAAAGAATTCTGCAAAAGTCCAAATGTTTGAAAAATTTAGTACAGAATATATCTAAAATACCCTACATTTAACTAAACAAAACTTCCAACTAAAATATTTATAGCTAATACAAATTAATCCAATTCATGTTTATCATCAAATCATTTTTTTTACTTATAAGGAGGAACAGATTGAGCTGTTCCTGTTTTGCCTGGAATAAATTGTGAGAGTCAAATGAGATACCAGATTGTCTGTCTCTTGTTCCTCCACCATTTCCACGTCAAAGCTGTCATCCTCAATGTTCTCCTCCATCAACTGGTCCTCAGGTCTCGGGGGCAGGGAGTTCTGAGGCAAAGAAAAATCCAACATTAAATACAGCCGTGGAAAACATCTACCCGAATATAGAGCTTAGAAAAAATGAGTAGTAATTGGTATTTATAACATTTCAACATCAACATTTTGGTTGACTTTCTGTACAGAAAATACACATACGTGTTTTAAACCTGGTTTTGAATTTGTGGGAGTGTCTAATTCAGCTACAGGATTGGTTGGTTTTATTGGTGTGTCATACTTTTCTTCATTTCTATTGGATGACTGTGAAGGGATGGGGACATCACAGGTAACAATACATCCACCCATCCCACTGTCATTAAAGTCCTCCCATACATCCTGGTCTGGTTCAACTAATTCTGAAAAAAATACATACAGGTGAGTAAAATAACAAAAAAGAAAAAATGACTTGAAATACTGTAAAGGCTGTCATTTTTAACTTGAAAAAAAACCCAAATTTACTCAATTCAAAATAATTTTCCCGTACTGTGGCATATCAGTATTTCTTGAAAAAAGTATTTGAAAGGTATCAACTGTAATATTAAGCATGTAAAATTTTTAAAACAAATTGAGCTGAATCTACAAATTAAATCTTGTACAAATTCAAGGTTAATACAAGTACGAGTATATCAGACATACCTAAATCATTTTCCACAACTTCAGGCACTTGTTCCTCTTCTTCCTGGTAATGCTGACTAGATGAAGCAGCCTCAGGTGGAGACTGATCCACATGACATATTACAACTGGCTCTTCACTCTTCTCTGGAGATAGAACTTGCCTTAAATTGACTTTGGAAGGTTTAGTCTTGGTAAATTTGAAGGTTTTTCTTTCATTACTTTGTTGCTGACCAAACACTGGTGAGCCAACAGCAGAAAGCACCTGACATTTGTCTTCTATCACAGATACTTCATCATCATCATTTCCTGAGTTTGTGGAAGTTACAGAGGTTTTAGGAGTAGTAACTTTATTCCTTCTACTATTACATTTAGTATTATCGTCTACAGATTCACTTCTAGGATCATCATCCTGCTGGGGACAAGAGAATTCACATGTATTATTTTCCTGATCACTGTATCTAATACATCTCTTTGATTCACTTTGATGTGATCCTTCTACAGATGTTTTGGTTTTTCTGTGTTTACGACCTGGTGTGCCACAACCACGGTTCTCCTCACTGGCTGCTGGATCTCGTATTGTGGATGCCTGCATGTCTGGATCAGCTTCTGGATCCAGTCTGGACAATACTGGAGACTCAAACAAATCCAGACCAGATGAGTCCAGAGCCTGAGGGTTAGGTGATCCTACCTCTCCATCATTCCCCTCTGCAGAAACATCCCTCTCTGGTGATCCGTCATGACTAGAATCACTGTCCACTACCAAGGGACTGCTGGCACGTCCACTTTTGTCTAGAACCTGTTGTTCGGCAGATTGTCTGAACTTGTCTGATCCTAAACAAGGAGGAGTGTCTTCTGTCTCACTGTATATAATCACATCCTCATCTTGATATAGAATACTATCAGCATGTTTCTCCTGTACTATATGTTCTTCATTGTTTTCCTCTGCTGATTCTTCATTGCCTTCCTCCTGCACCTGATCAATCTCCATATCTTCCTCAATCTCCTCTTCAGTATCTTCTTTATCCTTTTTCCTCTTTTCTTCCCTTCCTCCCATCAGATTTTCTTTTCTAACAGAATGATCTTCATTGCTGACTCCATCATCAGGAAAAGCCTCCATGTCCTTTATTTCAGATTTCTCTTCCAGACCATCATTATCCTCAGAAGGTTTGACATAAGTCCCATCAAAACTGTCGTCATGGAAGAACAAGGCTATTTCTTCCTCACTGACATCACTCTTCCGCTCCTCTGGATCCACCACTGATCCTCCTGAATCCTCCTCTCTTCCCCCTTCATCAGAGTGGCTGTACTTCTTCCTCTGTGTGAGTCTGATGTCATTATAGTCCCGATCTGACAGCTTCTCCCAGTCATTGTTATCACTACTACACCCCTCAGTTTCTCCTGGATCCCCCTCTCTATCATCCTCTGTCAGGTCTGTAAAGTTTCTCTCCTTCTGTTCTTCTTCTTCCCCTGTTTTATCCTCAATTCTGTCTTCCTCTTTCTTTTTATCAATAACTGAGGAGCAAATCTCTACCAAATCAGTAATCTCTAATCTAAAAAAAAAATACAGCATACATGTCAATCAATATTAAAATATTTATTTATAATGTAAATACACATCTTTCTGAGAATTTATTCCGCAATACTGAGTATATAGAGCTATTTCTTAATAAAGTGCCACGCCACAGCATGATACGCCCGTCAAAAAATTACAATTAACTTAAACAGTTTAGAGTGCAAGAAAATCATGTAAACCTTGATTCTAAAATTTCCATGATTTTTTCTATTCCTTAAGATATTTGTTTATCCATCGATATCCCCTGTGGTGTAGGCATTAATTATAACAAATTACATCATTGATAGATTTCTATACTGGTTGTATTAGACCTTAATTGTCAAATGCTCATCATATTAAACAATATCAAATTAGTCTTAACAACTTAATTTAAACCAAATTAATTTTGAAAATAAAAGGCTAGGCCATCAAATGACATATGCTATTTAAACTGACCAGCAGTTCTTCTGTCTAATTCTCAAAGGATACAGATAAGAAGATGCTAGCTAGCCTTCCTAAATTGAACTCATTAATTAATCTTTGACTGGATGCTTGTCTTCTCATTACTATAGATGAATGAATCTGCACTATCTACCATAAAATATTTTTAAAACATATAAAATACTCAATGATTTTTTTTTTTAACATTTAATGTCAGAAAGGTTTAAATATGCAATTTGTATGGAAAATGGACATGCTGATTCCACCCCTATGAAATTAGTTTTTTAAATTAATAATATTATATAATATTAGATTAGTTTATAATGCAATATCAAATTAGTGTTAATTACTTTTCATCAAAATCATTTTAAAACTTAGGCTAGCCAACAAGAGCTATTTTTAATCCAACAGGCTTACCCATCTGCCCAATTCCCAAAGGGACATAGATAACACCGATGGTCTCCAGTTTGCTCCTCACACTAAACTCATTAATTTCTCTCTAATTTGACATGCAATTTTCTGTTATCAAAACTCTTGACCAGTGCTTGATAATTACACTCATGGGAGACATGGGATTTCTCTTAACATACATAATATCTGTTATAGATTGCTGTCAAGTATATGCTGAAAAAAATAAGTATTTTCTTGATTTAACACTTTTTTAATAAGGATACAACTAAACTTTTGCATTTTTTAGGATTATGAAATTCAAAATTTAAAAGACTTAGTTTTTAAAAAAATTTCACTTAAATTAAAGGTCACAGTGACCTTGAAATAGGTCGCGACACACCTTCTACCCAAGATGTATACATTTGCCAAGTTTGATAGTTCTAGGTCTAATAGTTTACTAGTTATGAGCCGGACAAGATTTTTCCATATTTGGCCATAGCATCTTAATTAAAGGTCAGAGCGACCTACTTTTTGTGCGCGACACACCGTCTACCCAAGAAGTATCAGTTGACAAAGTTTGATAATCCTAGGCCTATTAGTATTGAAGTTATGAGCCGGACAGGAATGGACAGACGGACGGACGGACACGAAGCCTATAACATAATACGTCCCGTCTTAAGACGGGCGTATAAAAATCTAAATCTTCATCTCTGTATACCAGTATATTCAAATAGCCAAAAGAAATTATTTACTTGAGAATTATCATGACTAAATACAAGTAGACGCCGGTCATTTTGCACCTCAAAAGTTTTTGAAGAGTTATCTCCCCTTGATGAAAATAGAAAATTTTTAATTTCTCTCAGTTTCTGTGGTAAATGATTTGTTTTATTTCATATTTTAATAAAGAGAGAGTTTATGCATATTTTCACCAAGAGATTTGGTTGAAATTCAAACTGCTTTTCAAAATATCTTAAACAAGAGGCCCATGGGCCACATCGCTCACCTGAGTAACTTGGGTGATGCAGTTCTTCAGCAGATTTCCCCTCTTGCTATACCTATCATGCCCCCCTACCCCCTCCCCTAACATGATTTTTATACTTTAGAATCTACACTACCCAAGGATGCTTCCATATAAGTTTCAGTTTTCCTGGCCCAGTAGTTCTTGAGAAGAAGATTTTTAAAGATTTGTTCTATATATTTCTATGTAAAACTTGCATTCCCTATTGCAGCGATGCCCAACCCCGGGGGTCATGATATTATCAATTTAATATCTACACTACCCAAGGATCCTTCCATGAAAGTTTCAGCTTTCCTGGCCCAGTAGTTCTTGAGAAGAAGATTTTTAAAGATTTGTTCTATATATTTCTATGTAAAACTTGGATTTCCTATTGTGGCCCGGCTACCACCGGGGGTCATGATTTTTACAATTTAATATCTACACTACCCAAGGATGCTTCCACATAAGTTTCAGCTTTCCTAGCCCAGTGGTTCTTGAGAAGAAGATTTTTAAAGATTTGTTCTATATATTTCTATGTAAAACTTGCATTCCCTATTGTGGCCCCGGCTACCCCCGGGGGTCATGATTTTTACAATTTAATATCTACACTACCCAAGGATGCTTCCACATAAGTTTCAGCTTTCCTGGCCCAGTGGTTCTTGAGAAGAAGATTTTTAAAGATTTGTTCGATATATTTCTATGTAAAACTTGCATTCCCTATTGTGGCCCCGCCCTACCCCTGGGGGTCATGATTTTAACAATTTAATATCTACACTACCCAAGGATGCTTCCACATAAGTTTCAGCTTTCCTGGCCCAGTGGTTCTTGAGAAGAAGATTTTTAAAGATTTGTTCGATATATTTCTATGTAAAAATTGCATTCCCTATTGTGGCCTCGCCCTACCCCTGGGGGTCATGATTTTTACAATTTAATATCTACACTACCCAAGGATGCTTCCACATAAGTTTTAGCTTTCCTGGCCCAGTGGTTCTTGAGAAGAAGATTTTTAAATGACCCCACCCTATTTTTGTCTTTTCTTGATTATCTCCCCCTTGGAAAGGGACTTGACCCTTCATTTTAACAATTTAAATTTCCCTAAATCGAAGAATGCTTTGTGCCAAGTCTGGTTAAAATTGTGGTTCTGGAGAAGAGGTTGAAAATGTGACAAGTTTACAGACGGATGGACGGACGAATGGACGGACAACGGACAATGGGTGATCTGAAAAGCTCACTTGAGCTTTCAGCTCAGGTGAGCTAAAAACATGAGCTGCCATTAACTGGACAATAATCAAAATTTGGTAAATTCATTTAGTAGATCATTTTATTTGGTAAAACCTTTAAAATGCTACGGTGAAAAAAAATACCGGACCACTCACTTATTAGGTACAAAATATGGTCATTATACATAGAATCCCTTAAACAAGTAACCAGTCACTCCTTTGCTCACCAATAGGTCTGAGTAATGAATACTAAAGTTTTGACAATGCAAATTTCTTAATACCAATTTCTATAAAGAATGGGTATACTTAACTGGCCAGAAAAAATGCCGTAAATTTAAGTTTTATAAAATCTTTATTTTTTTTCCATCATATAAACCCCCAATATCTTAACTGTGTATTCATGGTACGGACGTGAATTTAAAACGATCTTTTCGAAGTAAACTAAATAGATATCGAAGGCATGGTGCCTGAAGATTTCTTGAATATCAATAGATAATCAGGGTCACGCGTTTTTCATCGTCTGAATACATAGTCAGCACATGTTTGCCGGCTGTTCTTACGAAAACTGTAGTTGTATATTGAACAAAATAATGTTATATTTAAAGGAGAAGTGCCGACAAACGTGCGCTCACACTAAATTTTACAAAAAACATGTTCAAAATAAACTTCACGCTTCCACTGTTATGACTGCAATTGACCTGTTAAATATCACGTGATGTCCACCTGCGAGTGTACTCGTGAAAACAGTTACATTGTATTCTTCAACCTGACCTCGATCTAAATCGTGTCTTTGAGCGTGTTTTGTTGCCGTTTTCAGAATTTAGCAATTGAATATTGTTTTAATTTTGCATGTCATCACATTTTTAAAATAATTTCATATTGACATCGCTGTAAAATGTTAAACACGTATTCGAATTTTTGGAGAGAGAGAAGGATAGAGAGAGAGATGTCAACAATGACGCTGATCTATAGCCCCGCCTCCTATAAATATTGATTGTGTGACATAAAAACCACTACGGGTACATGTCAAATTCCAGAAGACGACACTCATGTATCATTGCTTCAATGTTGATACATGACAACAGGGCATTGTTTTTGCATTAAAGTTCCACCTAATATAACCAAGTATATGTAGCCCTTTCCATTGCTCATAATATATTTGGGATTCACTTCATTTTCAGCTTGGTAGAGGAGTCGCAAAAAGATCCAAAATAGGGCATTAAGTCCACCCATTCTTTGCGATACTCAAAACCAGCTGCCTGACCTTGCAGCCAAATCCTTTACTTCTTGGACCATTCCTTTAGGGAGACATATGATCCCTGCATACAGAAACTTCATAACTGTTAACACTGTGTCTGTGGCAAAATCTGTCAGCATTAGTTCATCTTTGCAGTTCTACAAATTATAGAAATGTCATGAGTTTATGATTTGCAAACTCATTTTATATACATTGCATGTATCTTAATGAAGTATGCATGTCTTTAAAGATTCAGTTTTAAAATACTGGCACTTATTTTTTAAAAAAATTGTTCCAAAACCTAGAGCAACAACACCCCAAGTCAAGTAAATCTGAGAACTGACCTGGATTACATTGGGACACTTAACATTTAGGATCAGTCTGTGAGCATGTATTGTACCATCACTAGCTTTAATCTTTAGATCACTTAACACATGATTGTTCACCAAGGAAGCCATTTTCTTCTGGTGATTCTCTGAGACTTTCTGCTTTGTACTCTCCTACAATAAATTTAACAAATAATTTGAATAAAACCTCCAAATAATCTGTTATGTAAATAACAAAACTGAATTCACTCTTTTTGTTTCATATTCAATATATATACTCCTCACCTGCACTCTGATTGGTGAGTCTGGACAAAAACCACTACAGGTCAGGTCAAGGTCAGGTGTTGCCATGGCACTGACCTCTAGTTCAGCTAGTACTACTGCAGTCTGTGTAGAGGCCAACAGGGTGTCACCATGGGCATCAGTAGTGCCCAACTGTTAGTGATGAAAAATATAGAAAAAGTTAAAACATGCACCATACTAATATAAAGTACTTAACAACTTTAGATACTAAAGATAAAACTTGCTGATATAAAAATATTAACTGTTGTCAATTTTTCCCCCTAAAAGTTTTGTCTGACTACTTGAATATAACTAAAGAAAAAAAATCCCTCATTGCTAAAATACATTTTATGAGTACCAGTATTTTAAGTCAGACTCACATTAGCTTCTTGTTTCTTTGTTAAGGCTCTGTAAGATGACTTTCTTCTTCCTGGAATGTCCTCCATCTTCTTTATGTTAGAGCCGACAACAAAGCGACTGACAGAAATAGGTGGCATCAATCTCTCTACGTAAAACGTGTCTTTGTTTTCCAAGCAAGTCAGTCTATCTGTTGCTAACTCACATCTTGTCCACAATGAAGGAAACTAGAGAAAAGGTGAAATATGAACATGGAGATTGGATTTTTTAATCTTTCTGTTTATAAACTGATATTTTGCTTCCAAACACATGTCTGAATTAGTATGTTATTAAAATGACACAATATAAATACATTTTTTTTTTTAATTTCAATATTCATAATGTTAACATTTTAATAATAAATATTACAAACATTTGACCTTCTGAGTACCTGATTATTGTCATTGGAGTATTTATCTTTAACCTGACTCTCAGATAGAACTGGAGTCAGATATTCCACATCCTCCTCCTCATCTTCTACTTCCTAACAAAATAAACCAGCAGGATTTAATTACCTCTTCACAGTACAAATTGCATATTTAAAAAAATCATTATAATTATGACAGCGTTAAAGATGTTGCACCAACTTATTGAGGATGATATTTAATAAGCTAACAAATTTTCTGCCTGCTACATAGATGTATTTAACTTGCCATTAAAACTTGTGGATAGATCATAACTAACCTGAGGAATAAGCATGGTCGCCACTCTATCTGACCACCGCTTCCATTTTTCTTCCTCTGTCAGCACCACCAGCAGTGGGGGTGGGGCTGACTCTCTAAATATAAAACCAAAATACTACTTTATCATTCTCTTACTGGAGAAGCTACATCAAATACTTCACTTTACATTCCACAAACTTACGTCTTTTTCTTCTTCCCCTGTTTTAGAGGTTGGATCTCTGTTTTCTTACTGGATTCGGAATTATGCAGAGAATTGGACAAGGCTAAGGCAGTCTGTAGCTCCTCATCATATTTACTGGTGGAAAGAAATAACAAAATCGATCAATGAAAAAGATATCCTCTAGTGTTTATCTTTCTAGAATAAATCAAAGGCCTGAAAGACCACAGTGGTGCAACATAGTAGAAAGGATAAAATAAGTTAAACTTCTCATGTTTTACATGTACATACAAAACTTAATTGATTTTAATTGCTTTTTACAGCAAAAAGAATTAAGTACGTTAGTTATTATGCGGAGGCCCAGTATTTTTCGTAATATAATATACAGGTTTGCCAAAATTTTAAATCTATGTGCATGTACTAGATGATTGGTAGTTTTAGAATATGCGAAGCAAAATTTCCACACTCTGTTATTTAGACGTATAGACCACGTTTAAAGATCCGTTTTTTCCGGATATTGCTAGTTTTTCCACTATTTTCGACAGATATTTCTAAAATTGAAGTAGTGCACACCCCTCAAGCAAAATAAAACACGTATATTTCGAAACATTTTGATGAAAGACAGATGAAAACAGGGATAAGATTTTGCTCGAAGAATGTGCAGTATGTTTATTTTGAATTTACAGTACTATTTCCGGTGGCGGATTGAAAGTTCATTGAGAGGTGTATTTTTATTTATGTGAAATTATATAACCATAGTTCATAAAAAATGTTAATAAATAAATAATCCATGCAACGGCAATATATTTATTTTTCATGCAAGTCTATTTGTCAAGAAAAATAGCATACAAAGTTGAAAATACGAAAGAATAATAAGACAGATGACGATAGGCCCAGCGATGTGTAGGCCTAACTTGAATCTGACAAACATTTCCAATAAGTATCAAGAACCAATGAAAACGCTAAATAAAAAAAAAAATCAATTGATTAATCTTATTAGCACAGAAGAAGAAAACGGGTTTGTATTTTTTGCCAAGGGTATAATTTTATTTAAGAAACTGAGAAAGTTCATATAGCTCAACAGATGTGAATAAATTACGTAATGATAACAAAGATGACGTCACAATAGATCCCGTTTGATTTTCTTATAATTTATTTTTTTTTTATTCAAAACACTTATAAAATATAATCCTTTGCAATTCTGTTCAAATTAATCAATATTCTGAGGCCATATATTGTTGCATTCATATATAAACACACATGTATATGTACGTTACGGATAAATTTTAAATCATATCCTTCCCACAGTCAGATGGTTAATATAAAAAAAAAGATACTCCGAAAACGTTGATCAATACTTAATTTCACGCTCTATATTTGTTGCTTATTGCGCCTCTAGATAAACTTTTGAATGCACCGGTCTATATTTTTAGAGATGTTTATATTCCACGATGAATTAACAAAAAAGGCATATACTTCACCTATTACTATTTTATTAAATAAAGATTACTAGATAAACTAAAAATGACTGTCATTAATTATCTGTCAAGGAACCTGAAACGTCAATAGACGACAGAATTGGGAGCAACATATAAAAGTTAAAAAGAAAATTCGAACACAAAACCTGGGGGGGGGCAATTTGGATGAGGGGGATCGTTGAAACAGTTATTCTAAAAAATAGGGCCGGGGGGGGGGGGGCATATTGCAAAGAAAAAATACTCAGTGCGGCGGCCCTTATAGATATACCGGAATTGTCATTCCTGATCAGTCCCAATTTTCATCCAATGTTTTTGTGTCCGGGGAAAAGAGCTGTAAGACGTCATTTCAGACATATAGTTCCCTTTGTTATTTAAAAAAAAAAAAAAAAGTTTAACAAACTTTATTCTCATTAATCCGTATCCATTGAATTTGTAAGTTTTCATCATCATCTTGTAAAGGTATATTTTCAAAGATATACATGTATATGTATTCCTTGTAAACGTGTGTTGTGCAAAAAAAGTCAATTAAATTTAAATGTAATGTTCACAAAGTACTTGTATATTCGTTTAATCACGAAAATCCTTGCTTTCAAGCCATAAACGGCATGCAGACTAAATAAAATTAAACAGATCTTTCTATTTGTTTTGTTGCCTTACATAAATATCGGAATTCCTGTAAATTACACAATTTAAATCAATCGCGTTACATAGATACTCAGTATCACAAATTTAAAACAATAACCTATTTATTTATTTCCGGCATGGATAAAAAATATCAGACACAGTTTAAAAGTCAATTTAACCCACAGAAACTTGGGGATATTTAAGTTCAAATTCGTGAAAAAAAAATCAATTTGAACGTAGATAGCAAATACAATCTTAATCTACACTTAATCTCGTAATTTTTTTAAGCTCAAATACGCCATATTTAGCTTTAAAATTTAGTTCGAGTTTACATTCTCAATCAAATTAAAATGACAACTTGTTCGTGTGAAGTTATGTTTCTAATCAGAAATATACAAAAAGAGATTTACAAGTGTTACATGTATATAACAGGCACGTAGCATCGTTTTTTTTAAACTGGGGGGGGAGGGGCAGAGAATTTTTTTTATTCACCTGGAAAAGTTGACAAGCAAAAAGAAAGCATTGCCAAAACTCGAAATTCCTATTTCGCGGGGGGTAGAGGCCAATTTTTTTTCAGGTGCCGAGTTTTTTCAGTACCAGTTTTTTGCATACAATACTGCATTTCCCTTACATCACTTTAGGCCAGATAAAATCAATCTTTAGATTCTCATCCCCGCCCGCCCCTCTCAAAGTCTCCCGCCCCGGCATTTTTTATTTTGATTTTTGGGTGTTAGTAAAGGCATTTTCATGTATTTCTATTCAGTAAGAATTTGGGTGAAGTTTAAGAGTTATCTCCCGTCTGTATTAAAAGTCGCGTGTCGCTATTTATAGCAAAGGAGCCATGTGATGAATGGAGAAAAATCGGCAATAAAAGCAGTTTAAATATATGTAAGGAAAAGATTACTTGTCAGTATAGAGAAGGCAGAGAAAAAAATAATAGCATAAACAGATCTAGATACCATCACTGGCATGAGCAAGGTTTTTAAAGATTTTTTTAAGACTAAGTATAAAAATAGACATGGAAAATGACACCGGGTCAAGTTTTAACGATCTCCAACTATGTGTGATTTTGATTTGAAAAAAAAAAATCTTGGGCAGACTTTAGAGAATGTTTAGTGCTAAGAAAATGTTAAATCTTAAAACTGTTGAGGCCTAGGTTTTTTCGGTAGGATATTTTATTAGAATATTTTATAGATTTTGTAAATATGACCTATTTTATTGTCGAACATGTCAAGTCTCAGGAACGATCCAATTTTTGAGGAAGGTGGAATTCTATGATATTTTACAGAAAACAGAGGGATTTGTAGATAAAACTAAAGGGTATTTAGGGAAAGACCGATGAGAAGTCATGCATACAAAATTTACTGGTATCAGAACCCCACCTCATTTTGTTTTGCGTGTGCCGTATATGTGTACTTGATAATTTGTTAAATTAACAATAAATATCTAATTATTTAAGCAAGAATTTTCTTTAAGTATTTAAAAGAATATGAAAAAAATAACATTTATTTATATTGGCATAAACATAATGAAAAAATGTGTACGAAGAGTCCATGTTTTGTTGATACTTACAATTTAACAATTATAAAAAATAAAAAATAAAACCCGCCCACCCGCCCCAATTTTTTAGCAAAGTAGGATGAGAATCTAAAGATTAATTTTACCTGGCCTTACCATAGTAAAAGCTTGGGGCTGAGCAGCTTTTCAATAAACATTTTCAGTAGTAAAAGTAATGTTGGGAAATAAAAGTGCCCCCCTCCCGTTGCTACATGTACGTGCCTGTATAACTCTGAAAGAATCTATATCCCGCATTTTAATTTTAAAGCATTATTATGTCAATGGAACATACTTATTAATAATATATATCGATGTTTTACCTCTCGCGAATTTTTTACTCATATGAAGACGCCACTTTTTGCCATGAAGAGCAATCTTTTTAAAATCAGATTTCTTTTTCGCTCCGAAATTCTGATAGTCACAAGGTGTACAGCAATCAGAATTTCGGAACATAATAAAGATCTGAAATAAACATTGAACGCAAGTCGTTAAAAATACCAAGGTTAGATATATTTGCATTTAGTAATTGTAAACATGATGGCAGATCAGTCTGCAATTAAAGAATGTGCATCATATATGATCCAAGAAAAAGGGGAAGTTCGGGGGTTTTTTTGGGGGGGGGATGCTAACCATGATTCAATAATGCTGAAAATCCTATAGTAAGAGTGGATTAATGATTTCAAGCGACTTGTCAGAAGGGAAATTTTCAATGCTAATTACTACCGAAAAAGACTTGATCGTATATCCTTTGAATGTTTTTTGCATATCCTGATGTTCTTTTTTTTGGTTTGTAATTAAAGTTGAAAAAAATATGTTCACGTATGCATATACATGTATATGTATTCTCAAAAAGTAAAAGTCGAAACTGAAAATTGTGCTTTGTTAATTTATATAGTTACACATGGTATCAACAAACTTCAAATTAAGATAGCCATCTTTATCATAAAAACCATCATAATAATGCACGAACAATATCATATGCAGTTAATTATGCATGTATAATGTATGTCCTCGTGTTTATTTTATATTTAAAAACTTACACTGTATACACACACACACAAAACAAATTGAATATAAGAAAGATGTATCGTTCATTCAGAATTATAAGATTTAATCGTGATCAAAAAATTGGAATAATGGACTTCAAGCTAAAAATTATGTTCCATTGACTTTCTTAATGAATCGTTTTCTCGGAAAAACTAGCAAAATCAATGACCAACAAAATTTCCAGTAAAGACAAATAATTTTTAAATTCAGCAAAATTTAAACTCTCTCCACATTTTAAGAATAGCTCACGAAGGAAACAGAAGAGTAAGCTATAGCTTTTTTCAGTTCAAAATTTATTCTTCTTTTACACTGTATCGGGAATAAAACGTTCAAAATCCGATAACGTCAAGTTGACGTCATAACATCATTGCGTTATTTTCTTACGAAAACTACCTATATTTAAAGAGCTCTCTTGGGGAAATGGTTTGAGATGATAACAAAAATTAAAATGACTTAGGAAGTGGTCATTCTAGACATGTTTCAAGAACAATTTAATTAGAATTTGGGACTGGGCGGATTTTTGCTCATACCGTACTTTCTTCTTTCTCTTTAGATCTGATGGTACTGATTTTTTCTTCACATGGTCTTTATACACATACCACCTTTATGCAACCAATAAGCTGGTCATGTTTTTCTTACATTTTTTTTAATGAAGTATTCTACCCTTCTCGGATATACCCTTGAATCAGGTCAATGATGTGGTAAAAAAAATAAAGACTGTTTTCTCTTAATTCAAGTATGGCCCCATCAACAAAACATTGAGTGAGTCAATCAAGGAAACTCATTCATTTTGAGATCTCTAGCTCTGATTAAACTACTCAATTCAGAGCCTTACCTGTTGGGTTCTTTTAGCTTCTGTTTTTTGGCCTGCTTGTTCAGTTTGCCAATGCCTGTCCTGGAATAAATACACAAAATTCACTCATTAGAAAGTTACAAATTCCAGTAGTCTATTCTTACACTTACGGAGCATTTACAAAAAAAATAACGTAAAAAATAGTGTTTGGTGTAGTGTTTCTGAGCATGGTGTCTCTTCCTTCCAGCTACCATGTCTGGCTAGCAGCAATGTGAAAAGAAATATACTAAAGGCTTGCCTATCATTGCTAGTATTTACAGCCTTTTTATAATAAGAACTAGGTAGTGTTTCCTTTTTATTAAAAAGATATGGGACACCTTTCAAAATACAGGTAACAAGTTGACAGGAACTGGCAGGTACACTGTAGTTCTCCAAAGAAAAACTATTTACTAATAAAAATTTACAGTAAAATATAAGTGCTCATTATGTTTCTTAATGAGTGAAACAAAAGTGCAACATCAATACTAATACATTGTAATTCAATCGTAACATTTTTTTTATTTCTGCATTAAAGAAATATATTGCAATTATGTGTCATGACACTGCAAACTAATTGTTGAAAAAAAAATCATTATACAAAATCAAATTAATCTTGATATATCAAATTCATTTTGAAAATAAAAAGCTGGTCATCCAGTAATGAAGTGCTTTGACAGACAATAAATTACAATTAAGAGAATAAGAGAAGAGAGATCTTTAATTCTTGTGCCTTATTCCCTGGAGATTTGATAACACACACACGCTTGATAAGAGATATGCCTTAACAACCTCCAACACCAAACTCATTAATCTATCTTTAACTGGATGCATGTCCAGTCATTATTCCCAAGAGACAAATGAATTTACATTATCTTCTATGTAATGTAAAAACTGTTTTAAACACTTGATGATGTTTCTTTTTTTTAGTTTTAATGAGTTGTTTTAAGCTGTACTAGTTCACATTTTTGTACAGATATTCTAGATTCTATCTCTCAAACCTTATAAATGAGCCAAAAATGAACAAGTCAATTTAAATAAAAAGTAAAACCTGTAAAATGCAGAAAAATTAACAAATAAAGTTGAAAATTCCAGGTGCATACCTTCATATGGTGAATAATAAGTGTGCAAATTTTCAGATAAATCCTTGCAATAGTTTGTGAGAAACGGTCTGCACAAGACCACAAAATAAAAATGAAAAAACACCTATAAAATTCAAAATAATGATCCAATCAATATGAAAATAGCAGGTGCACACCTTCATATGGTGAATAATATGTGTATAAATTTTTAGACAAATCCTTCCAACAGTTTTTGAGAAATCGTCCGGACAAAATCTCGTCTACAGACAGACAGACAGACAGACAGACAGACAGACAGACAGACGGACGGACAGACGGACATGGTGATTCCAATATACCCCCCCTAAACTTCGTTTGCGGGGGGTATAATTAACTCAGATCCAAAACCACAATCAGAAGTAACTATAGTCATATGTAAGACTCTAAAACTCAGGTTAGCCATCTGGAGTTGAGGTCAATCACCTTCTTTTACAGAAGATCTTTATTAGGACAACCAAATCAGAAAATTGTCTCTCTTTCACAGGATGTACTACCAGGTATATTTTTTGTACTAATGATAATACATGTATTGTCTTTATGGGAGCTTGGCAATGGCATGGAAAAACCATCAGAATTCAGACGCTAAAAGAAACAACCTAACCCTAACGCTAAAAGAAACACAGAAACCCACCCTAAACAACGCCAAGAACACATCAAGTAAGGTCACAGAGGGAGATGGTGAACCAATATGGGAAAGTCCAGTAATGAATGAAAAATAACCATGGATATAGAGGGAATCTGAACAAGGAACAAACCTGACCAAGGCTAACAAGGATAAGGTGATCATCTAGCTAAGCTACTTTATACAATGTAGCATTTATCTAGATACATACTTGACTGACAGAGGGACCACCCTGGCTATACTACTTTATTGGTATTTATCTAGATACATACTTGACTGACTGAGGCACCACCCCAGCTGCTATATTTATCTGCCTCTCTTCCTCCTGTTTCCTGATCAGGTCCAGGAGTTGATCTGTAGAGACACCAAGGTTCTGACTACATTTCTTCATGTGAACTTTCCTTCCCTAAAAAAAGTAAAAAAAATATTTGCCAAGTTTTATTTCATGTGTAATAAAAACAATAATTTGTAATAAATATTTTTTGTATATCTAAACATCAGACCAAAAAATTACCCATCAGTAGTCATTCATAAAATATTTTCAAAATTTCAAAGTAGTGCTTAACTAAAGAGATGTTTTTTAAAGTCTGACAAATTCAAGAGTGTGTTTTAGATTTATAGCAATTCATTTCTAGCAGGAAGTCATAGGGTTTTTCTTCCATATGAAAATTTACACAACATCTTTAAAGCATCCAGATGACAGAAATGCTGGTCATTTTGAGCGATAATATTGGGTAATTACTTTTGTTTCTCTATAGCTTATCTTTCATCATGCAAGCTGATGAGCATAGGTATAAGAATAAATAATCACTTTTCAAAAGAATAGGCCTGTCATTTTGAAATTTTTCACTGTCATGATAATTTTTGCATAGTGTTTGAAAGGATGTATTGACCTGTGTGCTTAATATTTGTCACAAAGATGCATCATCCCTAATTTTTCTGCACAGACATCATCTGTTTTAATACCTGCCCTCCCCAAACTGATTCAACAAAAGACAGTTAAAATCATATCAGTAGCAAGAATGGACTCTGTAAACATGAAATATCACCAATTGTAAATATCTTTTCATAATATTTCTTTTCAAAAAATAAAAGAAAGATATGGAATTAACTTTCTTAACACCCTTTAGAACACTCCAAACTTGCATTTGACTCAATATTAGAACTTTCTAATATTATAACAGAGATTTATGATTGGTAATCAATGCATGTCCCCCTGATTTACTCACATTTTCTGACTTGAGGGTCCTTCCACACATGGGACAGTCTAGTACTGCTATGCGAGCCTGCTCTAGTTCTACTTTTTTCTGCATTTCCTTCTGTTTTAACTCCTCCACCTATAAAATTATCAAATATGGTAACAAGGCTGGAATAACAAGCCCTGTGAGGCCAAGACTGTTCCCTACACTACTACAGATACTGTATACAGGGTTATATTCGCCCCATGTTATTTTCGCCCTTTCATACTTGCAAACAATTTTGCCCCATTTCAAATTCGCCCATTCATAATTTTGTTTAAGAAATTATACAGTATTCTTTGAATTCGCCCCATTTTAAATTCGCCCAAATGAGGGTAGGGCGAAACGGGCGAAAATAAAACGGGGGCGAAAATTTCCCTGTATACAGTAAGCATTACCAATCAATTATGGTCTGCTATGGGCGATAACTCTATACCATAAAGGTTTTATTTTTTACAGTCATCTATCTCAAATTTTTTCATCTTCTTTCTTTCAAGTAAATTTGAATTTTATTTTATATCATTATCTTCAGGTAAAAAAAAATGAAATTTAAACAGAAATATTTACATTACACGTGTTTTCTGTATATAAAGTGAATGGAAATCTATTGCATTCAAAACTCCATAACACAGACAGGGTGCCAAAAGGTTAAAGCATGCATTTTATTTTGACGTCACAATCATTGAACACCGAGGAAGTGCAACATCTTAATCGAAAATAAAAAATCACGCTCATATTAACCAGAAGCTATTACAGTTGGCTCTACCATTAACTGTAGCTCATATGAAGGATAATACACAGGCTTTTAAATATAAATCACATTTGCAGTCAAGGAAGAGAGTTAAAAAATGTTAATATAAGCAATGATTCATTATTTTTTTTTAAGATATAGTCTCATAACTGCAACGATGTGTGCAAACAAATATTCATAACATGTTAATTTGTTTGCACACACCGTTGCAGTTATGAGACTATATCTTTCAAAAAATAATGATTCATTGCTTAAATATTCTTTTTCTGATAGCTAGGTTCACTCTCTCTTATCCTAATCCATGCAGAGATTACCTGGACTATGCATGGTTTACCTGCACTGTACCTGGTTTACCTGATCTAAACAGACAGTACTGTACCTGGTCCATGCATCTGTTTAGATGCTGTGTTTTTCTGGCTGAATTGTAGTGAGACAGATCCTTCAGACAAAACTGACAAGAGAACTTCTCCTGAGGAACCACATCCTCACTGGTCTCTAAAATGTACAAAAATTTCAACTATCAATATAATTTACTGTAAAGTATATTATATTTGGTATACTTAAAGATAAAAAAGAGCAGTAACCACAATTTGTGAAATTTGAACTTGTAGAGTACTTATCATTTTAAAGACTTAGTACAAATAGGTTTAATCAAAGTGGTACCTTGTTTTAGACAATCCTACCTTTTTTCTGGAATCTTTCTTTAAGACATTCAGTGACATGATGCTGAAAAGCTTCTCTGGGGAAGCTTAATTCACAGGTAGGACATTTTTTACAGTTATCTGTATCTACATCTACCAGTTTATTTTCTGGTTCACTGACGACCACCTGACATACTGTTGACTTTTGTTCCTTTACGCTGCTACTTTGTCGAAATTCACACGTCTCATTTAATACATTGTGTGAAACTGACAATATACTTTTCAAATCTGTTTTGGCAACACTCTTTTTCTTCTGTAGCGATAATTTGGACTTGGATTTTTCCTCATTATTCTTCCGCGTTTTCATTTTTTTTTTTTTTGAAAATTATACTGTTGAATATCAGATATCAAAAACAACAAGGACAAATCCACAATGAATCATGTATCCACAACATCACACATGTATATGTATTGTGTTTATGTTTTCTAATCTCCTCATCCCTTTACTATAAACAACAGAACCAAAAAATCACATCACAAATGTAAATGAAAAAAAAATAATCACAAATTTCCTCATTTGAAATGATACAGTTTATATTACATTCCGTTCTGACATTCTCAAACATATGAAAATGTATACATCTGCAGCTATTTCCCTAGACTAGATTCTTTTTGTCTGAAAATGCCGAATCTTCTTGTTGTTGTATCATTTTTTCAGTCTCCTCCAGGAGGAACTGGTAATCTTCTTTAATCAATGCATTCTGACGCTCCCTTGCACGTTTTACTCTTTCTGATTCTACTTGAAATAAATCTGGAAAACTGAAAGTAAGAAATTTTTTATCAGTTTGTGCGTTTTTCTGTCAAGGCTTCCAAAGTTAGCAAGTAATGACCAGTAATAAATTGAATGACATACATGTCTGCATGCATACATATACATTTTTTTATCAAAAAAAATAAACTTGACTGTACATATAATTTACATGAAATAAGGCCATATCTTTCAAAAAGAAGTTTGCTTATACTTTCTTGACTCAGAATAACAAAATGCAAAAATTGAGTAGATAGCACAGGCACTTGATTCAGTAATAAATTTTAACCTATAGTATTATCATTACACAAGGTATCCAGCTCTGAATATACATAGATTACCCCCTCCTCAGTATTGCACTCATTTACACTTTCAGGGGAAATGCACTGGCTAACTTTTTATTACCATCCAATGTCTTCTACGATAATTTATTTTCACAACTGTGTAAATTAAAACTGAATAAGTATCTGATACTTATTCTGCGCTCACCCCAATGGTCGCATTGTCAACATAATAAATTATACTGTGGTTTAAAACTTATTAAGGAATCAAGTGCTTGTCTTATGTAGCAAAATCGAGCTTGTAAATCAAATGCATTATTTATACAGATTATGAAGATAAATCAGTTATCAATAGCCTTAAAAATAGGAAGGAAAAGTTTTGGCATGTTTGGAATGGGTTAAAAGTTTCCTGGCCGTAAAAAAAAGTTTTGAGTCTGCCTCGATCAACCGTTGTAGTCAGTGGGTTGGAGAGGGCAAATAAACAATTTTAAAAGATGGCCCAAGGAATAATATATTTCTCAATCTGTTAACAATTTATTTTGATTAGCGGTTTATTACCTATATAAACAAACCACCATTCCAGTTACAACTGTCAATGAAATGCCTAACGCACTCTTCTTAAACAGCTTAACCAATGGTGTCGTAACTCTATAATCTGGATCGAAACGCCGTGTTTTCATAATTTAAATATATTAATCACAATTCTATTCTAAAATTGATTATTTGTTGCAGATCATTGGAGGTATAATATGAATACATTTTTGTATCTCGTAACCAGCCTCTATAACCAGGCAGAGCGCATGCGCGCAACAAATTTACATCGAGTTCGGAAAACAGCAGAGAGGAAATTCGGAATATATAACGAAAACTAGTAATGCTATTCTCAGATGCAGAAATTTATGCATAATTCAATAAAATTTTATCTAAAAAGCCGAAGAATTAATAAGTCGACAGTGCAATTAGTTTTTTTGTTTATTTAATCTTTTATTTATTTATTTATTTATTTATTTATTTATTTATTTATTTATTTATTTATTTATTTATTTATTTAATTGTAATAATTATTAATAAACTAAATAAATTATTCATTCATTAGGAAATTTATATTTCTGTTTATTTATGAATACATTCTTTTCTTCATTAATTAATAATTTATATGAGTAATCAATTCTTCTATATATTTATTAATCATTTATTCTTTTATTTAATTAATAAATTCATAGATTAATTTATTATTTATGTTTCAATTCATTTATATTCTAATTTGTTTGTTTATTTGTTTACTTACTTTATATTTTTCTTTATTGTTTATTTATTTATTGGTGTTTTTCTTTATCTACTGGTTTATTTATTATTTCTGATAATTAAGTACAGGTTTGATTTACTAATAAATAATTTATTTTATTAATTTATCATATTTATTCCTTTTTAATTTTATCTTTTAGAATTAATCAATTAATTAATTATCTTTTTTATTTATTTATGTATTTATTTATTTATTTATTTATCTCTCTCTCTCTCTCTCTCTCTCTCTCTCTCTCTCTCTCTCTCTCTCTATCTCTTTCTCTCTCTCTCTCTGATCTAGACAGGTTCTGTTTATGTATTGCTAGGGTTTATGTTCCCATCACCATGGTTTGTATACCCAACACCAGGGTCTATATACCCATCAATAGGGTCTGTATTATTAATAAGCAGGGTTTATAAACCCATCACCAGGGTCTGTATACCCATCACCAGGGTCTATATACCCATCACCAGGGTCTGTATGTACCCATCACCAAGGTGTATATACCCATCACCAGGGTCTTTATTATCTATCACCAGTGTCTGTATACCCATAACGAGGAACTATATACCCCTCACCAGGGTCTGTATACCCCTCATCAGGGTCTATATACCTATCACCAGGGTCTATATTCACATCATTAGGGTCCATATTATTTATCACCAGGGTTAATATACCCATCACCAGGGTCTGTATACCCATCAGCAGTGTCTGTATTATCTATCACCAGGGTCTGTATACCCATAACCAGGGTCTATATACCCATCACCAGGGTTTATATACCCATCACCAGGGTCTATATACCCATCACCAGGGTCTACATACCCATCACCAGGGTCTATATTATCTATCACCAGGGTCTGTATACCCATCACAAGGGTCTGTATACCCATCACCAGGGTCTTATATACCCATCACCAGGGTTTATATACCCATCACCAAGGTCTATATACCCATCACCAGGGTCTGTATACCCATCACCAGGATCTGTATACCCATCACCAGGGTCTATATACCTATCACCAGGGTCCATATTATCTAACACCAAGCTCTGTATACCAATTACCAGGGTCTATATACCCATCACCAAGGTTTGAATACACATCACCAGGGTCTGTATACCCATCACAAGGCTTTGTATACCTATCACCAGGGTCTGTATACCCATCACCAGGGTCCATATTATCTATCACCAGGGTCTGTATACCCATCACCAGGGTCCATATTATCTATCACCAGGGTCTATATACCCATCACCAGGGTCTGTATACCCATCACCAGGGTCTATATACCCATCACCAGGGTCTATATTATCTATCACCAGGGTCTGTATACCCATCACCAGGGTCTATATACCCATCACCAGGGTCTATATACCCATCATCAGGGTCTTTATACCCATCACCAGGGACTATATACCCATCACCAGGGTTTGTATACCCATCACCAGGGTCTGTATACCCATCACCAGGGTCTGTATACCCATCACCAGGGTCTATATACCCATCACTAGGGTCTATATTATCTATCACCAGGGTCTGTATACCAATCACCAGGGTCTATATACCCATCACCAGGGTTTTCATACACATCAGCAGGGTCTGTATACCCATCACAAGGGTTTGTATACCCATCACCAGGGTCTGTATACCCATCACCAAGGTATGTATACCCATCACTAGGTTCTTTATACCCATCACCAGGGTCTATATTATCTATCACCAGGGTCTGTATACCCATCACCAGGGTCTATATACCCATCACCAGTGTCCATATTATCTATCACCAGGGTTTGTATACCCATCACAATTAAGGGTCTGTATACCCACGAACAGGATCTGTATCATTTATCACTAGGGTCTGTATTATCTATCACCAAGGTCTGTATACCCATCCCCAGAGTCATTATACCCATCACCAGGGTTTGTATACACATCACCAGGGTCTGTATACACATCACCAGGGTTTGTATACCCATCACTAGGGTTTGTAGACCCATCACTAGGGTCTTTATACCCATCACCAGGGTATACTATGTATCTCTCAGGGTCTTTATCACAAGGTCTTGTGTATAACTAATATTACGGTATCACCAAGGGTATGTGTATCATTAAAGGTCTGTGTACTACCACCAAAGGTGTCTATCACCAACTGTCTATGTATCCATAAGGGACTATGTATCACCAAGGGTATAGTTATTACCAAGGGTATGTGCATCATAAAGTGTCTGTCAATAACCAGGGGTCTGTGTTTCAACAAGAGTTTCTATCATCAGGGGTACTGTATATGTATCACAAAGGGCCTATTAATAATCACCTAGGGTCTGTATCGACAAGGGTAAATGTATCGCCAAGGGTCTATGTATCACCATGATTATGTGTATCACCAAGATTATGTGTATCACCAAGGATATGTGTATCGTAAAGGTTCTGTGTTCTACCAGGGGTCAATGTATCACAAAGTGTCTATGTATCACCAGTGGTCTATGTGTCGTCAAGGGTCTTTTTATCACCAAGGGAATGTGTATTACCCAGGGTGTGTGTATCACAAAGTGACGGTGTATCAACTAGGTTCTATGTATCACCAAGAGTATGTGTATCAGTTAGGGTCTGTCTATCACCAGTGGTCTTTGTATCACCAAAGGTCTGTGTATCACCAAGGGCTTGTGTATCACCAGTTGTCTATGTATCACCAAGAATGTATATATCACCTAGAGTCTGTATCAACAAGGATAAGTTTACTTAGGGTATGTATGTCACTAAGGGTCTATATTACCAAGGATATGTATATCACCAAGGGTTTGTGTATCATTGAGGGTCTGTGTATCACCAAGGGTATATATTGTATCACTTAGGGTCTGCGTATCAACTAGGTCTGTGGATCACCAAAGGTCTATGTATCACGTAGGGGCTGTGTATAACTGGTGGTCTATGTGTCATCAAGGGTCTATGTATCACCTAGGGTCTTTATCAACAAGGATCTGTATCACTAAGGATATGTGTATCACCAAGGATTTGTGTATTATTGAGGGTCTGTGCACCTTTGTTCATCAGCAGGGTTTGAATACCTTTCATAAGAGTGTGCATGTTTATTACATATGTCTGAATAGCCATATCAAGGAAATTTTTATTCTTGCAGGGTTTTGTTGCATTATTTTGTAGGCCTATATGGGGTCTTACATAATCTGCATTATTAAAATGAAATCCAATATTAAGAAGGTTTCTCGATGTGTTTAGTAAAGTTCACCTCTTGTAGAGGAGGCATGATCGAATTGTATAAAGAAAAACATGTATATTGATTTTCTCATGATTAAAATTTCTTGATTCTAATATTGATCTTATTTACTTTTTTTGTGTAGTGTAAGCCTGTTAAAGAGGATGCAAAGGACATTCAAATTAACTTAAAACGATGGTCAAAGAGTTTATTTATCTGGATTGTGGAAATATCTCTTCATTGTTAATGTGAATCATGATATATTTGATTCCTCATGATGTATTTTGATTCCTCTTTTGGATATTCCCGTGGGGATCCGGGTTAGAATAGGTCCTCAGTACCCCTTGTTTGTCGTAAAAGACGACTAAATGGGGCGGTCCTTCGGATGAGACCGTATAAACCGAGGCCCCGTGTCACAGCAGGTGTGGCAAGATAAAGATCCCTCCCTGCTCAAAGGCCGTAAGTGTCGAGCAGAGACCTAAATTTGCAGCCCTTCACCGGCAATGGTGACGTCCTCATATCAGTGAAATATTCTGGAGAGGGACGTTAAACAGTATACAATCAATCAATCTATTAATCTTTTGGATGATTTGAGACATTTTTTTTAACAAAATATTTATTTACACCTTAGTCGACTATTCATTTACTTTAAACGAATAATAGTTGAATATTCAGGACATTTGATGGAAATAAAATTTTAATAATTCAGATATCACTCGTTCATAAATGAGTTATATTTATAACAAAAACCTCCTTACCTGCATTTATAAAAAGTAACATGAAATATTTATGTGTAAGTTTCACATAGATGTTAAGAGGCACTTAACGTATTGACAAGGCACGTAACAAGGGGGGGGGGGGGGTGTTGCCCCCTTCCCCCTGTTATCTAAACGCATCATTTAACTTTTGAACATATTCATTGAAAGGTCGACCCCCTATACTTTTCAGAAGATCGGACTCTCATATTCAACATATGAATTATCTATATTACAAACCGTTTATGAATACTTAATTTTTTTATCTTATGATAATATTTAATTTTCAAACACTTATTGTAAATCAAAAGCGGCTAAGGGTAAGGATAACAATTTTATACGTAATTTTAATTAGGCGATTGTGGCCGGTGTCAACCCTTTCCTGTCTCAGAAGAACCTGACAATAGCCAGCAATTGTTCTTTCAGCAACAAGGCAGGCTAAGAATTACTAGTACCCTGATCAAAGCATAATTCACCCGTGTAATGCCCCTGACAAAACTATTAGGAGTCCAAATTATTTTGCACTTTGATCTTGGCCAAAGCTTTGCATTTGATGCGACAGGTCTTTTACATCTTCATGTGAAAAGATTTGACAAATGAACTTTGCCATAGACGACTGCATCCCATTCAAAAATTACAGACACAGCATATCATTTCCAAGAAGCAAAACTACACTTTGGTTTTCTGTTTGACAAAATGTCATTATTCAGAATTTGTAGAATGCATCTATTTTGGCACTTTTGTTCTACTGTCATAAACCTCTACATCGAACACAAATGAAATTTGAACTTTGTGTTGGTAGATCTACTTTAATGAGGATTTCTACCATTGTACACTTTATTCATTAATTATGAAGAGATGTATATGTTCATATTTTCTGTGGAACAAATGAACAACATGATGGAATTTTATCATTTCTATCCATTTATGAAATAGATGATTCAAGATACATATTGAGTCATTGACCAAAATTTTCAATGTCAAAATATTTCCACATAAATAAAAAATCTTTGTCTATCTATATAAAGTTCAATGTCCTTTGCTTCCTCCTTGACAGGATTCAACTACAAAATAAAAAAAAAAAAAGGTATGCTATAATGACAACATAAAATAATAACTTTAGATCAAGAAATTTTAATCTCAAGACAATCATTATAGTTCATTTTACAATTCGATCAGACCTTCTCTACAAGATGTTAATCTTGTAAGTGAACACACCCAAAGACACCCTTAAAAGTACGTGTAATTAGATTTCATTTTTATAATGCAAAAAATGTTGAACATCCTACAGAAAATAAGGTACTTCGACCCCGCAAGAGGAAAAATGCTTAATATGGTTTTTCAGACTTGTGTAATAAGTATACACACTATTTTGATAGGTTAATGATCATTGCTGATGGACAAAAGTACACAAACCCTTGGTGATACACAGACTCTTGGTGATATATAGACCCAAGGTGATACATAGACCCTAGGTGAAAACCCTTGGTGATACACAGATCCTTTTTTATACAAAGACGTCAGGTGATACACAAACCCTTTGTGATACACAGACCCTAGGTGATACACAGACCCAAGGTGATACACAGATCCTAGGTGATACATAGACCCTTGGTGATACAAAGGCCATTGGAGATAAACAGACCCTTTGTGATGCACAGACCCTCGGTGATACATAGACCAATGATGATACATAGACCCTTGGTTATATATAGACCCAAAGTGATACATAGACCCTAGGTGAAAACCCTTAGTGATGAACAGATCCTTGGTGAGACAAATACGTTAAGTGATACACAAACCCTTTGTGATACACAAACCCTAGGTGATACACAGACCCAAGGTGATACATAGACCCTCAGACCCTTGGTTATACATAGACCCCTGGTAATACACAGACCCTTGGTGATACATTGACCCTTAGTGACACACAGACCCTTGGTAATGCATTGACCCTTGGTGACTAATAGATCCAAGGTGATACAAACAAGCACTTGGTGATAAACATAACCTTCGTGATACAGTCACTAATTGGTGATGGGTATATATATAGAACCTGTAGAGTGGGTATGAAGACCCTGGTCATGAGTATTAAAAATCCTGGTGATGGGTATGAAGACCCTGGTGATGGGTATATAGACCCTGGTGATGGGTATATAAACCCTGGTGATGGATATTAAGACCCTGGTGATGGGTATACAGACCCTGGTGATGTGTATACAAACCCTGGTGATGGGTATATAGACCCTGGTGATGTGTATACAGACCCTGGTGATAGATAATATAGACCCTGGTGATGGGTATGTAGACCCTGGTGATGGGTATATAGACCTTGGTGATGGGTATACAGACCCTGGTGATGGGTATATAGACCCTGGTGATGTGTATATAGACCCTGGTGATGGGTATACAGACCCTGGTGATGGGTATATAGACCCTGGTGATGGGTATACAGACCCTGGTGATGGGTATATAGACCCTGGTGATGTGTATACAGACCCTGGTGATGGGTATATAGACCCTGGTGATGGGTATACAGACCCTGGTGATGGGTGTATAGACCCTGGTGATGGGTATATAAACCCTGGTGATAAATAATATGGACCCTGGTGATGTGAATACAGACCTTGGTGATGGGTATACAGACCCTGGTGATGGGTATACAGACCCTGGTGATGGGTATACAGACCCTGGTGATGGGTATACAGACCCTGGTGATGGGTATATAGACCTTGGTGATGGGTATATAAACCCTGGTGGTGGGTATACAGACCCTGGTGATGAGTATACAGACCCTGGTGATGGGTATATAGACCCTGTAGATGGGTATACAGACCCTGGTGATGGGTATATAAACCCTGGTGATAAATAATATGGACCCTGGTGATGTGAATACAGACCCTGGTGATGGGTATACAGACTCTGGTGATGGGTATATAGACCTTGGTGATGGGTATATAAACCCTGGTGATGGGTATACAGACCCTGGTGATGGGTATACAGACCCTGGTGATGGGTATATAGACCCTGGTGATGTGTATATAGACAATGGTGATGGGTACATACAGACCCTGGTGATAGATAATATGGACCTTGATGATGGATTTATTAACCCTGGTGATGGGTATACAAACCTTGGTGATGGGAACATAAGCCCTAGCAATACTTAAACAGAACCTGTCTATATCAAAAGAGAGAGAGAGAGAGAGAGAGAGAGAGAGAGAGAGAGAGAGAGAGAGAGAGAGAGAGAGAGAGAGAGAGAGAGAGAGAGAGAGAGAGAGAGAGAGAGAGAGAGAGAGAGAGAGAGAGAGAGAGAGAGAGAGAGAGAGAGAGAGAGAGAGAGAGAGAGAGAGAGAGAGAGAGAGAGAGAGAGAGAGAGAGAGAGAGAGAGAGAGAGAGAGAGAGAGAGAGAGAGAGAGAGAGAGAGAGAGAGAGAGAGAGAGAGAGAGAGAGAGAGAGAGAGAGAGAGAAGATAGAGAGAGAGAGAGAGAGAGAGAGAGAGAGAGAGAGAGAGAGAGAGAGAGAGAGAGAGAGAGAGTAAAAAAATAAATAAATAAATAAAAAGAAAATTAATTAATTAATTCTAAAAGATAATAATAAAAATGAATGAATATGATAAATTAATAAAATAAGTTATTCTATTAGTAAATCAAACATTTACTAAATTATCAGAAATAATAAATAAACCAATAGATAAAGAAAAACACCGATAAATAAATAAACAATGAAGAAAATATAAAGTAAGTAAACAAATAAACAAACAAATTAGAATATAAATGAATTCAAACATAAGTAATAAATTAATCTATAAATTTATTAATTAAATAAAAGAATAAATGATTAATTAATATATAGAAAAATTGATTACTCATTAGAATTATTAATTAATGAAGAAAAGAATGTATTCATAAATAAATAATAAATAAATGAATAAATAAATAAATAAATAAATAAATAAATAAATAAATAAATAAATAAATAAAAGATTAAATAAACAAATAAAAACTAATTGCACTGTCGACTTATTAATTCTTCGGCTTTTTAGATAAAATTTTATTGAATTATGCATAAATTTCTGCATCTGAGAATAGCATTACTAGTTTTCGTTATATATTCCGAATTTCCTCTCTGCTGTTTTCCGAACTCGATGTAAATTTGTTGCGCGCATGCGCTCTGCCTGGTTATAGAGGCTGGTTACGAGATACAAAAATGTATTCATATTATACCTCATCATTGGGGGCACCTTCACATTCACACACGTTTAAAATTAAGCGGATATCTTAAGTACACGATAAAAGAGAAAAGTAACACGGGCATTTGATATATTCCCGGAATAAATTAAACAGTGTTAAAAAGTGTGTGACACAGTATTAACACGTTTCCAAGTGTATTAAACACGCAACAGAGAATTCTGAAGAGAAAAAATAGAATTCCTAAGGTGACCTTGCAGAACTGTGAAACTGAATGCCTACAATGAACAGATAAGGTTTGAACTGTAGGCCTAGTGGTCAGATAGCATGTGTAGTACTAGGTGGAGCACATGACGGGAGATTCGGGAAGGGGGGGGGGGGTAGATGTCCGAAATATCTGATATTTTCCTTGCACTTCAAATATCAAAATCGTAAAAAAGCCTGGAGAATGTCAAATATTTCAGACAAGGGGCTTAGTGGGGTAACTCCAGTCTGGGATGCTAGCTGTCTTCAGTGGCAGTGTCCTAGAAGACCTTTAAGGATCGAGGGAGGAATGTGGTGGTCAGACAGGTTGAATTGCCAGTGGCCAGATAGTTCAGATGGTAGAGCACCTGACTGGAGATTTCAGGGAGCCGGGGTTTGAATCCCAGTCTTGTCTGTCACATTTTTCTCCTCTGACATTACAGAACTAAGCCTTAAACTCCAGCTAAATGCTCTACCAACTGAGCTATCTGGCCACTGGCCATTGAATTGGTCTGACCATCACATTCTTCCTTTAAAATCTTCACAGCTGAATCTATTGCAATTGGCAGGACTTTGAACTGTAAGTCAACAGACAGACCAGCCCAGATTTGGACTTGACCCCTGAACTCTTTACAGATGATTTATCAGCTTATAATATGGTTCGGCTTTACCAGCTATTACATTTGCCTGACCACCACATTCCTTCCCCTCAAAGGTGTTTGCCCCCTCCAGATTAGTATGGTGCTTGTAGGAATATTACTATGGTACCAGAGATACTGAGAAAATGAACTTTTTAAAAAAAAACTGCCTGTACAAAGGAGGATGCTATTGATTTCATTTCATTTTTGAATTTTGATAGATGCATTCCTTTATGTTCATGTAATATGTATATCAAACACTTTAAGCACAAACAAAAAATCTGAATGATAATATTTTATATTTAAATACACATACAGCTGTACATAGAAACCTCTTTTTAAGTTTTTGTCAGTAGATTTTCATAAACATCTAAAAATCCACTTTCAAATTCTGAGTCTGAAAATTTCTGGACTGACACTCTAGCAGTGCGTTGAATATCTGTCCTTTCTTGCTCTGACAATTTGAAAATTTTTGACATGGAGCTTGCGTAGGAGTCCACATCAGAGGCCAGGAACCCTGTGGGCTGACCATTGACAGGTACTACAATGTCCAGCTTAGGTCCTCCTGAATCATGAGCCAGGACAATACAGCCTGCTGCCATCAACTCCACAACACCTAGAACGGAATGGAAACTTTTTATAGCTGGTATGCAGGAAGTGATTATTATAAGAAAGACTGAAAGTCAAAGAATACTGAAGCTCTTTCTATCCATGTAAAACAGACCATGGAACATACAGCGTAATTGTTATTTTTGTGTACATAATACTGTATACAGGACTATTTTCGCCCCCTGTTATTTTCGTCCTTTTACACTTACTAACAATTTGGCCTCGTTTTCAATTCGCCCAGTCACAATCCTGTTTTAGAATTTATACTGTGTTTTTTCAATTCGCCCCGTTTTAAATTCGCCCACTTGTGAGGAGGGCGAAAGGGGCGAAAATTAAACGGGGGCGAAAATTTCCCTGCATACAGTATTCTTCAATGAAGTTTACACCTTTCTTAAAGTTACAAATATATATTTACCTATTCCAAAGTGTTCGTTCCACATGGTATGAAGGCCGACCACTGAGGTAGACATGAGAGATTTAAGGTCATCAAAGCTGACATTGAGCTTAAATTCCACATTCTTCATGATATCCAGATCTGTGCACATCTTCTGAAGTGCATCCACTCTCTCTCTGTCACCTTGGTTACGACAGCTGCCGACCAACAGCAATTTGTAAAGAGGTCTCTGATCCACAGCAATCGTCGAGAGGAATTTATGGAATGATCGAATTTGTAATGGGTGATCTTTCTCTGGTCTGAACTGTGATATTGACAAAATGTAATTAGATCGCTTGCCATCAAGTGGTATTTTCACAAATTCATTTATATCACAGGGGGGATACACAATATGTGTCCTATCTTCCATCTTCCACAATTGTTTGATGTGACCAAATGTCCAGGTAGAGTTCACAATAGCCACATGGCTCCTTCTTCCTGCCCAACCATACAGAAGTGCGAACAGTTTATAGTACTGCACCTTCAGCGAGGAGAGAAACCAACTCCTGGTGATAAAGGAGGGGTTATTGTGCCCCTCCCTTCTACTAGACACCTTCTCTAACATATCTGTACTGATGGTTGGATAGTGAACATAACATCCCACACGACAGTTTCCTAGGTAACGGAATAAAGGGAAGGTAAAGGCGTAGCCCATACTATCAATGTAAATGTCCGGTACACACTTCCACATGGCCTCCCACCCCAGCAGTACAGACCCCAGACTCTGTCCCAGCAGGGTCAGGTAGGGGTACATGTAAGCCTCCACCCACCTACGCTTTGTAAGGAATATAAAGGTGACGGGGCACTGGAGTACGATGTTAAAGCGCTGACGAGCTCGCTGCATTATCTCCTCCGGAGTGGCGACAGTGTCTCCTGTGTACACCACCACATGAACTGAGGGGTACCTGGGGGAATATAATTCACATATTTTAACATTTCAGAACTGGTATAAAATTAAAATTGAAATATGAATTATTTCCCTCTTTTCTTTCCTTTTGAAACAAAATATATCTGCAATCATTGCTTTGAGTTCTTATATGTATACATATTCATAAAAAGTATGATTTTCTTATCCTGCATTGCCTTGGCGACCAGTCTGTTTGCATGACTTACTTCTTCTGTATTGCTCTGACTACCTGTCTGTTTGTCTGTCTGTCTGTCTGACTTATTTTTTCTGTATTGCCCTGACTGCTTGTCTGTCTGTCTGACTTAATTTTTCTGTATTGCCCTGACTGCCTGTCTGTCTGTATGACTAACATTTTCTGTATTGCCCTGACTGCTTGCCTGTCTGTATGACTTACTTTTTCTATATTGCCTTGACTACCTGACAGTCTGTATGACTTTTTAAAAAAAAAAAATTTTATAATGCTTTATTTTTGAAAATTTTCATACATACAAAAGAACAAAAATACACTCACAAACACACCCTCACACACCACACACACTCTGTGCACCTTTCCCACAATACCAGCTTTTCATAATTACATCTAAAGTGATAACTGATTTTTTTTCTTTTTATGTATGACAAATCAAATCAAACATTGCCCATTTACAATACATTTTAGTTCTACAATGAAAATTGTTCTCACAATATTTTTTCAATTTTCCTGTAATACTTAAAGATGTTAACAGCTTCTGTAAATTTAGGTAGAGTACACTCAGTACATTGAGTTCTTGTGTAATACAAGTACTTTTTTCCTAACAAGATGAACAACAGTCTGTATGACTTACTTTTTCTGAATTGCACTGACTGCTTGTCTGTCTGTCTGACTTACTTTTTCTGTATCACCCTCAGGCTCACTACCTGCCTGTCTGTCTGACTTACTTTTCCTGTATTGCCCTGACTGTCTGTCTGTCTGTCTGTCTGACTTACTTTTTCTGTATTTCCCTGACTGCTTGTTTGTCTGTATGACTTTTTCTGTATTGCCCTGACTGTCTCTGTTTGTCTGACTTACTTTTTCTGTATTGCCCTGACTGTCTGTCTGTCTGTATGGCTTACTTTTTCTGTATTGCCCTGATTGCCTGTCTGTCTGTATGGCTTACTTTTTCTGTATTGCCCTGACTGCCTGTCTGTCTGACTTACTTTTTCTGTATTTCCCAACAGCCTGTCTGTCTGTATGACTAACATTGTCTGTATTGCTCTATCGGTTCGTCTGTATGACTTACTTTTCCTGTATTTCCCTGATCTGTCTGTCTGACTTACTTCTTCTTTATTGCCCTGACTGTCAGTCTGACTTATTTTTTCTGTATTGCCCTGTCTGTATGACTTACTTTTTATGAACTGTCCTGATAGCCTGTCTGTCTGTATGACTTACATTTTCTGTATTGCCCTGACTGTCTGTCTCTCTGTTGGTCTGACTTAATTACTTTTTCTGTATTGCCCTGACTGCTTGTCTGTCTGTCTGACTTACTTTTTCTGTACTGCCTTGTTTGATTGCCTGTCTGTCTGTATGACTTACTTTTTCTGTATTGCCCTGATGGCCACCCAGAGGACTCTTTCCCCTCCCCCTCCAGCATTACAGTAAGGATGGAAGAAACCAACCACACTCTTGCCATTGACAGAAGCTTTGTAGGTTTTCCTTTTGTGTGTGAGCCAATATCTCAGAAGTAAAACAGTCAGCAACAGAAAAATTATACAGCTGAGGAAAGCATATAGTAACCAGAGTAAAACAGGCATTCTGGAAAAAAAATGTTGTAATGTACACAGATTATTGAAACCAACTGATTATAGGTAATATAACTAGATTACCATTCTGATACAAGTATATCGCTGAAAGCGTTAGACACAAAAAATTGCAGGAATTTGAAAATTACAACGACAGGAACTGCCTTGAACAGTTAGCCCCCCCCTTACACACACACCTTCTTTAACCCATTCTAGAGAGAAAAAATAACAAACCTGGCTGTAGACTTTTAAAGAATTCACTACGATTTAAGCGATTATAGGCAATTAAACTCGCATCTTTGAAATGTGACATTTATGCATCATTTTCTAAAATCCACGTATGCATCCACATGCATAACGCAACTTTCGAAGTCTAGGCTACTTTCACTTTGCGGGATCACTTCCGATCGAGACCTCAGTGCAGACAAAGAGCGCACAGTGTCAAGTCAACACATCGCTTGTTGCGTTGCTTGGAGTTCTTCAATATCAACTGTTTTAGTTCATAGTCAAAGCGACCTAGGGCAGTTATATTCATAATATTGCCACGTCCCACTTTAGCCAGGAGACTATTACACACGTGTGTTGGTCACTGAAGCATGTCACATAAATAAACAAATGCACGAGATTGTACATCTCTGTGTTAGTTAAGTAAGTATGTTTTCTATATTTTATTCCCTTAAGTAATGTTTTTTTAAAGCTGTATAAATAAAAAAAATGTTCATATTTTTTCCTGATGTTTTGAATTCCCTGATTGTTTTTAAAAATTACGTTTATAAAATATCTCACCTGAGCCATATGAGATTTCCTGATCAAATAGAGTAGACTGGCCTTGTCTTTCTGATATGCGCAATCGTACGAAACAAATAGGCAATACCAGACTGATCAATTTCATCCATATTCTAAACATATTACGATTTTACCTTCTCCGGAACCGCTGGGCCAAATTTCATTTCAACCAATGTTAGTGCGAATTTGACATTGTACTTAAACTGGTTCAGGTTTTGGTTTAGAGTTTGAAGCTAATTTGCAAACGAATTATACTTCAATCCAGTTTACCTGCAGTAAAAGAAATAAACAGTTTACTGTGAAATCACTAATTTTCATTGTTTTCGAGGTATAAAGAGACCCACGAATTTATGCCCACCACAAAACGTAAATTTTCACATGGACAACTACTAAAAATGTTCTACATCCACGAAATCAAATCCCCATGAACCAACATTTTTCCTCAAACCACAAAAATTTGACCCCACGAAAATATGTGATTTTACAGTATTCAAGATGGCATCAAAAAGATGCATACATGATTACATTAAATATTTCTTGGGCATCAGAAGCAAATTGAAAATCAATGGGGTACGTGACTAATATGTAATATTGCGAGGATTGCAACTCTCTTTTGCAAGTGAGTCCAGAAAGCTCTAAATTTAATATATTTTGGCACATGCTTTGTTTTTTTGATTCGAACAATTTTATGCCGAAAGTACTATGTATTGCCAAGGATTGAACTCCAAATACACTGTAGTAGATTGTCCAAGAAGTAAAGTTTTAAATAAAATATTTTATCAGCTTTAAAATGTGACTATTTCTAATTAAAATTTAATGAGAAGAGTCCACTTATATAGTTAAAAATATTGTAAAAAATTCAACATTTTAGGATTAGCTCCTCTCAAAAACTGATTAGGCTGGTTCAGCGATTGTTTAGCAAGGTATTCCACCAGGATTTTTTACTTATCTGTCCACATATATTCTACAATGATCAATCTTGCATTGTATTCAATAGCACATTTGCCCCTATCTGACAAACGTTTCTTACCTCCATCACAAAAGAGTTTCGCTAAGTTAAGTAATCGCGATATCAAGTATCGAAGGCTAGGGGGGCTAAACCAACAAAAAAAGGGTAAGCCCCAATTTTCAATGTCTATATATTATGTCTATCTTTGAAAAAAAGTTGGGGGGCGGCTAAGCCTCCGTAGCCTCCCTGTTCCGATGCCTGTGTATTTTATGGTGTTTTTCATGCACATTTACAATGTAGGAACCTTAATATGAAAAGCTAGAAAAAACATACCACGGTATGTATAGGATCTCCAATGCTTTGTAGTTGGGTATGATTCAAGGAGTTGTGTGTTTTTTATTCCCAAGCCTTGTATCGATCCAAATTTTACTTACTATACAGAATAGATATATGGAAAATCTTTAAAAAAAATCCTCTTCTCAAGGAAAGGAAAGCCATGATACATGTAGGTCATATTTATATGGAAGCATCCTTATGTAATGAAGATTCAAATTTGCTCAAATGAGGATCTGGGAAGCGTTGGGGTGGTAGGGGGCTTAGGGATGACAGTCTAAGAGCAAAGGAACAAATCTATACATAGGAATAAATATCAAAATTCAAATTTTTTACATAAAGGATAATGCTATAATGACCATGAATCATTGCGATGAAACATTAATATAACCTGAAGAAAATACTAGGAAGGTCTTATCACAAGGCATATACCTATGAAATATGAAAGCCCTAGTACATGTAGTATAATGTACTAATGGTTCAAAAGTTATGATCAAGGTTTAATTTTTTTTTTAAATGGGTCATTCTCTAAGGTCAAAAGGTCCAATTTTTCACACCCATTGAAAATTAAGTCTTGTTACAGAGAGTTCTAGTACACATGTGAAAAATGAAAGCCCTAGCCTAAGCTATTAAAAAATTATGGCCAAGCTTAAAGCTCAGAAGATTTTGGTAAAAGTGGGTCAAACTCCAAAGTCACAAGTTCAAATTTGGTGGTACGTAAAGAAAGGTCTTGTCACAGGAATACACCTGTGAAATATGAAAACCATAGCCCCACCCAGTTATATCCAAGATTAAAGTTTTTGAGGACAAACAGACAGACAGACAGATAGATGGGCAGTCAGGGCAAAACTATCATCTACTCCTGAATAATCGAATTAGGGGCATAAAAATATTACTGAACTTTCACCTTCTCTTACTGTAGCAGAAAAATAGAACATTGCAGTGTGATTAAATAATGTAATAGCTAATTTAAAGTTCAGTAACTCATTCCTTTTATAAATTATGTTTTTTTCATTCTTCAGAGTTTTGTTTATTTTGAACAAGGCAATGATCCAATCAAAATAAAATTTTTAAAAAGTGTTGAAATTACACCTATATACTACTGTCTGATAATTTAAAGGGATACCTGTTAGGTTTCATTTAAACTGTTTCTCACAGAGAGGTGACTAATATTGCTCTCATGATTTTAGCTCCTCGCCTTTAACAGAAGAGGAGTTGGACAAAGGACTGAAGATCAACAGGGACGGGATCACTGATCACATGACTAGCAGATGTTACCATCCTCCTTTGTGTGAGTGTATGGAGGGAGGTTCTGGTAGATAATCAGGATTTCTGAAGGAGATAGAATCAAATGTGTTTCATTTAATTAAGTCACCCCAGCATGGAGTATAGTACATGTATTTCATCAAAAGTAACTCACCCAGAAAGTCCTGCATCAAAGAGATAAAAAGAAAAAAAAAGTTGGTAAGAAAAATATGAATTTTATTGATTTTTTATTTTTTTTATTCTCTAATGTTCATTTTGACTACCAGGTATACCGTATTTAGGAATTTCAGGTTCAGAAAATATTTTCAAGTCCACTATTTCTAGAAATTTCAGACACTTAGGCCAGATTTCTTTTAATGTTTTACAGTGAAGGAGATCAATTCGTCAATTCAAAGATGGATTTGAAAAAATGACACTTGGGATCATTTTCTACCTATAAAATACATCTGATGAACAATTTTTAAATAAATGAATATTGATTACCAATTTCCACTTCAGCAATGTGAGAAGTTTTACATTTAATAGAAAAATTCAGTTTAGCCTCACGTAAAAGAATTGTACAACTGGATTTACATAATCAGTATTATATGAGACATTTGATACTTTTGCATCTATTGGTACCAACAAATGTCCAATTAAATGTATTTTTGAATACTGCCTTTAAATAAATTGTGGGAGAATAAAGCAAGTGCACTGTAAATGTGAAAGAGAATACAATTTTTGGGTAAGTTTTAAATCTTAGTCAGTGTCAGAATAATTTTTATATTATTAAGTTAAATATTATAAGTAATTTTGTGACAAAGAATATAGGTAAATTGTACAGTAAGACAGGTGAAGGTGTATAATGTAGGACACCTTTACAGTGTAATTACCTGCTCGTCCAAGGTGTCATTCAACCCACTTTTACCTTTGTGTGTGTACATTATAATCTATTTAAATGTTTTTTTTTCTTTGTGTTGGAATTAAGTGCAGGATTTCATTTAATGAGGCGTGGTATCAATATATATGAATGGACACAAGTTTAGCTGTGTATAGACAGGTTCCCTTACACTTCATTGGTGGTATAAAAATTTTAATTAATTCAGAAAATTAATTACAGTTCTCGTTAACCTCCTGTCTACATAAAAGTTGTAGCTCATTAATCTTGGCTGAAGGGGATGTTTATTTACTGGATTTGTTTACTGGACAAAGAAATCACCTGTGGGTTATGCCACATATAACCACGCGGTTTATTTATTTATGTGAGTGAAGTGGATTAATCTGTGTTTACTTGTGGGTTGTCACACGGCCAGAGAGCCTACTGTGTATTGGTTCTGTGGTGATGATATAATGGGAGATAATCCAGACCAAGTTAATCCTGATCCTCCACGCGAGGAACCAAGTCTGGAAGTGGACAACTCGGTCACTCTGGCGCCTTACTCCTCTAAGGTAGTTCTCAGCTGTTATATACAACAAGTGTAGAAAGGTAAAAAGCTTAGTGGATAGGGGCCTAATTATAAGTAGACTGACCACTCAAAGTAGGTATTAAGTTACCAAAAAAGCTCCGGACAGAGAAATGAGTTATATGACACGGTGATGGGTAATTGATCGCCTGGTGACAATGTGTGGCTGATTTAATTGGAAGACCTAGACTGGACACTGGTCACACAGGTCAGGAATAGGAATTAGAATCAATATGACACTCGAATACAAAGATATACTGCAATAATATGCATGACTAAGGAGTTATTACTGTGTTTTACCCTCACTATGATCTAAGGTAAAAGTTCAACTCTCTGATAAGAATTAGTGTCAGGAATCAGACAAAAACAGAACATTAATTACACAAATATTTGCTGAACCAGGTATATGAAAGTGGAAGTATTGTGTAATTAAAGGTATTTTGGAAATTTTCTAGAGAGTGTACGTAACTACATGTGTATTCCAAATAGCATTTGTGTTTCCGTTGGTAAAAGCTATCTTGCACAATTTAGGAAATCCTTGAAGTTCTATTAATTACAGAACATTTGACAGCCTATTACGCGAATGCTATTGTGTGTAGGAGAAATGAGTATGTTTAGCATGTTTTAAATAATATAGCTGATTGATCACAGGTAAGAAATCAAGGTAAACCAGTACAGGTGATATAACAAAAAGCTGATCAAACTGTGGAATTAAAAGTTCCCAGAGGTATGAAAAGCATTTTTCAGTTCAATGATGTTAATCTCTTTTCAGCTACTATATGTGCAATTGTATAGAGTGATATTGTTGATAAAAATAGGCATGATATAACTGTGCTTGATGTGAGGGTGATTTAATTTGTTTTAGTTCATTATTTCTGTAGTGATTTGGTTGCACATGTAAATAAATACACATTTTGGTTACAACTGGACTTTTCATTGGAGACTTCAGTAAAGTGTGATCGGCCATCGGGGAGGGTAGGGGTCCACCCGGAATAAGTAGTGCACCCTACAACACTTGGTCACACAGTAACCATTAGACTTGGTTACTGTCCTTGACATAAAACCTTCAAGGATTAAGACATGAGTAGGAAATGTCTTTTCCAGTCTTTATTACAGGAATATGTACATTATATATACACATCTATGACTGGGTCTGCTAGCTGCATGTCCTAACTCTGGTTTGAACATATTTTATTGTATAAATACTATACAAATGGTTTGAACACAAGTTCTAACAACTTACTAGGTTCTCACCATACAACTGTCAATATATATACATAGGGAAAATAAGTGAAAAGGAAATTGATGTACAAACAAGTTTGTTAAATTGAAACATACATTTGTTACATAATTATGATAAATATATAATTATATAGATATATAGAGTGTAAGTGTTAGGCAGTAATAGTTAATTAAATCTACCAGAATCTCTTATAAATTTATGAACTGACTGAAAAATATATTTATTGATTTCTACATTTTGTGACTCATCTCCCCACAGAAGTAAATGACAATCAATGATGTTCAATTTGATATTTGGTTTTGTAAGACACAGTAAATCTCTGAATAGCTTTTCTCTAGCATATTGGTACTTATTGCAGACAAAGAAAAAATGATATGGGTCTTCTGGTGTACCACATGAACAGTTAGGACTCTCGATAATGTTTCTTCTATAAAGATCATAATTTAAAATGCAATTGTGTCGTAGTTTAGTATGTATGATATTAAGTCGTCTATTACCATGGGAGAAATAAGAAGGGGGGTCTGCTGGTTTTTTATGTATGTTATTTTTAAAGCTGCTAAAAGATATGCTGTTTCTAGTGGTGATACTCAGACTATTCCATTGGTTTATTGTATCAGGAACAAAAGATTTCTTGAATATTTCAAGTCTACATCTAGGAATAGTGTAGTCCTCTCTATTGCGTGTATCGTACTTTGATTCATTACGTCTTGTTGCGGGAAAAATACTTTTTAAATAATCGGGCACTAAGTTGTGATGTACCTTGTACATAGTATTAAGTTTTGCTACTTTTCGCCTATCTGCAAGAGGTTCCCATCCTGTTTCTAAATATAATGCATCTCTTGAAGCGATAATTGGTAACCCTGTAATAATTCTTGCAGCATAAAGCTGTACCATTTCTAATCGTTCAACATCTTGTAAAGAACACCCGTCCCAAACTATAGAACAATATTCAAGTAGCGGTCTAATGAATGTTATGTACATTTTAGATAAAGTTTTTCTACCGATATTGTATTTCAGCTTTCTTAAAAGACCTAGTCTTTGGTAAGCCTGTTTAACTATATTGTCTATATGATCAGACCAATTAAGATTTTGGCTCAAAAGTAAACCCAAATGCTTATGAGAGGTTATGTATTCTAGATTACATCGTTGAAATTGTAATTTTGGGAGATAATAATTGGATTTTAATGTAAAGAATAATGCTTTCGTTTTAGATGGGTTAAATTTCATAAGCCATTTGGAAGACCACTTGTCAAGAATATCTAAATCATGATTTAAAGTATATTCAATAGTTGCAACATTATAAGAGGAACTTTGCAACGAGTTGTCATCTGCAAACAATCTACACAATGAAATCATGTTTTCTGATACATCATTCACATAAATCAAAGAAAGTAAAGGACCAAGAACAGATCCTTGTGGTACACCAGCGTTAATGTTTCTGTTAGACGAAAAAATATCTTTGTACGTAACTTTCTGTCTTCTATTACATAGATAACTCTCTATCCAGGTAAGAATATTTCCACATAATCCATAAGTTTTTAATTTAAAAAGTAAACCCTTATGCCATATATCACAAAATACCATGCAACAAAATTTTCCTTCGTCGATATTCTTAATTATAGTGTGATAAGTTTCAAGTAGTTGGTAAACGGTTGAGTGACCTGGCAAAAAGCCTGCTTGAAATTTGTAGAATAAATTATTCTGATGAAAGTAATTGTACACATGTTTAAAAACAATTCGTTCCATAATTTTGCTAACACAGCTCAACAATGATACCGGTCTATAATTAGTAGCTACTGAAGGATCTTCTTTTTTAAACAACGGTAGTACATGAGCGATTTTCCATTTATCTGGAAATATATTTTCTGCCAGCGACTTATTAAATAACCAGCATAGCGGTTTAGACACAGAATTAATAGTAGATTTTAACATCTTCCTAACTCTAGCTAACATGCGTTCGATCTATCTCTAACTCTGGCCAGCTCTTACTGTCACTGACTCTCACCTGGACTGCTTTCTTAAGCATTTTACATATACATATATAATTACTTTTGAGTTTATCTAAATTATTAATATGATTTACTCAAATTGTCTTGTCAATGAAAGAATAGGTGACATGGACAGGTAAAGTGATAATTGTTGTCACACCTGTCGTGCCTCAGGTATAGATAATTAGGCAACTTAATTGACTTAAGAGATTAACTAATTAAACTTAAAAGGGATTAACAATAATGTGACAGCCAAGCCATCTGGTAGATCTCAATACTGTCATGGTTTAACTTTGACTAAAACAGATATAGCAAATGAAGGGAAATAAAATAATATTCTAAATTTCATTTTGTATGACCTCAAACCTTTTGGTTAGTGGCTATAAAAGTATCCCTCAATATAACAGTTTGATTGAGTAAGTTAATATTTTCCCAGCTTATTAATATTTTTTGTTGCTTTTTTCAGAAGATGGAGGAGAATATGGATCTTCCTGTGGATGGGGACGTGCTGCGGGATGAGGTCAACTTCATTCACAATGTGTCACAGTTCTTTAACCAGGAGGCACTGAGTGACGTACAACTAAAGGTTGGAGAGAGCATTTTCTTTGCTCACAAATTTGTCTTGGCAAAGTCTAGTGATGTGTTTCGAACCATGCTCTACGAGAGTCGCTGGTCTCAGGAAAACATGAAGGAAATCGAACTCAGCGAAACAAAAGAGTGCCAACCTGTGTTTGAAAAGTTCCTGAGATTTCTATATACAGCTGAAGTTGCAGTTACTGTGGAAACAGCTGTAGGGATTTTGTGCTTGGCAGACAAATATAATGTCACCTCCCTAAAACGACTGTGCACCAATTACATGGTGGAGTATGCCCGATCTCCAGAAATTAAAAACGCTGTGCAGTGGTATCCCTGGTCAAAGGCTCTAGGACTGACAGACTTGATTGATCAGTGTGCAAAAACAATAGCCTGGAACTCCGACAACTTACTGAAACTTGAGGAATGGAAGTCCATGGATTTTGATTTCGTGTTTGACATGCTGAAGAACTCAGAACTGGTCATTCCCAATGAGTATGTGCTGTTTAATTCACTCCTCACCTGGTTAAACCATGAGGCAAACCTCCCACAACTGAAAGAGAACGCATCAAAGTTGCTCCCCTTGATTCGGTTTCCTCAGATGATGGTCAATCAGTTATACGAGATAGAAAACTCTGCGATATCGGAGAATGAAGAGTGTAAGGACCTAATTCTTGCTCTGGTTGGAAAAGCCTACAGATTCCGATCCTTGTGTCCTACCCAGACAGAGCTAAATATCTCCTTCAGTGATCCATTTTACTTGCCGAGAAATTACACGGACTTGGCAGTGGATACTGTTAGAATGCAAAACACGCTACGCTTTGGAATTCAGGTGGATGTGAGGACTTACGCAGGACCAGTACCAACAGATAAACGAGAAGGAGAGTGGAAAATCACGTATCGAAAAAATGGGGACAACTGGACACTCCAGATCTTCTGCCACGATTCAGCGACGGTGAATGGAGAGGCGAGGGTCCAGGCAGCTGTTATCGTGTTCGATGAAGAGGAAAATGTCATTCAAGTGGAGCAAGTCCCCACTTACACCTGTTCCCGTGGTAACCATCTGGCCTTGAACATCAATGTGGATAATTTTGCCGACTCCAAAATTATGGCTGTCATTCTAAAACCAGTGCCAGTCTGACTTATTTAATGACGTGTCATTTTACTACATGGTATTGGTCCTTTTTATTCTCCAAGTTATTAACTGTATCAAGGTGGAAATTCATGGGCATCTTACGATATTTATATTGATCATGTATTTACATGTATAACTATGGTGTTAGATTATATGGCATAAAATCATGTGGATGCTTTGGGTATTTTTGTGCAGTATTACTATAAAATTTGGTATTATTTATTTGACCATATGTGATGGTATTATAATATAGACTCATGACAATCAAGGAGTGTCTTTCATGCGCTGTATTATATAGTGTAATCCGATAGGTCAACTAAAACAAACCAAAAATTTAGACTTGAAAACCAGACCTTGTATACTAATGTCGAAAAGAAATACTTGTAGTGGAATGAGCTGCATTTTAATGACATTACATTATATAGGTGTTATGGTATTTTAGGCTGGAAAAAATCCTAGCTTCCAGTTAACGATACTGTAATGAGGTGTTACATAATTTTGGAAGAACATGATACACCCTTTGAATCAATATGCAGCATGTGAACCTATAATGCACTGTGTAATCAATACACTGCATATATCAGTACTGCTCTTTAAATGTTCCACGATAAAAAACAAAACCTCTGGTGATCATCCAATCAATCACTGCACTACCAATTAAACCCCGGTATATATGTACAGTTAAACTTCGTTATTTTGAAATTACTGATAATCTTAGACATCTGGGTGGATGACTTTTTTCTGTCTTTTAGGCTTGCATTCTTGAATCCGACAGTATCTCAAAATTATATCTTGGGTATGATGATTTCAAGATAATAAGGATTTACTGTACATGGATTACTATGAAGAATATCAAAATACTACCAGGTGCATGTCAAGTTTTAATTATTCCCCAATTTGTAGCAAATTCTGTTATCCTGAATAATTTGAATATTATGTTGTGGTTCATTATAGAATATAGATTAATATTACTAGTTTCTTTGTTGTGGTGCATAGTGTTAATCATTTTAATTTATTCAGTTTCTTTGTTGCAATCTGTACAGTTAGCTGCAGGATTTAATTTTTATGATAATTTGGTTTGTAGATATATGCATTTTTTACTTTTTGTTGTCCAATTTGATTTTCAAAGAATATTGAGTCTACCAGTTTGTCTTCTTTACGTTATTTCCCTTTGTCTATTAAGTTATGTTTACATTTATGATTGTTGTCTTATTAAGGATTTCAAAATGTTTTATAAAGAAAGTGTTGTTTCCTCATGAACACTGTCTTGACATCAACTTTGCATTAAAAATCAAAAAATCTGAAGTTAATAGTGAATTCAATTTTCCTCTTACAATGAAGATTTTATAAAGCTGTTTGGTTAATTGTTTTTTTTAAGCACTTGAACTTTTGTACACTAATTGAGTCCCAGTTTACATATGGGAGGTTGCAATCTATTTAATTTATATTTTGTTTTAAATTATTATAAATGTAAGCATCTTATACTTGATAACAATGATATTGTACTTATCAGGGATTTGTTAAAATATATTGTTATTTTACAGTTTGCTGTAGTTAAATAAAAGTAATCAAAAACATGTATAATCTTAAATTTCATGCTTTATAGCCGCTTTAATACCATGAAGAAACAAGAGGACAGTTTTGTCTGGCAAATTGATCCGAGTCAGATAGTGACTAAGCACAAATCAAAGAATGTTGCCCCAATACACAGTCAATAAATCAAAGAATCGTTCTGAATGCTTCTAAATAATGGGACATTTCTGTGTTCTCAAATAAAGCTGCAATTAAAAATACTAATTTGCATCTGACAGCTGATTGATCAGAGGAGGATGAAAATAATCCACCTGGCAGTAATTGAAAGGGTCGGTTGAGTTACTGCAAATGATAAACTTTTTTAGGGCCTTAGACCTTAAACAGGTCAAGACCACTAAATTTTCTGATGGCAGCATAAATTGGTATGTAAATTGGCTACCTGTTTACTCAATGATGAACGAGTCACAAAGCATTATTGGCTACTACAAGTACTAAGTTGTGTTGAAAAATAAAGGGCAGTTTGAATTATCCCTTGGAAATTCCTTTTCAATTTTTTTTCTGAGATTTATGATAGAGTTTGATGTATAATCATTCATTTCTTTGCTCATATTTACAATATTTGCTTTATGTAGCCTTATATCAGCTTATACATGTTATACATCAGCCTTAACCATTGTTCAAAGAGACCTAGGTGCTCTCCTCTCGATAAAGCATTGAGAGTTTTTATTTCACACAATATACTTGTATGTGCAATGTATATGCAAACGTCAAAGCGTATGTATGGTTTCTGAAGCAACTAATTATCATCTAAAACAAACTCCAATATTAAATGTGAGCGTGGAGCACTGTCCTTGGAATATCTTTCAATTTTGGCCTGATAAAAAGAGAAGCTCTGTGGTTTTTTTGGGGGGGACAAAGTAAATATTCAATAGGCTAAAATAGGCTGAGCCTGCTGCCCAATCCTATTCACTTTTGCATCTGTGAATAAAATATTCTTTAATAAACAAGAGGCCCATGGGCCACATCATTCACCTGAGCACTGTGCCTATGAAAAAGTAGAAATTGGTTTATTATTGAAAAGTTTAAATACAAAAGTAGTCCCATGACCAATCATGGCTTTGCTATTCTTGAGAACAAGATTTTTAAAGAATTTTCCTATGTATTTCTATGTAAAACTGAGGTCAGCCGTTGTGGCCCCGCCCTACCCCTGGGGGTCATGATTTGAACAAACTTGAATCTACACTACCTGAGGATGCTTCCATATAAATATGATAAATTACGGCTTTGCTATTCTTGAAGATTTTTAGAAGAATTTTTATTTATTTCTAGTAAAAATTACCCCTGGGGGTCATGATTTGAAGAAACTTGAATCTACACTGCCTGAGGATGCTTCCACATAAATATGATAAATCATGGCTTTGTTATTCTTGAGAACAAGATTTTTAAAAAATATTCCTACGTATTTCTATGTAAAACTTAGGTCAGCCATTGTGGCCCCGCCCTACCCCCGGGGATCATGATGTGAACAAACTTGAATCTACACTACCTGAGGATGCTTCCATATAAATATGATCAATTATGGCTTTGTTATTCTTGATAAGAAGATTTTTAAAGAATTTTCCTATATATTTCTATGTAAAACTTTGGTTGACCATTGTGGCCCCGTCCTATCCCCAGGGGTCATGATTTGAGCAAACCTGAATATACACTACCAGAGGATGTTTCCAATAAGTTTCATCTTTCCTGGCACAGTGGTTCTTGAGAAGAAGATTTTTAAAACATACCACCAAATTTTCATTAATTCCCAATTATCTCCCCTTGAATGAGGGTGTGGCCCTTCATTTGAACAAACTTGAATCCCTTTCACCCAAGGATGCTTTGTGGCAAGTTTGGTTGAAATTGGCCAAGCGGCTCTTGAGAAGAAGTCGAAAATGTGAAAAGTTTACAGACAGACAGACAGACACCGGACAAAATGTGATCAGAAAAGCTCACTTGAGCCTTCGTCTCAGGTGAGCTAATAAAACCACATGTTGCTATTGAATTCTAACCAAGTAGTAGACCATCATGTTTTGGGACTCATTCAATTGATTAGAGATCGGGTGTGACAAAAATTGCCTTCCATATAAGGTAGTGTACTCGACCTGTTAAAGGTACTCTTATTTATCAAATAATTCCAGATATAAAAGTGTGTACTGTGGCAAAGAAGAAGTGGTGTGCAGATCTATACGAGACAAATTACACGACATATAGATAAAACTATAGAGTTAACATATGCACCACTGGGTTAAGCTTCTCAGGAATACATATATATCTGCCTTCTACACATACACCTGTGTGACAACTACCCCCTGTATCAATCTTTGTAGTTCAGAACAAGAACCCGTTATTTCTGTACATTTTTTATTACAGTTTTTTTTTCACCATGGCAGTTTACACAGATTGTAAGACGGGAGGTTCATATCCCTCAGGCCGCGCCACGGTCTCGCCGGAGTCGGTGATGACGGTTTTACTTCCGCCCTCTCCGTGTAACTCCATCAGTTTACCGATGTCAAATTTAGGTTTCTTCAGCACTTTAACTTTACGAATGAAAACGTCGTGAAGGGGATAAATTCCTTGGCAGGCTTTTTCAATGTCCTTTCCAATGCTGTCGGGAATACTGCAAAAAGAGAACAGGTCATCAAAATACTATAAAGTTCACATCAACAAAGATTATAAATAAAACAAAGTCTCATACAAAATGAATGCTTGGTGAGATCCATTTATAACAATAAATTCTTTATAAAAAGGTTTTTAAGCATTAAGCAATAAATACAACTTGTATTTAACCCCTTCCATGGCATATACGCATTTCTACGCATCTTACTTGAAAAACGAGTTTATTGTGTTCAAACATTCATAACTTCGTTAATACTGCAAATATCAGAATAATTCTTGCACCGTTAGAAAGAGATAATAATTACGAAAAAATAATATACAGAAATTTTTTTTATTCATTGTACCAGTATTTTGCTAGCTTGACTTAAACTTTGTGCATTATTCGAGCGATTTTGCGATTAATGAAATCAATGCGGTGATAACATCTAATATGTAAAAATGCTGAATTCTGGTGATTATATACATGAACCTACCAACCCTACCCCCATTTCTCTAAAATACTTTAAATTAAATTTAAAAAAAATGTACAACATACTCATAATTTTTAACACAACAATAAGATATTTTTAAATATATTTAACTGAGCAAAGAAAAACAAAAATGAAACTAATTCTTGAATAAATGGAAATTCAAGCATGATTATTGTGTATTTCATTGCCATGGCAACTGAAATTATACTTATATAATCATTTTCGGAAACTAAACAATACCTGCTTTCAGAATATATATACTTTGGTATATACAAAAATTACAAAAAATACTCCAAAAAATGCATTGAAATCTTAATATCAATTTGTCTAGAAATGCTTAAAATCTTTGCCATGGAAGGGGTTAAGTTTGTAACTTTCAGCAACTCAGGTAACTATAGTCAAAGGACCCTGCTTTTAGCAAAGGATATATGAATGAAAGTCTACCTATCTAAGGGCACTCTTCAAGTAAAGGGCCAAGGGTGAGAAAATTTGTACCACACAAGGATTTTCAAAAATAATTGACCCTCTATCTTGAAAATTAATCCCATCAACATTCTATGGGTGAAGTACGAGTCATACAGGAGAGAGATATTCCTTCATATAGTATTTAAAGGTCTCTGATCTTGACATCTGATTCAGAAAATAAGTTCAAGGTAACTGTGCACCTTTTACCCTTGTGCAAGCAATGGGTGAAGTTTGGGCCAGGTAAGGCCAAAGATAGGGATAGTATGCTCTGTACAAGGATTTTATACAAAGGTTTTTCTGTCCCTGAACTTTCATCTAAAAAGTTAATTCAAGGTCAAGGCATACCTTCAACCCACTGACTGGGCCATAGGGAGAGAAAAATATGCTGTGGCCTCAACATACAGCTTTTTTCTTTTTAGCGAAGATTTCATGATCAGATCTTAACCTTTAATCCAGAAAATTGTTCAAGGTCACTACACATCCTCTTTGGTACCCCTGAATGTTCTTTACATGTAGTACGAGTCTAATTCCTTTTTATTTTGTCAGGAATTTACACAGAGAGGTTCTGTGACCTTGATCTTTAATCTAGAAAATTGTATCAAGGTTACTACTGACCCTCTACCCATGGGCACTCTATGGGTAAAGTTTCAAGTCTTAATTAATGGCAAAAGAGAGAGGAAATGCAAAAGTACAAATAAAATTGGACAGACAGACTGATCACTATACATCATCCTCATAGCAGGGCCCTAATAATCATAATAATCTGATCAATGCACAATCTGACCTAGAAAAGAAATTAAAAAAAATTCCACTCACAGTTTGTTGACGACTTCCTTCATGTCATTGGACGTCACTTCCTTTGTAATGATGTCAACCATCTTCTTCCTGATGGTCTTCACCTATAACAGAAACAAAATACTTTATCTTTGTGTAAAATTTATTCTCAAGCATTTATGTATTTGAGCAAAAATATTGGATACATGAAAATAAACTGCACCTGAAAAATGTACTAATATTGTCAAGAAAAAAAAAGGTCATCAGATATTACATAAGATCAATGATAAATCATGCCTGATGATACACCCAATGAATAAAGATTAATTTAAGGAATAACTGTCTAATTTTTCGATTTCATGATGTGATCAATCGATTGGCTTGCGTGATATTTTGCATATACTCCGAAGGCGTTTATGCATAAAATTATCATGCAAGCCAATTGATAGATCATCGTCATGAAATCAAAAAATATGACAGTTATTCCATATATTTACATGCTCTTAATTCCGCCAACCCACGTGCTCTAAGCCCCGCATCTGTCTCTACATTTGTCCCACCCTGCACATGATTTTTTTTAACCGCGCCTATCGATGAACCAGTGCATTCATGAAGAAATAAAGTACATTAACTATTTGTAATTTTATATCGGACAAAGACATTGGAAATGTAAATATGATTTTATGTCTCACTAAATTTTACATGATCCAGACAATGGTTATAGAATTTAAACTGAAGTCACACTCAATGTACACTATTTCTAATATTCCTCTGATGATTTTAAGCCTTATCTTGTACAAGATCTTCAATGTTGCAAATTTGACTGAACAATTATCAAAAAGATGTCAACAAAACTATTTTTGGGTTTGCATCCCACAATACACATTTCTCCATAAACTAGTTCTAGATCAACTCACTCAGTGTGAAAAAATTGACCTACATATGAAGAATCTAGTAGAGGGACAGATAGAAAGATGAGTGGAATGGGAAATGCAGCTTGTCAAAAGCAGACTTGTGGAAAAATGCTGGAACAGCCAGAATGGTTAGCTAAATAATGCCAGAACTGAATAAAAAAAGGTCTAATTTTTTCCCCTCTGGATTTACATTCTAGACAGTCTGCTTGAATTCTCCCATAATATACAGATATTTGTCATATATTTCATCAGTGAGCTACTCTCAGACAAAGCTGAAACTGTATGATCATCAACAGTATTATGCACAGTGTAAACTGTCATCACTGGTAGCTCTAATGGTAAATACTGTATTGTAATAATTTTGTTGTGATAGATACTATGTGTTAAAAGATTATTGATAGAACCAAAATAATTCAATGCTTAAAACTAGTCAATCACACTTCATCAACTCTATTTGACTGTTCTTAAAAATCACTAATCAATATAAGATTTCAGACAGAATAAATTTGCATGTCAAACTTTTAGAGAATGGGTACCTTCAACAATTTTACTCAATATTTATCCCCGAAGCTGTACTCTGTAATACTGACTTTGAAAATATTTTTGCATTTGTTGACAGCATTTGCCTTCTTTTGGCATCCTTCAACAAGAGGCCCAGGGGCCACAGCGCTCACCTGAGCACATCGGGCTTGAATTTACTCCCCCCCCCCTTCCAGGCGTTCATCATTTGAACAAACTAGAATCTACACTACCTGAGGATGATTCCATATAAATATCACTAATCATAGCTTTGAAGTACTTGAAAAGAAGATTTTAAAAGGTTTCCCTATATACCCCTATGTAAAACTTGGGTCGGCCATTTTGGCCCCACCCTAGCCCCGGGGGTCATGATTTGAACAAACTTGAATCTACACTACCTGAGGATGATTCCACATGAGTTTCATCTTTCCTGGCCCAGTGGTTCTGGAGAAGAAGATTTTTAAAGATTTTTCCTATATATTCCTATGTAAAACTTGGGTCGGCCATTTTGGCCCCACCCTTTCCCCAGGGGTCATGATTTGAACAAATTTGAATCTACACTACCTGAGGATGATTCCATGAGTTTCATTTTTCCTGTCCTAGTGGTTCTTGAGGAGAAGATTTTTAAAGATTTTTCTGATATATTCCTATGTAAAACTTGGGTCGGCCATTTTGGCCCCACCCTTGCCCCAGAGGTCATGATTTGAACAAACTTGAATCTACACTACCTGAGGATGATTCCACATGAGTTTCATCTTTCCTGTCCTAGTGGTTCTTGAGAAGAAGATTTTTAAAGATTTTTCTTATATATTCCTATGTAAAACTAGGGTCGGCCATTTTGGCCCCACCCTTGCCCCAGGGGTCATGATTTGAACAAACTTGAATCTACACTACCTGAGGATGATTCCACATGAGTTTCATATTTCCTTGCCTTGTGGTTCTGGAGAAGAAGATTTTTAAAGATTTTTCCTATATATTCCTATGTAAAACTTGGGTTGGCCATTTTGGCCCCACCTTTGCCCAGTGATCATGATTTGAACAAACTTGAATCTACACTACCTGAGGATGATTCCACATGAGTTTCATCTTTCCTGGCCCAGTGGTTCTGGAGAAGAAGATTTTTTAAAGATTTTTCCTATATATTCCTATTTAAAACTTGGGTCGGCCATTTTGGCCCCACCCTTGCCCCGGGGGTCATGATTTGAACAAATTTGAATTTACACTACCTGAGGATAATGCCACATGAGTTTCATCTTTCCTGGCCCAGCGGTTCTGGAGAAAAAGATTTTTAAAATATGCCATTAATTTTTAACAAATTCATGATTATCTCCCCTTGGAAAAGGGCGTGGCCCTTCATTTGAACAAACTTGAATCCCTTTCACCCAAGGATACTTTGTGCCAAGTTTTTGAAACAGTGGTTCTTGAGAAGAAGATGAAAATGTGAAAAGTTTACGACGATGACGACAACGACGACGACGACAACGACAGACGACGGACAAATTTTGATCAGAAAAGCTCACTTGAGCCTTCGGCTCAGGTGAGCTAAAAACTAATGGAATTTATTTTTTGAAAGTACCCTTCAACATGAAACACTTGAGGTTTTTTTCCATATAAATCCACCTGATTTGTATACCTGTGTGTGTTGGGCATAGCAAGTTTTCTTGACTTGGAACTGCTTCTTCTTTGTGAATCCAATACAGAACATTCTGAGAAGGTAACCATCTGTAGTCTTGACATCCACGTGAGCCTGGATCAGGGTCTGCCATTTCTTCACCATGGAGCACAGCTTGTCCCTGGTCAGATCCATGCCATGGAAATTGGTCAGGACATTACGGCCTTGAACTTCCTCAGCCATTAGTTTGAACTTTCTGAATGATACTTCATCATTCTGAAGATCAGCCAGAGAGATTTCAAACACACGCCCCTTTAAGCCATCAGAAGCAATCCCTGCACAGAAAATTCAAATTTAGTTAAATTGAAACATATCATAAACCATAATTGCAACTAGAACTTAACCTTCAGACAAAATGAATGACAACAAAAAGCTTATCATAAAACATTGCATAATTGCAACTAGAAGTTAACCTTTAAATGAAATGAATGACAAACTATTGCATTATAAACGTATGTCTAAAAATGCTTCAATGTTTCATGTAACTTTAATTACTATTTTACACTAAGTAACACATTTTATACCATCTAATGTGTAATCTAAGGAATAATAATATGTGCTGATAGAAAGCACAGCGAGCAGTGCCAAGTGTCACTTGTCACTGCGAGCTCTACTGACAACGGCTGGGCAAAGAGAAAATTTAGAGTTGCACGACACTGATCCAAACAAATCTTTTGCAGCAGTAACTTCTAGACCCACAATGCATCACTTCTTTAAGCTATGTACTTGCGTGAAAACAACAACAAAAGTTCAACAAAAATAACCTCACTTTGATATAATGGATATTGCAGATAAATAGTAAATAAAATGTAAATAAAATGTACTTCATTGAAAGTCAGAACTTTTCAGGCTTGGGATAGGTAATGCAACTTAAACATTGTCAAATATGACGTCAATATATAATGTATGAATCTAGAGAAACACCAAATTTTGTGTACGATTTGACGAGCCCGTTCTAAATCAAAACTAAATAAGTATCTTCGCTCGCCTTAATGATCGCACTTCAACATAATATTTGTGATAATGAAAATATAAATGTAAAGTTAATGACACTTCTGTGAACTCACTTGTTCCCTGTGTCCTAGTGACCAAAGTTTTCCCAATTTGGCGGACAACAAACATACTTGGTGCCTTGACATCGTACCAGTCTTTCTTTGTAAAAGGGTCAACACTACAAATCAAAAATTTGTCAGA